TGTCATCCCACCCCCAGGAAGCTGAAGCATGAGGACTGTGGTGAAGTCTAGGCCAGAGAGGGCTACGAGTGAGGCTCAACTTCAAACAAACAAACAAACAAACAAAAAACAAAAACCACAATGAAAACACAGGAAACCACCAAATTCACCACAAGGGTGTTCAGTAGCTGGCTTCCTCCTGACAGTAAGGATGAACCCCCTTTGGCTTCTGTGCTCTGTGGTCAATACTTGGGGTTACACACCTGCCTCCCCAGAGCAAAGACCTAGCTTCTCTAGCTTCTCTGGCTGGCACCCCATGTGCACCCCATCCACAATGGCCCGGAAGAGGTGTGGCACTTGTTGGTGTCCAACTTGGTGTCTTAGATGTGTCCCTGGATTGTTGGAACTGTCATGCCCCCGGCTGGCACACTTGTTGGTGCCCACCCGTAAGCTGGTGATGCTGTGGATCTCAGGGTGTGGTTCTTGGGGTCACAAAGGTGTTGTCTGGTACTGCAGTCAGTCATATCCGACCGGCTGGAACATATATTGCTGCCACCCATCCGTAGTCCAATGGCACACTGACTGGCTGTCATGGTGCCACCATGGAAGTTCCTCTGATGCTTGGCCTTGATGTCCACACCACTCTGCGCCGCTTGGCTTTGGCCTTCCCTGCTGTGAAAGGAGAGACACTTGCACCTGTGTCTTGTCCCCAGTTGCACAAGTAACTCCTATTAAACTCAGAGGGTCACACACAGAAAGAACGCGGGAGTGTGGGCGGGGCTTGGTGAGAAGGGCTGTGGCAGGAGAAGGGGAGGATGAGGGAGGGAAACAGGGGAGGAAGTAGCTAACGTTCATTATTTAGACAGGTGAAACTGTCAAGCAAAATGTAAAAGGATTACCCACAAAACAAGCCAATCTCTTTATTGGTAAATTGAAACCACTAAAAAGAAGAAAGTGGAGCCGGGCTCTGGTGGCACACACCTTTAATACCAGCACTGGGGAGGCAGAGGCAGGTGAATCTTTGTGAGTTTGAGGCCAACCTGGCCTACAGAGCAAATTCCAGAACATCCAGGGCTACACAGAGAAACCCAGTCTTGAAAACCTAAAAGAAACAAACAAATAAATAAATGAAATAAGAGAAAGAAAGTGTGGAAGACAGGGTGAATATCCTCTTTTGTTGTCCACACTGGCACTGGATCTGTCTCCTCTTTCCCATTTTGGTTCTGTATATTTTTGCTTGTTTGTATGTTTTGAGATAGGGTGCTATTTTGTAGTCTAGGGAGGCCTGGAACTCATGGTAATCCTCCTGCCTTAGTCTCCAGAACACAGGAATTATAGGTGTAACCAAGCACGCCCAGATTGTTTATGTACCTTAGCAAGGCTACTGAAAAGCAATTTAGAGCCCATAATACATGCAAGGACAGTCTTTGTGCTTAGGATCTCGAGTGTTTGAACCAAATAATTACTGCACAATAGAGAACAAGTTAGGGTGCTGTCCTTTCCAGCACACTCTTTTAGTGTCCATTAGTTTATTTATTGTATCATTTAGTACTTGTATAAACAGGAGTCAAAGGTTAAGGTAAATAATAATGACAGGACATGGCACTGAATTTGAATATCAGTAACAATGAAATATACAATAAAAGTTCATACATTTGTCATCTATCTATCATCTATCTGTCTATCTATCTATCTATCTATCTATCTATCTATCTATCTATCTATCTATCTTGCATCTTGAGACAGGGTTTCTCTGTGTTTAACACTCATGGATGTTCTGGAACTCACTCTGTAGACAAAGCTGGTCTCCAACTCACAGAGATCCGCCTGCCTCTGCCTCCTGAGTTCTGGGATTAAAAGGAGTGTGCCATCACTGCCCAGCTTGCCTTTTATTTTTAAGAACTCATAGGGGAGATTTATTTATTTTCATTTGCTTATATAGAAATGAACTCAAGTCATCAGACTTGCCTGGAACTTACTATGTAGACCAGGCTGGCCTCAAACTCAGAGATCCACCTGCCTCTGCCTTGGGAGAGCTGGGATAAAACGTGTAGGCTAGCATGCCCCATGTGTTTTTATTTATTTTCATAGTTGAGACTTAGAAGTGGCTTCCACATCTTGACTCATTCAGAAACTCAGCCAGCAGGCTGTTGAATCTCCTCGATGGCCATTTCCCTCATGCTTAGTGAGTCACGATGTGGTCTACTTGGCAGGCTGTTGGGAGGGCTGACAGAGAGGTGCTCAGGGTCCATCAGAGGGCCCGGGGCACAGGAACTCTAAGTAAATATGGCTGTTCTCACGGGGCATATGTATTAGCAGACAAACCTGATTAATTTCTTTTATTACAACTTGTGATGCATCTCCTTGCCATTATTCCAGCACTTAAACAACTGTTGAGCATGTAGAGTTACAATCTAAATAACATATAACCTGGTAAATGGAGGCCAGAAAAGACATCTAGGAAGAGGACTAGATGTTCTATTCTGTGCAGACAGCAGGTCAGGGTGGGCACCTAGCTTCATTAATCAGTGCTTTCTCTCTGCCCCTGGCTGTTTCCCCCTGAATGTGGGTCCTGTGCTGTTCAGGGGAAGCTCCTAGCAATTCCATTTTCCACGGTCTCTGACTGCGACCTGGCGGGTCAGCCTTCCTCCATTCCTGGCCGACCTTCCATTTCTGCAAATGTCCCTTACCTGGAAGCCTTTGTTATCTGTTCTTCCCCATGCGAAGCTAAGAACATGGATGGAAACTGCGACATTGTGACCATCTGTTTGCTCATGACAAGTCATCAGGTTGTTACCCTCTAGGGCGCTTTACGTCACAGCTTCTTCATTTTAGCTCCCTTTTCTCCACTCTCCCAATTTTCTTCTTATAAAAACATTGATTAACAGCCCTTTTAAAGATGACAAATGTGGTAAAAAAATACAGAGGAATAAAAGTCAATAATCCCTTAGCCAGAAGTAATCACCATGATCTTTCTTCCTGTTTGTTTAAAAACAATGATAATAATTGTAGTGTGTACGTGTGTATGTGTGTGTGTGTGTGTGTGTGTGTGTGTGTGTTGTGAACAACCTCTACCACTGAGCTATTCTGTTTATTATTTTAAAACAGCTGGGAGCATTCTATTCATACCATTTGATCTTGATTTTTTTCCTTGTTTAGCTATCATAACATTTTTTCTTGTGAAAATGTTTACCTCTCTTTTTTTTTTTATTTTCGAGGCAGGGTTTCTCCGAGGTTTTTGGAGGCTGTCCTGGAACTAGCTTAGCCTTGACCAGGCTGGCCTCGAACTCACAGAGATCCGCCTGCCTCTGCCTCCCGAGTGCTGGGATTAAAGGCGTGCACCACCAACGCCCGGCTCGAAAATGTTTACCTCTTAAGCAACCCATAATATCTCACTATTAGTTGTACCATAAAATCCTTAGTCTCTGTTTGGACATTTATTTCTAGGTTTCTGCTTTATAAACACAACGTCATTATAATTAAGAAGACATTCCTCAGTAACAGGACTGCTGTGGGTAAGAATGTCTTCCCCAAAGAAGAACAAGTTTGCCTTTGCCAATATTTAAACTTACTTACTAGGTTCATAGTAATTACAAGTCTATTGATACATGTTTCCATCCCAGAAATATTGTGATGTTTCAGCCTGATGTGTGAACTACAGGAGAACACCTTGTTTCCCTCAGCACTTACAAACAGGCGATATTCACCTCATTTTATTTTTCAGTGCTGGAAAAGGAACCTAGGGTGTGGCAGATTAAGGAAGCCCCGTGTCACTGAAGTAGACTTTCAGGCCTGGTAGGGAGGCCCATGTCTCTGAGCTAGACCCTTATGCCTGGCAGAATAGGGAGGTCTATGTCATTGAGCTAGACTCTCAGGCCTGGTGTTGGTGAGTTTTCTTTTCTAGGATTTTGTCTCTTTTCTGTGTGACATTAGTCTTTCTATTTCTGAAGTTTAGTTTTTGAAAAGATCCTGAATTTGTCCTTTCATCTTGGGCCATGTCTACACAGCCTGCCTTTTCTGTGATTGCTGATTTCGATTTGTGGGGAGGGTAGGGAGACAGGGTCTCTCTACATTCCCCTACTTGTCCTGGAACTTACTAATAGACCAGGCTGGCCTTGAACTCACAAAGATCTGCCTGCCTCTGTCTTCCAAGTGCTGAGAGTTCCAGAGCTGCTGTCAGGATATCTCCAGGGTTGCTTATCCTTTATTTTTCACCTGCAGCCAACCAGTGTACAAAATGCAGCCAGCATGCCTTGAGCGTTTTGTCATGGAACAGGTTTGCTACCCAAGAACAAGCAATACATAGTGGACATCTCTCTTAAGGCTGGGGACAGGTTGACAAAGCGTGCCTTGTTCCCACTCTGCACACTGAAAAAACAAACAAAAACAAACAAACAAAACCAGCCCTCTGCTGTCAGTGAGAAGAGGGTGGCAGCTGATGGTTTAGGAATTCTGTTTCCCCTCGGACCTGGTTAGATGGTACAGAGGGCCAGTGCACGGCATCAGGAGTGGTTCTCAGAGCAAGCGCTCCATGGCGTGCATTTGCAAGGCTGCCAGACTTGACTAGGTGGCCCAACAGTGTGTGTCACAAAGCGGACTTGAGTCTCCAGAAGAAAATTTAAATTATGTTGGGAGAGAAACCGAGTTTCCACATGCTTTATGAGACACAACCAGGTGCTTAATACCATTTTATTCTTGCAGGTGTTTAATTATTGGCTTTAGACACAAGTCCTCAGAGAAAGGAGAAGAAGAAAAAGAAAAGGCCAATTTAAAATCTCTTGAAATTATCCTCAGCCTCCTTGACATTTTCCAGACTGGCCTTGTTTCGCTTTTAATATCTGAAACGTCTTATGAATGCAGTGAGGCGTGGCTTTGGCACAGCTGTCTTTGTTTTTTCCTGACTTAGTCGGTCTGCCTACATAACATTGCATCCTGGCTGTTTGAAATCCCTACTGAATTTGGAGGAATTATGTCTTGGCATCTGGCCTACTTCCCTAGAACATGATGTGATATTGTCAGTGTGGTCCACTCATTCCACTCGACAATATGTTTGTCTGTCTCATTCCCAGCACTTGGACAGTCAGTAGTTAGTGAGAACAGAATGCAAAGCCGTGCTTGCCATAGTTTGCTGAGTTTCTTGCCTGACCACATTGCTCTCACAATGTCACTTGTGAATAACTTGATCAGATTAGGGTGAATCATGTGGTTGGCCAACAGCAACTGGAAGGATTCTCCAGCGTCACTTTGTTGCACTATTAGGAAATGCATCTGGATAGACCTGCCCAGTGCTGGTTGCTGATGCTCCTCTCTCTGTGTTCCTGCTGTCTAGAGAAGAGATGAGCTCAGACTGTTGGAGCAACTCCACCTGCTCTGCCAACAGCATGGAGAGAGAACTGTCGGGGGAGATGGAGGGCCAAGGAACCCTGAAGCTTGTTTTCACCGTGGTGTCAGCCGTGATGGTGGGTCTGGTCATGTTCTCTTTCGGATGTTCTGTGGAGATTCAGAAGCTGTGGTCGCACCTCAGAAGACCCTGGGGCATTGCGGTTGGACTGCTTTGCCAGTTTGGGCTCATGCCTGTGACAGCCTATCTGCTAGCCATTGGCTTCTCTCTGAAACCCTTCCAAGCTATTGCTGTCCTCATCATGGGGTGTTGCCCTGGGGGCACCATCTCTAATGTTCTCACCTTCTGGGTTGATGGAGATATGGATCTCAGGTAAGTCACAGTAGGGACCTCCCCCAGGTTTCCCTGTTTGCCTAGGAGTCAAGGACACTTTGGTGCAAAATCTTGTAATCTCTGGGGAGCTCTGAGTGGAAAGTACTACAAACATCGCTGAAACTTGGGCAGCCTTTCTCAGCTCCAAACTCTCTCTGCTGCGATCGGCTTCTGCTTTCTTGGCAGCTTTTCCTGTCCTGAGTCATGGATGGGATGCGGTTCATATGCAGAGATGGCATTTCCTGAGCATGCACTCATTCTCTGTCTGTTGGCATCTCTAACCATAATTTCCCAGGACAGCACCAGAATTCCGTATAGCCAATGATAGTGATGGTAATGGTAGCAAGATATATAATCAGAATGGAGCCCATGTGGCTCGTTCTTTTCTCATTGCTCTCAGGAGCATCTCCATGATGTCCTTCAGAAGCAATGCTTTAAGAGCCTGCATGAAGGACTCCAGGGCAGCAGATAGACTCGGTGATAAGCTGTCTCATTGCATTTGCCTCCTTTAGGTTTGCATCAGAGTTTAATCCTGCTGATGGGGTAGATAAATACTCCAGGAGAAATTAAACCCTATCACTTATTCCCCTTCTAACAACGGTGAGTGAATCCCACAATTTTGGAGTCAAGTGTTTTGAGGAGAAGTAAGAACAACATTTGAAAAAAGAATAGATGAGTCAGGATTGGGGGTGGGGAGTTAAAAAACAATGATCTCCCTAGATATTTTTTTTTTGCTTCTAAACACGTTTGCATTCTGTGCAGGAAAAATATTCCATATAAATTTAAATCTTTGCATGTGTATGCCATTTAATTGAGATTTACTATATAATGAATGAATGAATGAAACAATGAATCAGCGAATGAATCCATGAGTCAGAATTGGTGACTGAAGTGGGAGCTGACCTCAGTGAGTTAGCTTCAGGTCTCTTTCTAGTTCCCTTGCATGTACTGAGTATTTAGTATACTGAACAGATTTCGACTATACATTTTAATGGGAGCATACCGCATAGACAAGTAATTAACTTTTGTATGGCAATGCCTACTAGTTACCCACTTGAAAAAAATTCTTGATGGTTTTCTATCTCCACTCATAAGCCGCTACTTGAAGTTCAGTGAAGTTGTCCATTAATGCTCATGTGTCAGCGATGAAGCCTGGGTCCCAAGGGTCTCTGGAAAGAAAGGAATCTAATGTTCATAGGTACAGAGGAGGTCTGGGCTTCTTCTCTCCTGGGCTCTCATAATCACCTCGTAAGTGACCTTTTATTATTCTGAGAAGGCGATTCAAGTTGGTTAAATAACAAGAGCAACAAGAAGTAGAGCTGAGTTCACACTGGAATTCACATCTGGTTTATATCAGTTTGTAACTTAGGCAGTTTTTTTCCCATGACATTTGGCAACGAAACCGCATCATCTGTTTGGAGTATGAGCCCAAGTCTTTAACAGTGTTTTGAAACACTTTTGTTTGGGGAAACACACCCCTGGCTCATCAGAATTGCCATAGAAACACCAATGAATAGAATGTGTGTGGAAGATAAAGTTCGTCTTGTTTCTTATTACTGACTCTATCTCTTTTATTTATTTTGCTTTTGTTTTATTGTGACAAGGTCTAACCTAGCCCGTGTGACTTTGAGTTCCTGATTCTTTTGTCTTCAGTTCCCTAGTGCTGGGATTGTGGTTGTACACCACATGTCTGTCACCATCTGTGTTCTCAATCGACTTTGTTGTTGTTGATGATTTTGAGACAGGGATTCTCTGTGTAGTCCTGGCTGTCCAGGAACCTCCTTTGTAGACCAGACTGGCCTTGAACTCAGGGATGTGCCTGCCTCTGACGCCCGAGTGCTGGAATTAAAGGCACGTGCCATCACTCCCGGTTTCATCAGCATTTCAACTAAAAAAAGATTTATTTATTTATTCTTTAATGTGTGTCGGTGTTTTGCTTGCTTGTATGTCTGTATAGCACTTGCATGTCTGGTATCAGATGAGGCCAGAAGAGGGCATCAGATCCCCTGGGACTGGAGTTATAGATGGCTATGAGCCACCATGTGGGTGCTTGTGATGGAACCTGGGTCCTCTGGAAGAGCAGCCAGTGCTCTTAACCACTAGGCCATCTCTTAGCCCTAGTGTTTCATCAATTTGTCTGAAAATACGTACACATGTATACATGTGACACAGAGCCAGGCATACGCCAGATATGCAGTGAATGTTAGCTACTTTCCTCCTTTTCTTTCTTGACAAGCACTTCACCATGGAGTGCCCCTATCCTGTGTGCAAGCTGGCCTCAAATTCAGTGGGACCTCAAACGCAATATGTAGCCTAGGTTGGCCTTGAGCTGAAAGCAATCCTCTTAGAGGTGGAATTTTAAAATGGGATCTAAATGTTGGGTTTTAAAAGCCTATGGATATAGCACTAATAAATGTTTAAATCTCAGGGAAAGTTTCATTCAAACAGAATAGCCTGTTTTTTTTTATTTTTTATTTTTTATTTTTTGTTTTGCAAGACAGGATTTCTCTGTGTAACTGTCATGGCTGTCCTGGAACTCACTCTGCAGACCAGGCTGGTCTTGAACTCACAGAGACCCACCCGCCTCTACCTCCCAAGAGCTGGGATTAAAGGTGTGTCCCACCACCGCCCGGCTCAGAACATTCTATCTTGATGAGCAGAACCATGTCTGTATTCAGCACATTGCTTCACAGCTGATTACCAACAAAAATCACATTGGGTAAAACACAGTCATCAACAGTCATTCTGGCTGAAATGGAAGCATGCTTAATCCCACATCTTTATTTCACAAATGGGGAAACTGAGGCAAAGCTCTGGGGAGATGATCCCCGGTACAGCTCTGTTGCTTTCTCTCCACTTAACTCAGTCGGCACGTGGTTTTTCCTGCGTTCACCTAAAACAGGTGTTTCCAACTTGAGCAAGTGTCTACACACTGGGCGTGGCAACACAGGCACCTTGCAGGGCCCTGGGCTCCTCTCCTTAGTCTTTGGCTCCCTCAGCTCGCTGCTCTTGTTCCTCTCTCTGTTCCCTCAGTCCACTGCCAGGCCCACCCTCTTGCTGAGTGGTCCACAGCCCTGGCTTCCTGTCATCCTCCACTGTTGCTTCCTGGGGTCAGGCCCTAGGGTCTTCTTTCATGGCCAAGAGTTGCCTTTTCACGGGGTTCTCTCCACATTTTGTTACCATTTTGTTATGAATAGATAAAGCAGTCTCCAATTGAGGGCCTCTCTCTTCCCGTCTTTCATACAGGGTACTTGATTGATGGTATTCTGTGTTTGAGGAAGTAGGGCTCTCTAAGCCACTCCCCTTCTTCTGGGGCCTGAAGTGGAAACCAGGAGGGGAGATGCTCGGTGTAGTGGGGGCTGAATTGGGGTAGGGACTGAGGGCCCTTCTCTTCCTCTTGTGTTCTTGCTGGGGTTGGGTTGCCCAAGGGGCCGTGAGGACTATAAGGGCCACCACACAGTTGCTGTTGCCAAATTGGTTGTCATACCAGGAAATGAGTTTGACAAAAGTGGTTGATGAGGGCATTGCCAAAATCGTCAGGGATGACTTTGGCCAGGGTGGGTAGGCGGGGCACGGGGGGGGGGGCATTGCTGATACCCGTCGTGACCATGCAGGCACCAGCTGAAGAGACATGACTCTTCTGTAGCCACCCTTCAAGTGGGCTCCACCCTTCACTGTGGTGGTGAAGACACCAGTGGATGCCACAACATTCTTGGCACCAGCGTCACTCTGTTTGGTGTTGAAGGGGGCTCACTCCTGGAGGATGGAGATGGCTTTCCCATTGATGACAAGGTCCATTCTCATCCTTGACGGTGCTGTGGAACTTACTATGTGTAGAGTCATACTGAAACATGGAGACCCTGTAGTTGAGGTCAATGAAGGAGTCACTGAGGGCAACAATAGCCACTTTGCTAGGGATGAAGACGGCCCTGGAGACCAGAGCCCGATGAGGCCAAATCAGTTCCCTGTGACCTTTACCATGTGTCTTGGTTGAGACTGGCACTGCATGAGAAGATGTGGCTGTCCCTGGAAAGGGAAGGAGCACAGTGTCTGCCCTCGGTTCTTGTAATCGGAAATTATAACACTTCTGTCATGCATGCAGTATCCTAGCGCTTACTGAATCGACCAGTTTACCTCAGCTCTCCAGGTTACTTTCTCATAAGGCTTCCAGTCAAAACGAACGCCTCATTGTTCACTAAACACACTCTGGTTTTCCCATTTCCATTTGCCCGTGTTCTTCAAATACCTTTCAATGTCAGCTGATCTGATCTGTCTGCTGCAGTCATAGTATGATTTTCCCTAATTGGTCTAAAAGAAATTGGCTTATATGTACCAAAAAGCTTAGACACAGTGCACCAGGGCCTGGCTGAGTCAGCCAGGCATTCTTTGCTGGACCCTTTGGGGGTGGCTGGGGTTAGATGTGGACTGATGGCTTCAGCCAGGAGACAACGTGGTTAATGTTCACATGTGCTCTTGAGTTCTGTCTCTGTCTTTCTGTCTCTCTATGTGTGTCTGTCGGTCTGTGTGTGTGTGTGTGTGTGTGTGTGTGTGTGTGTGTGTGTGTGTGTGTGTATTTAGATCCACCAGGATTCTGAGAAAGGGGAAGCATGCAAAGCTATGTGAGGCCTGAGTTTGAACCTCGATCACCATCTGTCCCACCACATTCCAGCACCAATGCAAACAGCAAGGTCAGCCTGGGTGCAAGATGATTTTGCCCCTCCATGGGCTGGACTCAAAGTACATTGCAGACGACATGGGTAAGGAATTGGTAACATTTTTTGCAGTATGCTCTGTTTGAGACATGCAGATTCCTGCTTTTGAGGGAAGAGCTCAAGAATCAGGAACTGGCCGTGCCATGCAGCAGTTAAGTGCATCAAGACATAGCAATGGGATGCATCAAGACACAGTAACGGGGTGCAAAGTTGACTGGCAGAGACATCTGGGCACGTTATGGAATTTATCTGTGCTGCAATGTGCTCGCTTTTGTTTTATATTTGTTTGGCGTGTGTGTGTGTGTGTGTGTGTGTGTGTGTGTGTGTGTGTGTGTGAAGGTCAGAGGACAATTTGCAAGAGTTGGTTCTCTCCTTCCACCATGTGGTTTCTGTGGATCAGATTGCAAGGCTTGGCTGTCAGTGCCCTTATACCATGAGTCCTCTCACCTGCCTTCTCCATTTCTAAAATGACAAGAAACACAATCATTTTATGAGCTGTGAGGATTAAATGTAGTGTGTGTGTAGATGTCTATGTGTGCATGTGAGTGTGTGTGTGTGGTATGTGTGTGTGTGTATGTGAGTGTGTGTGTGTGGTATGTGTGTGTGTATGTGTGTGTGTGTGTGTGGTATGTGTGTGTGTGTGTGTGTGTGTGTGTGTGTACTTTAGACTGCTTGCTTAGCACAATCTGCCTACTGACCTGTCGTCCATGAGGCAGGCAATAGAGCGTTGTGCCTCTCAAGGTGCTGAGCCCCATGGAGCCATTGATCTCATTGTATCTCAGTTTCCACAATTGTTTTGATTTGTTGTGATGCAGGATCTCATGTAGCCCAGGCTGACCTCAAACTCCATCCATAGCTAACGATGTCTTTAAATTCCTACTCCTCCTTCTTCTGCTCCTCCAAGGGCTGGAATGGCAGCCATGGGCCACCATGCCTGGCTCTCAGGTCCCACATTGGTAAAGGATGGAATGACAGGCATGGGCCACCATGCACTGAGTTCTCAATTTTTTGGGTTTAGAATCAAAACATTTGAATAACTTTTTTAGAATTTTATTTTCCAGTTTAAATTTAGATAAGAAACAAGGTTGCTTCACAAGTCAGTTCCAGGTCCCTCTCCCTTTCCCTCCCCTCCTCCCGTGCCCTTCCCCCAACCCCCCCCAGTTATCCCCTCATTCCCCCAGGGAGGGTGAGGCCCTCCATGGGGGTGTCCATAGTCTGTCATTTCATATAGGGCAGGGCCTAGATCCTTCCCCAAGAGTTCAGGGTGAGAGTGCACCTCACATTGTTCTATGGGAGTCCAAAGTCCGTGTGTATACTTGGGATGGGTACTGATCTGCTGCCCAAGGCTCACATTTGAATAACTTAATCCCCAATTGCAGAATGATATTGACTACTGCCTTCTAGTGGAATGCGTGGCTTTACTATTCCCTTGCTGTAAGGGAGGTTCAGGATTTACCTGTTTGTCCAGTCTTGCTGAATCTGTCTCATTATTCTCTGCAATAGTTTTTGGTGGTGCCAACCTTCCCTGTGCGAGTGGAATCTTGTTATGTGGAAGTCAGATAATGCCTGTGGATTTTCCACCCTGTGAACAGTGGAGGGATCCAGTTAGCCACATCCCCTGTTGATGTTGCATTGGAATTTCTTGGCAGGCACTGGAAGGCGTGGCTTCCCATTAAACATCACGCAGTTCAGTTTCTGTGCTTTTCCACCTTGGTTGCTGTTTGCAGTAGATGGCAGACCACCAGAGCTTCTCTTGCCCCTCTACAGCCACCATTAAATGCAGCACAGGATCAAATGATTCTACAGAGGTTGGGGGCAAGATTTCACAGTCTTGCTGATGTTTAGCTTTTTACAGTGAGGAATCTCACCCTTTTGCTGCTGGAGCCAAAACCATATGGGGGTGGCATAGAGCATTCCAGACTCCATAGTTCAAGATTAAAGTGATGCAACGTAGAATTCCTTCCAGGACTTGGTAAGCAGAGAGCCAAGGCATACAACATAGGTCAAGCATTTGGAAAACTTCCCAGGGTGCTATCTCCATGGAAATAGGGTGCCATCCCCATGGAAACAGGTTAAAGAGCTGTGGTAAAATACTGGCCTTTCTTTAGCTTAGCTGAAGACATCTTTGTTTTGTTTTGGGTGTTGGAGATTGACTCCAGAGGCTACTCTGGACAGAATAAAATAATTTTAGGTTTATATGGGCTGAAAGATATGCAAAAAGTTTTTTAGGAGACAAAGTTTAAAAAGGAAAAATTTTGTGGAAATATTGACCATATATATATTGAGACAGGGCCTATCTGTGTATCCCTGGCTATCCTGGAACTCACTTTATAGACCAGGTTGGCTTTGAACTCACAGAGATCCACCTGCCTCTCCTTCCCAAGTGCTGGGATTAAAGTCATGTGCTACAACCGCCAGGCAACCCTGTATTTTATGGAGACAATTTAGTTAAGAAAGTCTGGTATTTGTTTAGGAAAAAAATTACTTACCAGTGAGCTAGATTAGAGTTTTCCAAAATATTTGAAAAACTTGGGCATTTAATTAGTACATGATAAAGGCAGTACTTCAGTTTAGTGAGCAAAGTGTATCCACACACTTGCCTCTCAAGACAAAATAGCTTCATATCCTATACCATATAAAAGACAAACTTCAAATGAGCTACAAATCAAAACATAGACTATCAAGCCATAAATCAAGTAAAATGTAGGAGTGATGTCAGAATGCCCCCCAGGAATGGAAGACATCTTTACAAGGATGGGAAACTTAGAGGCCATCAGAAAACAACAACTTACTGGTCTGGAACTCAGTATGTAGGCCAGGCTGTCCTGGAACTCACAGAGATCCACCTGCCTCTGCCTCTTGAGGGCTGGGATTAAAGGGGTGCATTGTCACACCTGGAAAAAATACCCAACAGCTTTAACTACATAAATTTTAATTATGACAAATATCACGAGCAAAGTCAATGATAAACGGTAAATTTATCAAAAAAAGGCTTGAGTCATGCAAAATGCTATGTACCCCGATTTTCAAAGAGCCCCCTAGGCAAGAAGAGAAGGTCCAATAAGGCAGATTGTTCAGGGAGGAGGGCAAGAAGAGGCTGGGAGCATTAAAGAGAGTGAGTCTCGGAGAAGTAAGTGTGTAGTAAGGTTACAATGAGATCTGTCTTCAATACTTTCAGGAGACGTCAAAGATAGTCTACACTGCATGTCTAGAGTAGTCTACACTGCAAACTCAAGCTTTGGGCAAATGTCTAACAGATAGAAAATTCCAGACTTTTAGTGCTGGGATTTCACTTTGGAGGAGTGCTGCTACAGAAGTGAGAGTCGTTTGAAATCAATGCCTGTTCCTAGCCGGAAGGTTACACACTGTTCGGAGGAGCATTTTTGGTTCAGCCCACCACCTGTCATGGAGTTCCTCTCTCAGATCCCATTCCCTGGTTCAGCTTTCCAATGCTCCCAGTCAGGAGTCAGTGACTACAGGCTCCTCCATATCCAGTGGGAATCTCACACAAGTGTTCCGATGGCTTCCTAATATTTAACACTTTGTACCAGACAGGTGTTTAGTCAGAGTTTTGGTGTTTTAACTTGTTTTATTCAAGCCCCAAAGGGTTTAAGAAATTCTTGCATGCTTTCTTTAGAGTTGAGAGCAGTGAGCTCTGTAGTAGTGTATCCCCAGTAACCTCTGAGAAAGTGGGTCCCAGAGTTGCTTTGAAAAAGTGGGTTCTAGGAGTTGCTTTTGGCAAAGACTACATTCTTAATTCTTTTGAGACAGGGGTCTCACTATGTAGACCTGGCTGGCCTTGAACTCACAGAGACCCACCCGCCTCTTTCTATCCAGTGAGCCACCACGTCTAGCCCAAGACTATGTACTAAAGTGGGTAAGGGCCAGGTCCATGGTTTCTGACTTTCCCTCCTAAGATTTTCATTTTCCTTTCAGCGTCAGTATGACCACCTGTTCCACAGTGGCTGCCCTGGGGATGATGCCTCTCTGTCTCTACGTCTACACCCGGTCCTGGAACCTTACACAGAGTCTCACCGTTCCGTATCAGAGCATAGGTCTGTGTGGGGCTTGTATAATGAGTAGAAAGAGCAGTGACAATGGTCCAGATGACAGATAACTACAAATCTCTTTATGTGGTGTTTAGCACCATCTAAATCGATCCTCCTTGCTTCTAGTTCTATTTCTTATTCTTTCAGGGTTAGCAAGGTTAGGTAACTGGATGAAATGTGGAACTGAAATCCTAACTCAGGACTCCGACCCTAACACCAAGACACCTAGCCATTATGCGCTAGTTTTTGTTGGTGTAGGGAATATCTGAGGCAGCATATTTATGAAGAAGACAGGTTTACTGAGCTCACAGTGTGTCTCACACTGGCTAGGTGTCCACAAACCATGGTGCATGTTTTTATGAGCCCCGTCCTCTAGCTGGGAATGTCATAGAAGGACCATTCTCATTTCTCACCAGGGTATTTCCATTGTCTTGAAAATCCCTGTGGTTGATTGTTGGGGGATTCTGAGCGAAACCGTGGCCCAGATGTGATAGAATTTACTAGCAGAACATACTCTTCAAAAATTGTCTTGTCAGGTGATGGTAGCACACGCCTTTAATCCCAGTACTCGGGAGGCAGGGGCAGGTGAGTCTCTGACTTCAAGACCAGCCTGGTCTACAAAGTTGAGTTCCAGGACAGCCAGGACTATTGCACAGAGAAACCATGTCTCGGCCTCTACCCCCTAAAAAACCAAAAAGTTATTTCAAAGCTGTTAACTAATTGAATCAGAAGTTACTGGGAAGGTATGGGGCACTAGGGGAGAGGGGCACTGTCTGATGGTTTTTCTTTCTTTTTAGGAATTACCCTTGTGTCCCTGGTTGTTCCTGTGGCCTTCGGTGTCTACGTGAATTATAGGTGGCCAAAGCAAGCGAAAGTCATTCTTAAGGTCAGCACCCCCTCCTACACATAGCAGACACAGAGACTAAGAGGTGGAACCCAAGAGCTGTCCCAGTACAGCCCGTTTCCTGCCCTTTGTCTGGGAGCCTTGCTCTGTCAGTCCCATTGGCCCACACATGTTTGTGACAGCTTGGAAAACATGATGCTCTTAGCGGACAGAAACACTTAGGCCTGACACGGCCTGTGATGGCCAGGACCTGTCCCTCCCCTGGGCTTCCTACGAGCACCAGCAAGGTGAAGCTCCTCCCTGCAGTGTGCACAATGGAACCTCAGTGTGTGGGGACATTGGTGACTTCTCCTCAGCAGAACAGGATGAAGGGCTGCCTTGCTGATGCATTCCCAGGCACACGCCGCTGGAGTTGTGATTGGTATACACAAGCCAGGGCTGCTGAGCTCATCATGGCAAGGTGTGGGTGAGATCACCCCGAAAGCGCTGAGGGCTGGAATGGTGGGAACCCAAGCATCCTTTCTTCCCTTGTTTGGCAGGGCTGTCTTTTATCTATTTGAGGAATAAGTGTTCTTGCTAAAATGACTTTAAAAATCACGTCAGAAGATAGAGGCTTGTGTTTCTTCAAAGCTGAGAAGGAATCTCAGCTGTGTTTTACATTTAGGAAGAAATGAGCGTTTGGGGGTTAATTGGAGGTTCAGCAGAAATGTCCGTTTATCTCAGCTTGGAGTTTATGGTTTGGCCCTATCTGAGCTCACTCTGCCTCTGTGGGCTGCTATTCCAGTTGAACAATGCCCATTGTTGCTCCAAAGAGAGCGAGAGGACAGGTGAAGGAGGACCTGAGTGAGTGCATGGAGCACTGGGCTGCACTCATGGGATAGGCCTCTTCGTTCCCACACTCATCACTGTCACTTTAAGAGGAGAACATTCCCAGGGGGAAATGTTTACAGAACAAGAGGGCAGTGTGACTATGGGAACTTTCTTTTCAAGTACTCAGTCATTAATTATTTTTCTTAAAGGGGCATTAATTGACAACAATTTAAAAATCCCATTTCAGCCTTTCTGTGTAGTTGTGGTTGTTTTTGTACCATTATCCACTGCTCCTGATCAGGGACAACCCTTCTGCTATTTAGTTGTTAATCTACTTCATCATAGTTATGCCTATGAAGAAAGTGCATATATGTGTGTTATACAGGATCCAGCCTTCACTTTATCTGATTTAATGCTCCGGCTAAACGTCTAAAGTTTAACCTTTTACACCTGTGCCGAGCTCAGCTTCACAGGAAGAACCTCAGCTGTGTCTCCCAATCACTGACGTTTTTGCTTTGCTGTAGGTTGGGGCCATCGTTGGTGGAATCCTCCTTCTGGTGGTGGCGGTCACTGGTGTGGTTCTGGCAAAAGGATGGAACACAGATGTCACCCTTCTGATCATCAGTTTCATTTTTCCTTTGGTTGGCCATGTCACTGGCTTCCTGCTGGCATTCCTCACTCACCAATCTTGGCAAAGGTATAGTTACATAACCTGTAAGGTGTGCATGCATGTGTGTGTCTGAGACTCAGGGTTCAGACCTGTGTTTGCTAGACACAAGCTCTTCCTCTGATTCTTGCTGGGCTCTGTAAGCTTTCTGAGGCAGGTGTGTTGAGCTCTGCCAGGAAACAGGAAGGGTTTTACTTCGCTTGTGATCAGGAAGCTTATGGTGATTCTTTACATAGACGAAAGTCACATGGATGGGGTTTATTTTATTTTATTTTGGTTTTACGAGACAGGGTCTCTCTGTATTATTTTGGAGGCTGTCCGTCCAGCCTGGCCTCGAACTCACAGAGATCTGCCTGCCTCTGCCTCCTAAGTGCTGGGATTAAAGGCATGCGCCACCACCGCCCGGCTGGATGGGGTTTATATAGTCAGGGTTACTATTGCAGCAATGAAACAGCTTGACCAAAAACGACCTGGGGAGGAAAGGGTTTATTTCCACATTGTAGTCAGTCATTGAAGGAAGTCAGGGCAGCAACTCAAGCAAGAAGGACAGGAACCTGGAGGCAGGAGCTGATGCACAGGCCATGGAGGACTCTGCTTACTGGCTTGCTCCCCATGGCTTGTTCAGCCTGCTTTCTTATAGCACCCAGGACCACCTGCCCAGATGGTCCCTCCCACAGTAGGCTGGGTCCTCCCCCATCAATCACTAATTAAGAAAGTGCCCCACAGCTGGATCTTATGGATGCATTTTCTTGATTAAGGTGCCTTTCCTTCAGATAACTCCAGCTCATGCCAAGGTGACAAAGCATCAGCACTGGTTGTAGTTTATGAATTTAGGGTTAGGGTTTTAGTATGGCTTGTTGGTCTCTGAACTGTTCAAGTCCAGCCAGGACTACATCAGAAGACCCTGTCTCAATTATAAACCCGAGAAGGGTGATGTGTGAACCCATGGATCAATAGCAGGGGTGAAATTTTTTTTTTGCTCAATATAGAGATTATAGTAGGGCATGAGTACATTTTAATAGACCAAATCCTCGTTCATTGTGCCAGATTTTTAAAGAATTACTAGTTTAGAATAATACAGGAATTTGTCTTAAATATTATCATTTGGACTTGGGTATACATTTATAAATACTGTAAAATCTAAATGTCGGCGTGCATGTCATGATATGAATGCAATGATATAATAATGAGGGGGATGGTGACAGAGACCAGCATTAACTTTCTGGAAGGCAATTTAGTGTTGTACTAGCAGCCTCGTGTGTGTTTCTGACTATTAACTCAGTGCTTTTGACTGTGGTTGAGAGCAGGGTGTTGCTATGGAGACCTGGCTGACCTTAACTCTATATTCTCATGTCTCAGCCTCTTGAGTGACAGAATTAAAGAGGTGTGTGTCCCCACACTCATTGGTAATCTATTCTAGTGCTATGTCTATCAGATATACACATGAATACTGATACAATAAGATGCCAATTACAGTGCTCTCTAGAAAGGTAAAAATGGAAACAATTTAAATATCTAACAATAGGGTCATGTTTATTTATGCAGCATGTGTGTGACAGGAACACTGCATTAATCCTGATGATATTGGGCAATGATCCAGAGCTAAACTAGTTTAAAATTGCTGATTTCTACTTTGTGGGAAAAAGGCAAAAAGAATATGGAAAAATACTGGAAGAAATGGTATTTAGAGCAGGGAAGTCAAGGGTAATTTCAGTTCTTTCGTAACTCCTGGGAGTATTTTCTGTTTCTCAGCAAGTGGGTTTATTTTTAAATTGGGAATGATTACAGGAAAGTGTCTGGACTGGAAAGGCTGGGTGGGGAAGGCTTGGGTTGCTCTTACACTGCTTCCATTCCACCCAGGAACACCACTGAGCATTGCACAAGCACTGGGTGAGGCCCCGCCTCGTCTAGCCCTGCTTTCTTCTTGTTGCAACCTGACAGCAGGGAGCTGTGGTTATCCCGCCCACTGATGAGCAAGCCCTCTGGAGAAGATTAGGAATGTAACCAAGTTCCTATAGCTAGAAAGGGGAATTTGGGTTTGAACCTGGGTTTGCTTCCAAGTTCAATAGTTAGGAGCATAGACTAGTGAGTGATGGAGATTGACGGCTGGATCTGGAGAAAAGTTAAGCGTTGTCAGCTGTCTAGTCCTTCTCTCATCCCCTAGCCTGACAGAGATGAGGCCGGAGATAGCCGCATTTGCTTTGTGAATGGTCCCGGTGAGCTGCAACTCTGTGTTGGCACATCAAGCTAGGAAGTTTGAGGGAAGTGCACTCTGCATGAAGGAAGGAGGAATACAGTGTGTCACAGAACTTGCCTGTTTCACACCCCGTGTCTATGTGGAATCCCGGCTCCACCAAAGCACCTTTAACCATCCTTTTCACATATGAAGGCTGCAAGCGCCTTATATTCTGGTCTCCTCCATTCCTCCTCTGCATGCAGACTGGCTTTTAGTACAAGAAGCCCCTCCTGAAGAACCACGCTCATGCTTGTGCCTGCTCACATTTGTGCCTGCTCACACTTGTTCCATGCTCACACTCGGGTCTGCTCACACTTGTTCCATGCTCACACTCGGGTCTGCTCACACTTGTGCCATGCTCACACTCGGGTCTGCTCACAGTTGTTCCATGCTCACACTCGGGTCTGCTCACAGTTGTGCCATGCTCACACTCGGGTCTGCTCACAGTTGTTCCATGCTCACACTCGGGTCTGCTCACACTTGTGCCATGCTCACACTTGGGTCTGCTCACAGTTGTTCCATGCTCACACTTGGGTCTGCTCACACTTGTGCCATGCTCACACTTGGGTCTGCTCACACTTGTTCCATGCTCACACTTGTTCCATGCTCACACTCGGGTCTGCTCACACTCGGGTCTGCTTACACTTGTTCCATGCTCACACTTGTTCCATGTTCACACTTGGGCCTGCTCACACTTGTTCCATGCTCACACTTGTTCCATGCTCACACTTGGGTCTGCTCACTCACGTGCCATGCTCACACGCTCCTTGCTGCCACTCCCCTGATACTGATCACCTCTTCAAGTTCTGTAGCTTCACTACTCTGCAAAGCTTCCTGGAACTGCCGCTGCTGAGTTTCTACAGCATCTCCTGGCCCTGATCATTGTTCAAATTGTTGGTGAACCTTTTCTGGTGTGCGTCTTGTCCTTTTACTCCAATTCTTGGGCCAGGGTTCTCCAGGCCCTATTCCATGGGGCATCCTTGCCGTATACAGAAGATGATCCCAGTAGTAGCTGTCAGTGAACACATTCTTTTAGTTGCCTGGGTTTGTAGCTTAGCCCTGTCATTATTCGAAGGGAACTCTCGAGGGTGGTCCTTTTTGCTAGTTCACATCTCTCCAATCTGCTCACGACAGGTGCAGGACGATTTCCATAGAGACCGGAGCTCAGAACATCCAGCTGTGCGTCGCCATGCTGCAGCTGTCCTTCCCTGCCGAGTACCTGGTCCAGCTGTTTAACTTTGCGTTGGCCTACGGGCTCTTCCAAGTGCTGCATGGACTCCTCATTGTCGCAGGTGGATGAATTCTCTCTGTATGTCCTGCCCTGGTGTTGTAACTTTAGCCTCACACTGTTGGGGACCACGGAGTCCGGATACTCCGTCAGGATACTCCGATGCAGTGGGCATTTCCCAGAAAATATTTAAAAAGCCATTTGAGTGAGATCTTGAAACCACGGAGAGCTGAACTATACAAAACCATCCCCGTAGCTTTTATGTCGTGTCTCACTCAGAGGCTCGAGCTTCTCCAAATGATGGGCCCCAGAGAAGGAAAACCTAGGCTCAGCTGGTGCAGAGGATTTTTCAAATACAAACCTAACACATAAACAAATGCAGACACAGTGCAATATTACGCATACATGGACCCACATGTGCTAGTCTCCTGCCTACTCAGCCGAATACATGTTACTTTGGGGGTAAATGCTTATGTGCGGGAGACAAATTGCAAGAAGGTGTGAATGCACATATGTACATGTACATCCGTTTATCTCGGTCTTGGACTCTGGGATAGGCTCTAGGAAGGTTAGTGGGTACTGATGGAGTTGATTGTACACGTTACACCTTTCTGCTGCTGTGGTGAAATGCAGCGCCCAAAGATAACCTATAGAAGAGAGATCTCATGTTCACTTACAGCTAGAGAGAGGGTGGGGGCGTGTGCACATAGTGGCAGGAGGCAGGGCAGCCGGAGACTAGCTGGTCATGTTTCAGCTACACACAGGAAGCAGAGCCAGGCTCCAAAGAAGCTCAAACTGTGTCCCTAGTGAAGCACTTCCTCCAGCAAGGCTCCGTCTCCTAAGGCTTTGCAGTGCCCAGCACTGGGGTCCAAGTGTTGAAATGCATGGGCTCGTGGGGGCGTGCTCTCATACTAACCACCACACATACTGATTATCATGTGCTATTGGTATGATAACAGTGGTGTAAGGACACTTGGGCTTGGGGGTTTCCTATGGGATACAGACGTACTATTAGGACAAACTCCCAGTTCTGAGACCCAAAGTTTCCAAGAAACATTATATTGAGCCTCTTTGCAGCTATGTCCTAGCACTCAGGCGAGAGCCCGATGCACAGTAAGCACCCGCAAGGGTTTGTTGGCTGACTGAGTGAATAAGCTCAGAGATCTGATGAATAAACCGCAATTCTACATAGAGAGAGCCATTCTGATACCCAACACCTTTCATTCCATAGCTTTCTCTTCTCACTTCTTTCCCTCAGGTTCCCACTCACGTACCATGCAAACCGATCAACTCTCCCAAAGTAGAGATGCGTATGCCCTGTCCCCCACTTGTACTCTTTGCTAAAGTGATTTTTTTGAGGGGGGTTTTGAGACAGGGTTTCTCTGTGGCTTTGGAGGCTGTCCTGGAACTCGCTCTTGTAGACCAGGCTGGTCTCAAATGCACAGAGATCCACCTGCCTGTCTCCTGAGTGCTGGGATTAAAGGCGTGCGCTGCCACCACTCAGTCTAAAGTGATTTTCAATGCTATTTGTTTTTTTTTCCACCTAGCATATCAGGCATACAAGAGGAGGCAGAAGAACAAACACAGGAGGCAGCACCCAGATTGCCCCGAGGTCAACTACGAGAAGAATCCCAGGGAGACCAGTGCTTTCCTGGAGGAAGGCGATGGAGCTGCCGTAACTCTGAGGCTGCCAGGACCAGAGCAGCAGCACAGAGTTGCAGAGTAACCAGACACATTCCTTCGTGTGAACAGTGGGAGACATGGGCCAGCTTGGCTCGCCATCTTCCTTCGTGGCCAGTAAAGACCATGCGCTGATGTGCCAACATCTCTGGCAGGTCTGTGCGAATATGCAGCGTTTGTTACGTACCGTGGGACAGCGAATGGAGGCTGCCAGTGAGCAGTAGACATCTCCCTGTGAAGCTGGTCTCCTGATGCATATTTTAACCTGAGAGAGAGAGAGAGAGAGAGAGAGAGAGAGAGAGAGAGAGACAGAGACAGAGACAGAGAGACAGAGAGAGAGACAGAGAGAGAGATAGAGAGAGACAGAGACAGAGAGAGAACACACGGTGTAGTGGTGATGTCACTAACACTACAGGTTGAAGTGGGTCTAGATCCATGGGCTCCTTGGCTTCCAGCAGGTGCTCTGGAGCTCTTAGGGAAGATATGCTAAGAGAAAATGAGTTTCAACGATGTGATTTGTTTTAACTAAAAAGTTTTTATTTATTTTACACACCAACCACAATTTCCCTTCCCCCCTCTTCTCCTGCTCCCTTCCCCCACCTACCTTCTACCCCTACCCCTCATCCACTCCTCCTCTGTCCCCATTCAGAAGGGGTAAGGCCTCCACAGGAGTCAACACAGCATGGTATATAAAGTTGGGGCAGGACCAAGCCCCTCCCCCTTGCATCAGGGCTGGGCAAGGCATCCCACCACAGGGAATAGGTTCCAAAGGGCCAGCTCATGCACCAGGGACAGGTCCTGGTCCCATGCAGGCTCCCCAGCTGCAATTGCATCTTGTAATTTTGGGTTTGAGTGAAAAATCTAAAGAAAACATGAGAAGAATCTAAAAAGTGAGTATCGGGGATAGTTCTTTCTCCAGAGAGGAACAGATATGTGCCCAGAATCTCCAAAACAGACAGCACTTGCAGCGAACCACCAAAACAGCAGAGAACACATGTGCATCCCCTGAGTCTCCTTGTGTACCAAGTCATCTAAACAGCCTGGAGCTTGTTTCCTGTGTGTCCTGACAGTGGACTGATGATCTCAGAGCATCTTCATACATCTGTCTGTGTTACCTACCTCATTCTTCAGAACTGTCTACGTCTGAGTGTTGTGTTATATAGGACTGTAATTTATTTAACTCCTCTTTATTAGTGGGTTTTTAGATACCTCACAATGTAGCATTGCTATGAACCCCTGGCCCTCATGCCCAAGTCCTTGTAGGCTTCTTCTTCCAGCTCTAGTGGGCAGGCCCACTGCCCCTCAAAATCTTGGGCAGATTGCTCTGTCTCCGAAGGGCTTTGTTTAATAAACGATCTTTCATCACTTTGATTTGTGAAAACATCTCATTAGAATTATGACACCAAAACTACAAACTAGAACTTTTTTTATGTTCATGTCCTCCCTCATGTGTTTGACCTGCCTTTTTTTCACATATTTTTATTTTGCCTGTTTTTGAAGACAGGATTTCTCATGGTAGCCCAAGGTAGTTTAAGTTGTCAAAAATCCCCCTGCTTCAGCCTCTCCAGTGTTCAAAACTGCAGTGCTGGGCTACCTTATTTGTACTTTGTTATAGGCGGTTGCGCCTTAGTCCTGTGTGCTGCCAGGGCTCGCCTAGCTTGTTTCCTGATTGCGTCTGTAGAGACTTACATATACATTTCCCACACATTTTAGCTTTATCGGTCTTTTAGAAAAGTTGTAAAGACCAGGAGTTGGAATGTTATTTTTATGTGGGTTATGAGTTGTCATATGCTCCCTGTGGAGAATGCGTGCCCTTTTCAGTTGTTTGCTTTCTGCGGTGGGTATTTGCCCACGTACCTGGCAATGAGTAAAATCTATACCTCCTTTAATAATCCATACATTATTAAAATAATTTCCCATATGCTTTTCTGTTACCTCATGAGTGTAATACTTGCCTATTCCTCATTCTTGGTGCAGTATGTTACAATCCTATTTTATAAATCTGCCCTTTTTTAAAATTTTTTTCCAAGTCTATGTATATTTTAAAACACTGTAAGTAAACCCTTTAGAGCTTTTTCCCCCATCTGAATCAGTCTTTACTATGTATCTTTATTTTTTTATGATCATGAATCTTTAATCTGTTAATTGCATGGATAAGATTAAAGCGGCAGTGGCCACCACTGAAAGTTCACTGCAAAGCAAGATGCCACTACAAAAAGGATCATCACCAAAAGGTTTAGAAGACCCACGATGTTCTGGATGTTTGTCTACAAGAGCACCTATGGAAAATGTAGGATTCAACAATCCCATATGTGAAAGCCCGTTTTGTTAAAGAAACACCAGTCACCACAAATGGCACATCTGAAGACTGCTTCTGATTCTGTCTAACACCAGGTTGCTTGCAGGGACATCCAGGGTTCCTAGAACAGAGAGTAAAACCTGGTGGGCTGCTTAGTTTTGTTTTGTTTTTTGACTTGAAACAAGTTGGAGTCATCTGGAAAGAGGAAGATCAAATGAAGAATCCTAGCTTGGTGTTGGGATTATGTGAGCCACCATGCCTGGTTCTAAATTGATGTTTCTCATTCTGCAGTGCTCATGACAGTATACTGTGCCATTCTGTTAAATGAGCACATGAACTGTACATATCAGTGGAATCCACAATGGTGTTTCCATACATGTGTGTGGCAAGCGTTGGTCATATTCAGGCATTCCTCCTCCACCTTTACCTGGCTCCCCAAACTCCTATTCCCTAGTAATGACTACTTTTCAGGTTTTTTCCTTATATTTCCACATTTAAGAGAGAACTTTTTTTTTGCAGGGGGGTCTGTTTTGTTTAACATGGTGTTTCTCAGTTACATTCATCTTCCTGAGAAGTGGCAGATTCCAGTCCTCTTGATAGCTGGGTGATAATTCACTGTGTATCTGCAGATGGGCACTTGGGCTGGTCCTGTAGCACAGCTATTACTGGTAGCAAGAACTCTAGTACTAAACCCTAGCATACAGGCATTTCTTTTGGCTATGGAGACTGGTGGCGCCTGGACCACAGGGTAGCTCAGTCCTGGAGTGCTGGAGGAAGTGGCCGCACTATTTCCATTGCACCAACAGTGTGCAGTCTTCCGTTTTCTCCACAAGTCCCATCCTTTCTAGCATTCACCTTCAAACACAATCTAGTTCAGTTTGGCAGCAACTTCAATTATCATGGGCCTCCCTTTCTATAGTAGAGTTGTCTCAGGGAGCTGGTTGCCCTGCATGCAAGCTGTCCTCTGTGATGAGTGACCCAGGCCTGATAGGGTGCTTTTATCCACTCCACATGTGACCATCAGTGCTTTTCTGTTTCTGAAGATGACCTGGAGAGCTACCATCATCCTGGATTCTTAGAACAGGAAGGAATTCAGAGAGAGGCAGGGAGAGAGAGACCCTGCTGGGCTGTTGGCCTCCCACAACTGTTATGGAAACTAGATCAGCCATTCCTTGAGCCACAGTAGCTCTGGCAGGTGTTCCCAGCACACAGCAAACACAGGGCTGTCTTTAGTCAAGGATTTGACATGAGTTCCCCAACACATCCCCTGGCACTGTGGCCTTCCTTACCTGGCACTTTCACCATGGTGGCCCTGCCATTCCATGGGGGTGGAGCTGAGATCCCGATGAGGGCAGAGACACAATTATAATAACCCGTCACTCAGATGCCACAAACCTCCACTTACACCTTTTCAGTTTCCATTTCTCAGCTACATTCTTTCTAGAAAAAGTCGCCTCCAGTGCTGTCCTCACCCAGCTGTGCTGGCTTCAGATGGCAGCCGATGACCCCCACCCATGCTGGATCCTGGCCCTCTGTATCCTGGCACCCTGATAACAATAGAACCCCCTTTCCCTTTTCCTCCCCCAACCGCAATGATAGTGTTGGCTACAACTTCACCTATGGACATGCTTCTAGAACATGCGCTTAGGTAAAATCAGAGACAGCTCAGATGTGGGGCAGGCTGGGAGGAGTGCCGGAGTCCTGGGCGCTAGAAAATGGGGGTGACAGAGTCAGGATTTGGTGAAATAAGCCAGCACGGTGCTCAGAGAATCACCAATCACGGGGCACCCTCTTGGAGCATGAGCTGTCCTTCCTGCTAGCAAAAAGCAGACAAGCCCAGGGAGCTGGCTGTCATGTCCCAGCAAGCCCTGGCCAGCTGTGTTCTGAACTTTACCATGGTGGGGGCATCACGTTCCACTTTAGCTCTCAGTGAGGGGTAAAAGCTGGCTGTGTGGTGCCACTCAAAGTCAGGGAGAAGCCAGCCAAATCATGACCCCATGCCAGCTCGTAGGAAGTTGTCAGGACTTCTGACATGCCTCATGCCTGGTGGCTGGTGTGGCTGACCAACTGGGAAATGGCTGAGTTAGGGTGCAGGTGTCCCTGGCTCCCTGAAGACGCCTGAATTGACTGTCCAAGTTTAAGATGTGGTTTTATTTACAAAGTGAGATGACGCATTGAAAATAGATGACACAGGCACAAGTGGGTATCTTATAATTCCATTTTCATGAAAAGTATATAAATATATTACAGGAAATTGCATATAGTAAACATTAGAAACTGATATAGTAAACATTGCTAGTTTCTTTTCTATGCTGTTTTACTGTCATTAAAAGCTTAAATACTGGCTTCAAGTATCCTCTATAAAATAAATCTACTTTATTAAAATACTGGAGAATTTGCTATAAACAAGATTTGGTACATTAAAAATAGTCTGTGTCTTTGTAACAATGCTCACTATGATCAAATGCTGCCTTGTTCCTAAGACGTGCCTTGTTCAGGTCATGTGAAACGAGTTCTGATAACCATCAGTTGTTAAACACGGCATCCTGATATGTATATCTCCCAGGAGTGCCCTCCTATAAGGATGAGGGATTGAACATCGTCACTGTGACTGCTTGGACTGGCTGCTCTTGTTTGAGCGGAGCAGGAGTCAGCAAGGGGGCATGGGGGTCATCGGAGGCTGCTCTCGGTCACTGTGGGAGTTATGGCTGTGCCTTCTGTTCTTCAGCCTGAAGATGAGTCAGGACATAGAGGATGACTTGATAGCAGAACACGTACTGACCCTGTAGGAGAGGTGGGAAGCGGGGGGCACGGAAAGGCTTCATTTATATAATGTAAGTTTATACAACTAAGGTTTAAGAAATTTGGAATTACGAACTTTTTTGTTTAATGCTGAATGTAAGAGTCAGGGCACAGAACTGTATAGTACCATAAAATTATAAAACAAATTGATTTAAAAAAAGAGAGCAAAGTACCAATGGGTTATGTGTAGAATGATCCTGGGTTACATAAATATCGCAAGGAATCTTTCTCTCTGTATGTGATTTTATTTTATCTTTTGGTGCTGGGGACCAAACCCAGGGCTGTGTACTTTCAAGAAAAGTGCTCTACTACTGAGCTGTATCGCCAATCTTTAAAATCTAGATACTCTACATTTACCGAACTCATGTTCTTGTTTTAAAATGTTAAAGAATCTACTAAAACAAACTTCTTTAAAAATTTCAGAGAAAACAAAGCAATAAAATTTATTTATTTATTTTTGGTTTTCAAGACAGGGTTTCTCTGTATTGTTTTGGAGCCTATCCTGGCACTTGCTCTGTTGACCAGGCTGGCCTTGAACTCACAGAGATTTGCCTACCTCTGCCTTCCTAGTGCTGGGATTAATGGCGTGTGCCACCACTGCCTAGCTAGAGGTAAAAATTAAAATATAATTTAACATATTATAAAATAACACAACTTTTAAGTAATAAATATGAAATAATCTTTGTTTCAATACTTTTGATCTAAAGAGTACAGAAATCAATGAGCCTTGATAATGAGTCCTTATCGTGAAATTAATGCCTAAGCTGATGATGCTGAGATCTGGCAAAGAATTAATGACTCAAGAAATAAATGGTAAGAAATCACAGTGGACTAAAGAGCCTACTCAGTAGTTAAGAGCACTTGCTGCTGTTGCAGAGCATAGGAATATGGTTCCTAGTATCCACATGGTGGATCCCAGCTGCCTCTAACTACAGCCCTAGCAGACCTTAAAATAAAAATCTTAAACAAAGCCCACAGTAGATTAAGTGGACAGCTGGAGTGTATGTGAACAAGAATTCTTCCCAGATCTGAAACGCCAGCAACTTGACAGAGAGGGAGTGTTAGCTGCCTTCAGCCTCCTGCTATTCATCTGCATTTTAGCTTTTGTGAATTCCCATGTTCATGGCAGACTTCTCTCAGGGCTGCCGATCATCAGCAAGTCTACTTCACAGATGTCTTCCGTCCACAGTAATAATCACTTTGTAGCCAATCACCCTGCTCACCTTGTAACTGGTTCCTGCCCTCTACACCCTGAGTGTCCCTAACCCAGCACAGCTCATGCTCCATCACAGTGCTGGAGCGATTATTTAAAGCGTGCAGTCCATCTCTCCAGGCTACAGGCTCCTGAGTGCTTGCCTGTCACTCAAAGGAAATCACCCTCCACCCCTCTTCATGCCCCACTGGACAGGCTCCTTCTTGAACACACAGCCCATTCTCTCTCCATGCAGCACTCTGCCTGAGGACTCCCCGGACCTGGACTTCCAGGACCTCGACTTAAATGTTACTTTAAAAAAATCACATTTATTAGACTGTTCTTTTGAATTTTCATCCATGTATATAATGCACTCTGATTCTCCTTTCTCTCTGGAATAACTGCCACCCCTCTTATTACCTACACCCTGGTCACCACCCTTGTTCCCTACAGGACCTTCTCTTTCATTCATCTCTTTTTGACTTGTGACTCAGTGACTTTATTCAGGGCCATCTGTATGATCATGAGTTTGGGGCCACCCACTGGGACCCGCAGGCTCATATGTGGGCACACACTGAAGGAGGGGTTGCTTTTTCTTTTTTTAATTTTGGACAGGGGCTCACCACGCAGCGTTCATTGGCCTGGGAGTCACTATGTAAAGCAAGCTGGCCTCAAACTCAGGCGTGGGACACCAAGCCTGGCTGGTGCTACTTTCTTAATGGTGTCACTCTGTTTAAAATTGTGTCTCCAGACTTCCTTCACCCAGTTTTTGATAAAGTGCTTGTCCCTTTGAGGGCTATGTGATGGCCTGCCACACTCACCATCCCATGCAGTGTCTCTGGCACTGTAGCAGTGTGTGTGTGGCTCAGTTGTGTTCAGGCACTGGGGGCTAGCGCACAGACCTCACTTGTCCTCAGTGAACACACAGGTAAAAGAACACTGCTATCCCAACCAACCAATGTGTTTTCCTTAGCCAGCTACAGCATGGCTGTAAATCAGCCTCAATTTGAATCAAAACTGTACATGACTGGAAAAGCAGGCAAGCTGCAGACAGAAGTGCCTGTGTTTTTAAGGCAGATAGATGTGACTCTATGGACATGTAAGTCTCCTACATTGTTCCAGAATAGAAGAAAAGGAGGGTGGGGGGCCTCAGCAATGTTAGGGTCAAGCTTAGAATAGTGCACTTTCTGTGCCGGGTGGGCTCAGCTGGGAGTCACTGGGTGATATAATCCATGCTCAGTTTCAGGAAAGAAAAATGAATACAACACTAACAGCTTGTGGGAGCTGCCTGGCCAGCACCCTGCAGAGTCATCTTGGTTTTAAAGAGCTGCTTCTGCTGCAGCCCCAAGTCTCCATTCCCTGGGTACTCCAGCAGTAAGGGCACAGCAGCCCCGCCTCTCAGCTCCCCCTGGGGACACCAGCAGTGAGAGCACAGCAGCATTTGTCTTCTGAAGGTTGGGGGTGGGGAAGGATGATTTCAATGGTGCAGTATTCAGCACCATTTCTACTCTGCACCTCCAACACGTCCACTCTCTGTGACCAAGTTAGTGAGGACACTGCATTTCTCCTTCCCTCCTCTGTCATCTGTGTGTGCGCGCACGCGCACATGTGTGTGTCATATGTGTGAGGAAGCTAGATGATAACCTTGGGGGTTTTTCCTTACTTTTTGAGACAGGGTCTCTCATGGGCTCATAGACTCAGCCAAGCTGGCTAGTGAACCCCAGGAATGTTCCTGATTCCACTCCTGTGATCACAAGTGTGATCCCAAGTGTGAGCCACCATTCCTGGATTTTATGTGGGTTTTGAGGATCAAACCAGGACCCCACACTTCATTGAAAGGGCTATCTCCTTAGCTCCCATTCTTGTTTTTTTTTTTTAATTAAAGGCATTATCTAAAATGACAGTCTAAAATACTTATCATTTTCTGAGTTAGTCCTCATGCAAATACAAGTTCTTTATGACAAGAAATGTTGGGTTTATGCTGCAATATGGAAGGAAATCTAAAAAAAGATCGTTGGGCATAGTGGTTTTGCTTTCCTGGATATTCCAGCCACCTGAAAAGCTTCAGCAAAAGAGTGAGCCCAGTTCCAGGCCAACCTGGGCAACATAGCAAGAGCACCCCAAAAGAAAAATAAAAAAGAGAATAAAAGTTTAAGAGCACTTTAAAAGCATGAGTGTCTTAAAATGAATCTTCATAGCACACACGGACTCACCTCTGTCTGCACCATGCCGTGCCTCTGCAGTCTCATGCAGCGCACCAAGTCGGAGATGTCGAACTGCCAGGACACACAACAGTGCGTTAGACACAGGCCCGGATGAGTCACAGGACACACAACAGTGCGTTAGACACAGGCCCGGATGAGTCACAGGACACACAACAGTGCGTTAGACACAGACCCCGGATGAGTCACAGGACACACAACAGTGCATTAGACACAGGCCCGGAAATGCACAGGACACACAACAGTGCGTTAGACACAGGCCCGGATGAGTCACAGGACACACAACAGTGCGTTAGACACAGACCCCGGATGAGTCACAGGACACACAACAGTGCGTTAGACACAGGCCCCGGATGAGTCACAGGACACAAAACAGTGCGTTAGACACAGGCCCCGGATGAGTCACAGGACACACAACAGTGCGTTAGACACAGGCCCAGAGGATGCACAGGACACACAACAGTGCGTTAGACACAGGCCCGGATGAGTCACAGGACACACAACAGTGCGTTAGACACAGGCCCGGAAATGCACAGGACACACAACAGTGCGTTAGACACAGGCCCGGAAATGCACAGGACACACAACAGTGCGTTAGACACAGACCCCGGATGAGTCACAGGACACACAACAGTGCGTTAGACACAGACCCGGAAGATGCGTACTGATTCACGTTAGAATTCCTTTTTTAAAATATAGATTTGTTTATTCACTTTACATCCCGGTGGCAGTTTCTCCTCCTCCCCTCCCAGTGCCACTTCCCACTCCCTCTCTTCCCACCCCAGCCTACTCCCCCTCTGTTTCTGTTTAGGAAAGGGCAGGTCTCCCTCAAATATCAAAAATCAAAATAAAACAAAACAAAAAACCACCACTACCACCAACACAAAACATGGCATATTAAGTTGCAACAAGAATATGAACCTCCTCATGTATTAAGGCTGAGGACGGTGACCCAGTATGAGGAAAGGGTCCCCAAAAGTCAGCAAGAGTCAGAGATAGTCCCTGCTCCCACTGTTGGGAGTCCCCCAAGAGGACCAAGCTACACAACTGTCACATATGCAGAGAGCCTAGGTCAGTCCCATGCAGGCTCCCTGGTTGTCAGTTCTGTCTCTGTGAGTCCCCATGAGCCCAGGCTGTTGATTCTGTTTTCTTGTGGTATCCTCCACCCCTCTGGTTCCCACAATCCTTTTTCCCCCTCTTCTTCAGGGTTCCTTGAACTTTGCCTAACATTTGCCTGTGGGTCTGCATCTGTTTGCATCAGTTGTTGGATTAAGTCTCTCTGACAATTGAGCCAGGCACCAATCTGGTGCTGTCCCTCCTGATCATTGTTTGAACTCTCCTGCATGTAACTCCATGAACTGACTTTTTACAATACTTATGATGCTTCTAACAATCAGAGTCCACTGTTTGAAAATCTTCAACAGAAGTTCTCTTCCTCTGAAATTTAGTTCATTTCTTAAACTATAAAAAACAATATAAGCAATATTCCTTACATACTGCTGTTCAGAATAAAACTCCAAATCTTTTAAATTTAGCTGACACTGAACAGTCTGAGGCAAGGGCAGATTGGACTGCTGGGTTTGCCCCACTTCATTTATCATGGTTTAAAATAGTATCAAGCACAAGACAGAACTGCTTCATCTAAAATCCTTTAAGAGACAGTGCTTTGGGGGCTGGAGACATGGCTCAGCAGTTAAGAGCACTGGCTGCTCTTCCAGAGGTCCTGAGTTCAATTCCTAGCAAGCACATGGTGGCTCACAACCATCTATAGGGGGATCTGATGCCCTCTTCTGTCATAAAGGTGTGCATGCAGATAGAGCACTAACACACATAAAATAACTAAATAAATCTTAAAAAGAGTGATATATATATACTTTGGTTAAAATCACTCATATACACACACACACATACATATGTAGGTAAATGAAAGATATTTTGTTAATTAAGTAGGTTTTATACTAACTTAAGAGCCCAAAGTAAGATCATAATGCTATTTGCTTTAATGTACTGTATGTATGTATGTATGTATATTGGTTTTTCAATGAAAGGTTTCTCTGTTGTGGCCCAGGCTGGCTTTAAAGTCGGAGATCTACCTGCCTCTGCCTCCCAAGTGCTGGGATTAAAGGCTAGCACCATTTCCTGGCTTTTAGCAATATTTTTAAAATTAGGAATAACAATTTAGTGCAACAGAACATCTCATAGAGAAACTTATGGACTGTAAGGGGTAAGAAAGGATAGTGCCCACAGAGCTTTATTATACTTTTAAATAGTCATATTATTAAATAGTAGATTCAACAATATTTTTACTCACTTCAAGATCTTGGCTGATTAATCCTAGGACCACATCTATGCATATGAGGGTTCCCGAACGTCCAATGCCAGCACTGCAGTGTGTGATGACTGGGCCTGACCTATGGATATGTCTCATGTAGGAGATGAAAGTGAGCAGGTCATCTGGCTGGGAGGGTGTATCATGGTCTGGCCAGGCAGTGAAATTCAGATGAGTGATCTGCCGTACCTCTCCTGTCTGAAAGTGTAAAAAACAGAGTGAGTTACAATGTCCACTGTTCCTAAGTTAGATCCTCATAATATCATTGTGATCTTTCAAATTTGAGTAGTATATTGGATCAGACCAAAAGAAAAAATGGAAGAGATAAAAGGCTTCATAAATACACAAAGTAGGCGTGATGGAGTATATCTAACTTCCAGAATTCAGACCAAGAGAGGAAGATGGAGCGTTCAAGGCCAGCTTAGGGATCTATAGCAAGACTGTGACTCAAACCGACATACAGAAAGGAGACACAGGAAAACTGTATCAAGTTTTACACCACCCCCACTACAACCCCCTCCACCCCCACAGTCCTAGAGGCTGGGAATGGTATTCAGGTCCTTGTGTACATAAGACAAAAGCCTTACTTAGCTCTTGTGGGCTCATTTAAATTAAACACACTATAATGTTGAGTCTCAGAACCTTTATGCTTTCTTTACAGTTAGGGATCCCAATCTTCTGTGGCTTTATCATCGCCTTCAGTTTTCCTCAAACGCAACCTCTCAGGCCTCTCCTGACCCACCACTGAACATACAACATACATTTCACTGTCTATCAAATGTTGCTTTCCCTGCTTCATTTTCCCCACAGAGCTATTAACACTAGCTTCTCTTCCTTAGGGACTGAGCTCCATGAGGTATGGAATGCTTTGCCTGTTGTTAAAATGCTAAACCACTGGGATCCACTGTGGGGTTTGAATTCTAGAACTACATGTATAATATATGATCAGATCACTTGAGGAATAATGAGCAACAAAACTTCCCAAAACAATGGGTAACAGGTGTATCAACCTGATCAATGGGTAACAGATATATCAACTAAGCAATAGGTAACAGGTGTATTATAACATTTCATGATATAGAAGCATGTACAATTTTTATGTGTCAATTCAAAATGTCTAGGTTTCATAAAAGAGTAAAACCTTGACTACTTTATAAAATAATAAACACCGAAAAATCCTATATACTGTGTAGATGATGCCAACAGAAGTGAATCAATATATCTTCTTTTTTATTTTATTTTTTGAGACAGGGTTTCTCTGTATTGTTTTGGAGGCTGTCCTGGAACTAGTTGTAGACCAGGCTGATCTCAAACTCACAGAGATCCGCCTGCCTCTGCCTCCCGAGTGCTGGGATTAAAAGCGTGCACCACCACCGCCTGGCCTATATTTTCTTTTTCTTTTTCCTAGAAAAGCTTAAGAAAAGGACTGAGGACAGAGCTCAGTGGGTAAAACAGCTGTCACACAAGCACAAGGACCTGAGTTTGGATCCCAGCACCCACAGAAAGTGCTGTGGCATGGCTATATCCCTGTTCCAGCGCTGTGGCATGGCTATATCCCTGTTCCAGCGCTGTGGCATGGCTATATCCCTGTTCCAGCGCTGTGGCATGGCTATATCCCTGTCCCAGCGCTGTGGCGATGGAGATGGGAGGACCTTTGGCACTCACTGGCTGGCAGTGCGGCTCAACCTGTGAGCTCACGTTTAGTGAGACATCATTTCTCAAATAGGTGGAGAGCCAGAGGAAGATTTAACATCAGCCTCCAGCCTCCATATGTACCTGCACACATCTATGTACACACACAAGCACATGTAAACACAAATAAAGAAACAAAACAAAACTGAAGAAATCTGAATACTCAGTAGCAAGCATGGCTCCACAGGCTCATATTTCTGGGAAGGGGTGCAGCAGGCAAGGGAGTGCAATGACGAAGAAACAAACAGGGCGGCTTTGTATGAGGGATGATCACTGAGCTAACCTGCACTAAATTTATCCAGTGTGTCTGACAACTGAGTTGGAAGCATGTAAACGTTCGCACACTCTAAATACGGCAGCTGCATGTACAAGGCATGTCTGACAGTCACAGATTTTTAAAAAGAGCTCGATTTTTAAAAGTTTCAGTGTGTTATGTAACCCTAACCTAACCCTATATCTCTAAACTTAACTCCAACCTAATCCTAATCTTAATCCTAACCTGAGCCTAATTTGCACTAGTTATCCCTAAGCAAAGACTGATAACACATTAGAAGCATCACACTTTTGTCCTAATACAGCATCCAGCAGAGGAAACTGCGAGAGGGGCCACACTTAAAACTCCACTGGCTGCTGGCAGTGGTGTGGCAGGACTGCACGTTCCTGTCACCCCAGCATCCAGGAGGTAGAAACAGGAGGAGCGGGACTTCTGTAGGTCTATAGTGATTTTGAGGCCAGTCCCGGGCTACATGAGACCTTGTCTCAAAAACAACATCATAGCAGATGACCTGCTCCCACCGCAGCAATCACAGGAAAGGTGAGGCCTGCCTTCTGAGGAGGAGACAAGGCTTAGGAAGGGAAGATGGCTCAGATGACTCACCTGAATATCCTCCAGGCTCATCACCCTCACGACGAAGCCCTTCAGCTGCTGCATTTTCAGGAGGCGCAGGCGCAGCCTCTCATTGGCCATGGTCGTCGTGCCCAGGATACTGGGCCAGTAGCGCTGGCATTTGACCTTTTCTCCCTCCACCTCTTGTGTCATCATCGCTATCACTGTGGAGTTCTGCTCCCAAACCATTTGCCAGAAATCCCCCACAGTGCTGGGTAAAGGCCCCTGGCAGGCAATGTAGACAAACTCCCGTGTCCCCACTGGGATCCGGATGAAACTGGCGTTGATGTATCCACCTTCATCTCCAAGAGGCACTCTTGTGCTGTCATCTGCGAATGTCCACAGCAAAAGGTCCATGTCATGATCATGCACGGTCACCGTTTCACACAGGACCACTCAAAGGCCACGATGGTGCCTGTTGCCCTCCATGGGCTTGCTGTCACATACTTCGGTAGAGGACATTTTCAAATGGCAGCTGTCCATATTATGGTTTCGTTACACTGTGTCTAAGGTGTCAGTTTGGTGGCTTTCTATGAAACTTGGTGCTTGCTAATATATACTCTATATTACATATAATAGAGTAAATATGTATAATTAATGTGATAACATGCCATTGAAATTAAACCTAACAAATGTAAGTAGAACTGTATAGTAAGCAATTAGAGAAACAGACACAAACATCTTTCTTCTGTCAATATCTTGATACCAATGATAACAGTCTTCAATGATGGGACAATTACTTTCATAGAACAAAAATTAACATAGAAATGACACCATTGAAGCAGGTGCTACAATCATTACTGACATATCTAACTCTCATGTAGACCTGAGAAACACTTTTTATTTTGTCATTTGTGTTACTTGTGTGTGTGTGTTTTGGAGGAAGCATGCTACAGCACACATGTATGGGTCAACATGACAACATGATAGGGTTGTCTCTCTCCTTTTACCATGTGGTCACCAGGCTTGGTGGCTAGTATCCTTACCTGTTGCACTGGGCTCATTTCTATTTTAAATATTTGTAATTTAACAAGTAATTTGTGACAATCAAGGTAAAACCTCTAAAAATTATTTATAACAAGACTGTCAGTTCTGAGCTCCCATGAGGATAGGATCAGTGTCACATGCTACAAACCAAAGTGTTAATATGTAAGAAGTTGCCAAGTTAAAATTTTGGGATACACACACACACACACACACACACACACACACACAATTATAAAAATCATATTGTTGGCTAAAACATGGGTTGAAATCATTCCTTTTATTTCCTTCTAGAATCTGAAACAATTCAAAGGTTCATGTAGCCTGGCAGTTCACCAGATACACACATGCACACAGCTGCTCATTACCATACACATTTCTGTAAACGTAAAACAAGTAGAATAAGCTGATGGTATGGCTTCACATAAATCTAAGGACTTGGAAGCAATTACTATGTACATAAGTATAAATAATATATGTACATATATTGCATGTGTATGAACATGCTCATGTCGATACACGTATGAGTGTGCCCATGTGTGAGTCAACCTCAGGTACCATTCCTCAGCATCCATTTAACCTTCTTTCTTTGAGACAGTCTCTCGATGGGAGCTGACGCTTGCCGAGTAGGTGGAGCTGGCTGGAGAGCAAGCTTCAAGGAGCCATTTGTCTCTACTTCTAAACACTCTACCAACTGAGCTATCTCCCACGCTTGCCAATTCAGATGCAAAAACAATTCTAGAATTACTGATTAGGTATCACCAATTAATTTCTAATCTAGAAATGGTTTTGGAAATTTCAGGATATCACCACAAATGTTCAAGATGGCCACGGCTGAGTGTCAGAGTGCACAGAGCACTGAAAAGAACACTGTGATCTACATTTACTTGTTACCAGGACTTCTGCCTGTGTGCACACATGTATTTGTGTGTGAGGTGCAACGGGTCAGGCTAGCAGGAGAGTCTTAAACATTCAATTTACACTGCACACACACTCAGTGAGAGCCACACCGGAACTCACAGGAACACACACTCGGTGAGAGCCACACCGGAACTCACAGGAACACACACTCAGTGAGAGCCACACTGGAGCTCACAGGAACACACACTCAGTGAGATCCACACCGGAACTCACAGGAACACACACTCAGTGAGATCCACACTGGAACTCACAGGAACACACACTCAGTGAGATCCACACTGGAGCTCACAGGAACACACACTCAATTACATCCACACTGGAACTCACAGGAACACACACTGAATCACATCCACACTGGAACTCATAGGAACACACACTGAATCACATCCACACCGGAACTCACAGGAACACACACTCAGTGAGATCCACACTGGAGCTCACAGGAACACACACTCAATTACATCCACACCGGAACTCACAGGAACACACACTGAATCACATCCACACTGGAGCTCACAGGAACACACACTGAATCACATCCACACCGGAACTCACAGGAACACACACTCAATTACATCCACACTGGAACTCACAGGAACACACACTGAATCACATCCACACTGGAACTCACAGGGACACACACTCAATTACATCCACACTGGAACTCACAGGGGAGAATATTTTTGTATCTGTTCTTCCTTCGGTTTTCCTTAGTTTGTCCAATCAGACACTGATCCAAAGGTTTTAATTCTTGAAGATTCTACAAGTAACAAAATGGACATAAGGTTAAAATTTGTTGACTAAAGTCATAAGTTAGTGAAGGAAAATGCTCACGCTGTACTGATCAGAGCTGGCTGTGAGCCACTGCTGAACATATTAAAAATGTCTATATACACATTTAAAAAACCCCTCAGAAGCAAGTTAAGTTTTAGGCAACATCTGGAGTATTTTCTTGACAGTATCATCTATTCTTTCTCATTTTCATTCATCCCCCCACCCAGAAAAGATAAGTACAGCACATCCATGGCAGCAGCTCTCAATGAATACCCCCTTTCAGTGGCAAGAACGGATGAGCCACGAAGCCAATGGTTTGAGGGATAGAGACAAGGGTACCACAAAAGCCCAGTGGGGCTGCATTTCTCTTGTCATCAGACTACAGGAGTAAGGGCTGCACACTGGCTTGCATACTCCAAAAGGGTCATGTCTAGCTGCAGCAGCTGCTTGTACCAAACATACCCCACTGCAGAAGCCAGGATGACTTTGAATCCCTGATCCTCCTGCCTTCAACTTCCAAGGGCTGGGAATATAGGCATTTATCATCATGTCCAGATCTCTTTTATTTAAAAAAATATTGTAGTCTGAGCAGTTCATATGACATTGTTTAGTTAGTATCATTAAGATCCTCATTGGAAGCTGGGCATTGGTGGCACACGCCTTTAATCCCAGCACTTGGGAGGCAGAAGCAGGTGGATCTCTATGAGTTCGAAGCCAGCCTGGTCTACAGAGTGAGTTCCAGGACAGGCTCTAAAGCAATACAGAGAAACCCTGTCTTGAAAAGCCAAACCAAACTAAACCAAAACAAAACAAAAAGATCCTCTTTGGAAAAATTAATTTATCATTAGATATGTTAAGACGGTGCTTTTAAAGTTGGAAATAAGGGTAGTGTGGGGGAGCCATTGGTATTTTCAAAGACCTGGACATTTCTCCTAATCTTGGGCTAGCAAGGACACATTCTCCATCAAATAAATGCACAAGTCACTTACCTGCAGCTCCTGAGTAGGGATTCCCTGGTCAAGCAATCCTTGAAGCGTGCGGATGGTGGCCTGCAACTGAGAGCCGGTGTACTTGCCGGAGGGAGGGACTCTGACCACTGGCAGGGCAGCCAGCTCCTCATTTGTCAAGAAGAGATGACCTACCAGAAAGGACCAGATGACTCCTCAGTTCTCCCCAGAGCTGATTCAATGAATACGAGAGCTCATTCACCATCGTCTCACACAAAGGGGTGTCTCTGTAGAGCAGCATGGCTGACTGGCTGACACGGTAGCCCACCCAGCCTTTGCTACTGCACAGCTGTTTCACTTAGCCTCAAAGAAGCTTTTTCACCACTGCTCACAAATTTGGAAGGCTTGTGACTCCCAGCTATTTACATTTTAGAAAGGGGCATATGTTTACTTTTGCTTGGCTTTAATGGCACTGTTTATATGGTTCCCCTATTATTTTACATAAGACCCTAGGCATTAGGGAAGATGGAGACAAAGATATCCAACATCCCACACATCAGATTGCTCTCAGAATATGGGCTTCCCTTTTCACTACCTACTCCTGGCATTCAGTGCTGGGGTCCTGGTGTTTGACAGTGCTGTCCCTGCAGAAGAATGCTTTTCTTGAACTGTTCAGGAGTTGAGTTAAACAAGAACCCCAGAAGAGCCTGGGTCCAAGTGAGTGTCCGCTGTATGGACTACCTACCACAGAAGTCAATTGCCATCCCAGACAAAGTAGGTCTCCATAACCCATTGAGCGGTTGGGGTGTGGTAATGGTGCAGCTGCTGTGTGGGTGGCATAATGCTGAGCCCCGTGAGGAATACAGGGCTGAACGGGACCCCCAAAAGCTCAGCGTGTGGCTGGGGCATGGTTAGCGGGGATGCACAATTCACTTAAATGAAATAATGGTAACTCTTTCGATAATGGAGTGTAAATGCAATAAGAGCACAAAAGCTAGGTGAATGATTATGGGCTGCAGGAGTCCACGGGAGCACTGTGTACAACAGTCGACCTAAGAAGGTTCAAGCCATGAATTCCTTTAAAAATGCTAAGAAGTCATTTACTTCAGCACTCAGGAAGCAGAGACAGCCTGATCTCTGGGAGTTCAAGGTTAGCCTAGTTTATGTTACAGATTCCAGGTTAGACAGGGGTACCAAAAACAAACCAAAACAAACAAAAATACTGAGACTTTGTGCTTAGAGGTTTTCTGTTTGCCAGAGTTATCTGGGAAGAAGGAACTCAATTGAGAAAATACCTCTGTCAAAAGGCAAGTCTGTCTTCGTGTGTGTGTGTGTGTGTGTGTGTGTGTGTGTGTGTGTGTGTGTGTGTGTGTGAGTGACATTTTCTTGATTGACAATTGGCTTTCGAGGGCTCAGTTTACTGTGGGCAATGCTACCCCTGGGCAGGTATCCCTTGGTTCTCTAAGAAAGTAGGCTGAGCAAGCCTTGGGGAGGAGCCAGTAAGCAGCCTCCTCCATGGCCTCTGCTTTGGATCCTTCCTTGAATTCCAGCCCTGGCTTCCCTCAGTGATGGACTGAGCAGAACGTGTAAGGTGAATAAACCTTCCCATGCTGCTTTTGGTCAAGGTGTTTTATCACAGCAGTGCAAACCCTAACTAGAACAGACTTCAAATAATAAAACTCCACCCTTCACGACAGTAATACAATATTAAAAAAATATGAGAAAAGAGAAGCAAAGCACTAGCGTTTCTCCACTGGTTCTTTTGTAAAATGAAACAGCAGGAAAAGACACAGCAACTGGCACCCAGAAGAAGCTGGCAGTGAAGGGTAAGTAGTTCCAATGAGTTCTTTAGTTTCTCATTACAAAATAGCAAAATCATGACTTTTTGTTTCCACTTTTAAGTCAATATACTTTGCGCTTTATTTACCCCAAGCCACTGAGAGTTTTAGGCTCTTATAACTATGCAAATAATTTGGTTATACTACCCAAAGTGGATGTCTGTGTGTGACTTAGCTTTATGCATAAAACCAAAAAGATACACATATGACCAAATAATATCCATGTCTTGTAAAAACCATCTTTTAAAGCATGTTTCCCTACCTATTGTTTTTCTTTTTTTTTCAGGGGAGAGCACAAACACAGTCTCCTACTACTATATAATATGCAGTTGAGTTTCCCACATTTGGAGAAATTGCAGGGGTCAGCACATCTTCTCCTATTGTTTTTAATGAAGAAACTGGTAATAAAATCCTTGCCTTTGCTGGCGTCCTCATGGTCCTCATGGTCTGTTGTCTCTACTGGCAAGTCACTGCTTCCCTGTGTTACTCCATCTTTCACAGGCTTCTCCTCTTGTGATGCCTGAGTTAATCTGTGCCAACAAACACATTTGAAAAAATTTTGTCTTCAAGATAATTCTAAATACCATGATTCAAGCTACTGATTTCCAGTGTAACAACTACAATATTGTTACACCCCGAGCTCGTGAGATGGCTCAATGGTTATCTACCCTGCTGGCCCAGTTTCATCCCTGGGACTCACATGAAAGGGAAACAGTCACTGTTGTTCTCTGCAGGCTACGCTTGCAACACATAGGCCCATATACAGGCATGCATACATAATAGATACATGAAAAAATTAATAAAATTTCTGATTTAAAAAAATCAAATCCAAACTGGGTATGGTAGCACATGTCTGTGCTGTCAGCTCCTCTGGAGGCTGAGGCAGGATGATTACTTGAACTTTGGAGTTGGAGGCCCGCATGAGCAACATAGCAAGAAAAACTTCTAAGTCTAAGTAAGGTCCCCCAATGCAGTTCTTGGAACGTATGGTACATATGAAATGAACCTAAGGGTACACATGAAATGAACCTAAGTACACAGTAACAGTTTTAGCAGCAGACAGCTAGTTCAATATCGTCCTTGGTAAGGTGACAAGAAAAAGGAAACTGGGCAGAAAATTAGTGTTCAGGAATAGGTGAGGTAAAATCTCATGTTTTTCACTTTCTGACAGTCAGGGGAAGTAAGCGGAGTTCTCTGAGGATACCAGTATGCACCATTAAAGTAGGGCTCAGGCTGATGTTCCCCAAATGCCAAAAGCAGGGCAGCAACTATCCTGTTGGTTTTTTTCTCATTTATTTCTGTATATGAGTGTGTTGTTGTCTGTGTGTTTGTTTGTGCAACAGGCATGTGCTCTTGGAGGTCAGACGATGGCCCCAGGTAATTCGGAAGGGAAGTTACAAATGGTTGTGAACTACCACGTGGGTGCTAGGAACCAAACTTCAATCATCTGGACCCCTATATTGGTTTTATTGTGGATTTTTTTTTTGCTCCAACTCATTGCAGTCTGCAGTTTATACTTATTTGCAAGTTCTACATCCATGAGAGTGTATGTCCACCCTGGAGCTGGAGCTACAGGTAGTTGTAAGCCGCTCCATGTTGGTGTTGGGAACTGAACTTGGGACCTCTGGAAGAACAGTATATAGTCTTAACTGCTGAGCCACCTCTCTAGCATCCACGAGGCTGATTTGCATTCCAGCACATACACTTTGTCTACAAGCTTCCCATAGGCATGCCTTTCTTCTTACTCTTTTGAACACTTGCTTGGTATCACAGTACCCCTCCCTCCAATTTATCTTTTTGTGTGTGTATATGTGTTCTCTACTACAAATAATAATGTAATTATTTGTCATCATGATTCTATAAGAAAATTCTCTTATAGGAGTTGGAATAAATTTTTTTTTTTAAGATTTACTTATAATGTACAGTGTTCTGGCTACATATATGTCAGCTTGCCAGAAGAGGGCACCAGATCTCACTATAGATGGTTGTGAGCCACCATGTGGTTGCTGGGAATTGAAGAGTAAGCAGTGCTCTTAACCTTTGAACCATCTCTCCAGTCCCTGGAATAAATTCTTTAAAAATCAAGTAGCTAGGTTAGAGTGCACTACATTTCTTCATGGTTTTAATAACATTAAAACAAACAAACAAAAAAAGCACATTCAAGAATCAGTAATGTGCAAAAACTTTTATTTTAATGGTATTTTTAATTGTCTTTCCAGGAGATCAAACTAACTTACTATCCTTTCCTCTCTATCTGTGTAACAAAGAGTGCTCTCCTTTTTTGGGTGTCTGCTGATGATTAGGTATAAAGCTGTTTTTCTTAGTGTATTTTTAAAAACACTGTGTGTGTATGCACTGGGAGGCAAGCAGAGGGCGTTACCCCCAAAGCTGGAGCTATGGCAGCTGTGAGTTGCTGAATGTAGTTGCTAAGAACCAAGCTGAGGTCTCCTGGGAAAGCCCACATCCTCTCAACTGCTGGGCCACCTCTCTAGCCCTGCATAACTTTATCAAGTTATATTCCCTGCTTTCTAGCTTAGCCAAACTTTTAATGCCATCTTGCCTTGTGTGATTACTGTCAAATGTAAAACAAAATTTATGTTTAATCATTTTGTTATTAAATCATATGTACATACACATATAGTTTCTTAGACATATAGTATTACAAAAATCTTATTTATGCTAGAAACTATTTTCAAAGAGCAAGGTTTTGTAGGGTTTAATGTCCTAGAATTTCCTAGATCTAGTGTGGTGATGAATGCCTTTTTTTTTTTTTTTGATTTTTTGTGTTTTTATTGGGGTATATCACGGGTAGGAACTGTTACCTTAAGGTATGCCCCTCCCACTAAGTATGTCCATTCTAATCCTCCTGGGATGCTTTCTGGGACTTTTTCTTTTTCTTTGTATTCTCTGTGCAACTAGCAGCAGCTTCGGGTTTCTCAGAAAATTTCCTTTTCTTCTTCTTAGGGACACTGGGGCTTGCTGCCTCTTCTGGATCACTGGCCGATGAATGCCTTTAATCCCAACACTTGAGAGGCAGACAAAGGCAGATCTCCATGAGTTTTAAGTCCAGTCTGGCTTACAAAGCAAGTTCCAGGCCAGCTGGGGCTACATAGTGAGATCTTCTCTAAAGACCAAGACAAAAAAAAAAAAAAAAAGAATTTCCTAGCATCCTTGGTTTCCTATTACTTGAAATACTTTTATTATATATTATTTAATTATTTATGTGTGTTTGCACACATGCCCAGTGCACAAGTGGGGACAATCTTCGGGAGTCTGTTCTTTCTTTGCAACATGTGGTCCCAGGGATTGAACTCAGGTCATCGGGTTTTGCAGTAGGCACCTTTATCCATTGAGTCATATTGCTGACCTTGTTTTCACTTTCTTATTAATGAAAACTTAAAAATTTCAAAGTACAGAAAAACAGACAAAAAAAATCACCCATAATCTTAGCAGGAGTCACCATTTCTGGTACACTATCTTTTAAACCAATTTTTTTTTAAACATGGTTAAGAACATACTACTCTCTTTTTTTTTCTTTTTCTTTTGAGCAATGGGTATAAAGACATTTTCTTATATCGAGAGAATCTATTTATAACAAACCTTGAAAAACAACATTCATGCTGGACATGGCAGCACACACCTTTAATCCCAGCACTTGGGAAGCAGAGGCAGGTGGATCTCTGTGAGTTTGCAGCCAGCCTGGTCTATATAGTTCCAGTCAATCAACTATGTGCTAAAATCTTGTCTCAGAAAACAAATAAACAAAAAATCGTATCTATATTTAATCATGGTTCCATACTTTGATCAATATTTTTATTGGAAAACAAAAAAATTCTTCACTTCATTAGAATAAAAAGAACAAAGTGTTACACACACATTAAAAATTATTTTTTACCTTTCACTGTTTATTTTTTCTTTATATTCTTCATAGCCATTCATTGACTATAATGAAGAGAAATAAAAGTCAGATTAGTTCACTGTAACAAAAATCTCATAAAGCTCAATTTTTTCTTTAGTTAATTTTATGCTACATGAGTGTTTTGAGCGTGCGTGCGCATGCGTGTGGTGTGTGTGAGTGTGCAAGGGGTGTGTATGTGTGCAGTGTGTGTGTGTGCAGTGTGTATGTGTGTGAGTGTGTGTGTATGTGTGTATTCTTGATGTCCCTGAAGTCAGAGATGGGCACCAGGTACCCTGGACCTGTGCTATGGTGGTTGTAAGCCTTCCACTCTGTGAGTGGTTGCTGGGAATCAAAGCTGGGTCCTTTAGTAAGAACAGCCAATGCTCTTAAACACTGAGCCATGTCTCCATCTCTAGGCTTAACTGGTTTTTTTTTCTGTGAATTACTTTTTATCTTGTTAATGCTCTTATTCTCATATTACAAAGACACACATGACATTCAGGTAACACACTCTCAAAAGTGGCCGAGGCTTCTTCCGTGCCCATAAAGTTTTGTTGGTTAATAGTATTTACTTTCTTTGCTTATCCTTAGCTCAAGTAATTCTTTTTAAGAAAAGATTTAATTCCGTGCGGGTGCATGCCCTGAGTGCAGGTACCCCTGGGAGCCAGAACAGGGCATCAGGTCACCTGGAATTGGAGTTTACCAAAAATAAGTTCTGAGAACTAAGTTTGGGTCTTAACTTGTGAGTCACCTCCATGGCTTAAGTTGAAATGATTCAAAGTATACTTCTCATCTATTCAGGAAGTGCTAATTTGTTACTACAGATGGTCTGGCCCCAAGAATTTGGTTTTAAGAATTAATAAGCTCCAGGGATGGGGGTGTGCTTCCCTCCCCTCCATAGGGTATATTTGCTATAGGTTCTCTCCGCCCGCAGCACTGGAGTTACGGTATGTGCTGCTGGGCCCTCTGTTTATGCAGGTACAGGGGATCTGAATGAGGGCCTTACACTTGCTTTGCAGACACTTCATGAACCTCTCCCCAGCCCTGTCTTGAAAACAAAAAACAACAACAGTAACAGAAAACAAACAAACAAAAAAAACCAAAAGTATAAAATAAATGGGAACTTTACACTACTAAATAGTTACATTTAAAGTAATTTTTGCATGAAAGTAAATCCTAAAAGTCAATATAATAAAGTTTTCTGACATAAATGTTTTTATTATAGGTCATTATAATGAAGAATATACATAATATGCTTTTTCTCCTTTTTAGAGAAATTTTAGATGACAGTTTTTTAATGGCAGGCAAAGCTTTTTATTTATTCTTAGTTAAAAGAGACCAACACCCCTATTAGATGTCTGTTTTAAAATATTGTAGTGAAAATACAATTATGTTGTTATGACTTACAAGAGTCATAAAGTCTTTCAAAGCATCCATGGAATAACTACTAATGCTATGATAGCATAAAAGGACATCTTAAATAAACCCTCAAGAGAATAGCATATTTTGAGACAGTCAATGTTTATATAATTTTTATGCATTAAGAAATACTCAACAATAGCAAAAGAATAAGAAAAAAAAGAAATACTCAGAAGTCACAAGCTTCTTGGTATCCATTCATATTGTAAGTGAATAGTGAACGTAGCCTTGTGTGTCTGAGCGGTATGTAAGTATACAGACGGGTGGTTGACAACTGTAAGAAGCTAAGTCAGCACGGTTTTGACTCCCTCTCCTTTCCTTATTTCTTCCTTCAGTTGAGAGGTGATTCAGATTTTGCTGGGTACAGATGACACTGTGATGTAATAAAATGACTCTACCTTCTTCTACCCCCAAGCAATAATCTGTCGGTAAAACAAGTGACATTGCCATCATCTGTCCTCTGGCTTAGAACAGAACCCTAGCGAAGTGCAGTGCCTTAGGCTATTCCTGCAGGTGCAGCCCTCACCTCAGGACCGTCTTCAGGTAACGGAGAGACATCACAGTCCGTATCTGCTCCTCCTCGTTCTGGTGCCTCCCCATTTGTCCTCGGCATGTCTGCAGAAAAACACACAGGCCAAGAGAAACTAAGAAATGTACTGAGGCAGCAGAAGGTTTTCATTTACCCGTAAAAGGCAGCAAATAGACCACACCAATGCTCTAACTGGGGAAGCAAAGAGTGATATGATACACAGGATAAATATTAGCTGCATTTATCTATGAAATGGCCATGCTTCAACACTGGAGGGGAAGATGTTTATGTACGTACGTACGTACGTACGTATGTATGTATGTATGTATGTATGTATGTATATACAGTCCAGGATGGCCTTGAACTTACTATGTAGCTGAAGATGAAAGTCAATGTCTAGTATCCCTGCCTCCACATCCCAAGTGCTGGAATTATAGATGTGCATCACCATGCAGAGTTGACACGGTCCTGGGCATTGAACCTAGGGCTTCATGCATGCTAAGCAAGCCCTCTACCTACAGCTCCATGAATACCTCCAATGATACATTCTAAGTCTAACTAATGAGCTAACTCACCCACAAACCAACATGGGAAAGACAACAAATTTTATTTTATTTCTGAAAACACTGTCTAGAAATTGATGATGGCATTGCTAATGTATCTCAGTTTACTCAACTTTCCCCTATGCACGTTCATGAATTCCTGGGTACACTTATCTGCTCCACTGACCTGGAGAGCAGGCCGCTCTGACAGCATTAGTCTGGTTTAAGAGGTTCTGAGCTTCTTCATCCACGACATCCAGTAAGGACTGGATAACTTCAGCTTCTTGAGGATCAGCATAGATGTCATCATCCTGGGAGTCAGAGTCTTGAAAAATAGTATTTGATTTTAAAAGTACTGAAAAAGGGACAGTCTCGATTCTAAGATGACAGGTACGCTGAAGTTTTAAGTATCTCCTTTGAAGAACAGACATGGTGACCTAGTCCTGTCAGTCTACAATTATGTGGTTGCTAAGACAACCCTACACACAAATGCAGCTTAGAAACAGAAAACGAAATTCTATATCGGAGATACATACCTCTTCATGAAACATTATCAATATGTTGCTCATTTCATAAAATTAATGTCATGATTTATTAACTAAAGAAATAGAGATGTTATCTTCTAAAGGTTAAGGATATAACAGGCCCTACAAAATATCCTCAACATAAAATGTATAAACCATTTGGTCATCTATGAAGGCTGCCCCACAGCATGCAGGAAACATCAAACTCAGTAGCTACCTTTTCAACCTGCTAAGCCATTTATTTCAGCCTTAGAGATGAGAGTGGATGCTGGACACCTGCACACTACGCAAGCAACAATGCTAGTTTTATATTCCCTTACTCTTTCATGTCTCCCGTCCATCCTCCCTTTAAAGCTGTGTTAGCATGTGAGGTGCAGGAGCGCTCACTGGACCGCTTTGATCATCAGCAGTAACTGGATGGCTTATTTGAAAACTACCTTTGGTTTCAGTCCCGTCTGTTGATTCCCTCTTTTGAGAAGATGAGCATTTTCCTCCAGGGTACGCAGCTTCAATTACTTCTTCCCCATTAACCTGAAGTACAAGACCACAGCAAAGCACCAGATTACTATTTAGTTAACCTCCAGGATGGTCTGGTTATGGCTCTTCCCTTCTTCCTGCTGTGTGCAGACTCCTTTTCTATGTTTGCACTGTGTATCAGTGTTACTAGAAAATATCTGTGGAGTAAAGTATGCAAAGAGGATTGGGGTTCCTATCGTTGAACACATCTGGAACTGTGGTATTTCTACACAAAGCTCTTATTTGAGGCATATTTTTTTGACAATTGTCTTCCAAAGAACATTTTAGAAAAGTTTAATAGGACTACAAAGGTCTAGAAGTTGAGAGAAAGGAATAAAGTTCTTTTTAGTCCTCCCTCCCTCACTCCTAGATAGGGTTGGCTATAAAGCACAGGGAGGCCTCAAACTCATGTTCCTATTGCTTCAGCCTCCTTAATGCTGGAATCATATGTATGTACCACTATTCTTAGACAAAAGACAAGCAACTTTTTAATTACTTATGAGTGTGTTGCATGGTGCATGCTCCAATTTAGTGGCTTGACCATTTGTTAGGCTTAAAGACTTTGCAGTGTGGTTTAACTCTCTTGTGAGTTTAAGGGACATAACAATGGATTGTAACTGTGTAATTTGTATCTACAGAACTGAACCACACCATTCCAGTGCAGCTGACAGCCTAGAAGGACAATGTAGCAGCCATGTAGTTCAGTGCTAGAGCTCTTGCACAGCTGGGTTCAGGCCCCAGCACAGTTAAAAAGGACATCGCTTCTGGGTTAGGGATGGGGGCATGTGTTCACTTCTCCTCTCATGCCAGGCCCTGCACACAGGCCACAGTCTGTGAGTTTGTATGCGTTGGTCCTGCTGTGTTTTAGAGGACCTTGTTTCCTTAGTGTCCTACAACCCAATCCCCCCATCTTTCTGCCTCCTCTTCCCAGGATTCCCTGAGCCCTGAGGGAAGGGATTTTATAGAGATATCCCACTTAGGACTAAATGTTCTAAGGTCTCTCACTCTCTGCAATGTCCAGCTGTGATCTCTGTGTTTGTTACTATCTATCACTCTCTGCACACTGCCCAGCTGTGGTCTCTGTGTTTGTTCTGTCTGTCACTCTTTGCAGAGTCCAGCTGTTGTCTTTGAGTTTGTTCCCATTTATCACTCTCTGCAGTGTCCAGCTGTGGTCTCTGTGTTTGTTCCTGTCTACTGCAGGAGGATGATGATGGCTGAGGAAAAAAACTAATCTGTGAGTATTAAGAGAATGTTGTCAGGAGTCACTTTATGGTTATGTTCCTTTAGTAGAACCATAATACTTGGTTTTCCCCTAAGTCCCTAACCTATCTGGTCTCCAGTTATATGTCTAATGATAACTCCTCACAAATTAAAGCATGGGTTCACTCCAATGGAGTCTCACTGGGAATACAAACCACTCTTAAGGCCAGGCCCAATGCCCAGCAGGAGATGGCCAGCACAGAATGAGCTCAATGGCATCTCTGGTATTCAAGTACACTTAAAGAGAAAACATGATGTGCAACCCACACAGCATTTAAAACTTTGCCAAATGACTCCAGATTTCTCTGTGCAAATCCTAATGGTTTAAGATCTCATTTATTATCTGGAAAACACTGCTTAACACTTTCAAAGCAAGCAAGTCTGTATCTTAGGCTAATACTGCTGCTCCTTCCCAGGACCACAGATTTGGCCTTCTCAGGCTAATGGTAGCTAACATTAATCTGGAAGGGCAACTCTGTTGTTAATTACACACTTATCTTCCTATGGCCCAAGAGACAACTGAAGGAACTGTGCATATTAACCAAACATCCTGCTGCTAGTATCTAGCTAAGCCACTAGCCATGAAAGCCAATCAACCAAAGGGTACAGGCACTGTGAGTCTTCTTAGCAAAGTCTTTTAGCTCATCACATAGACTCCTACTGTTAGCATATGTGCTTAAGAACATTTAATTACAAAATCAATTTGGTATGAAACATAAGCACATTGGTTATTAAATATGACATGAAAGTAGTTTTTCTGGTACCTTGGAGAATGAATTCTTAGGTGTGAGGGCAGGGAGACCACAAAGTTCCACGCTGGTATGACCTGAAAGACACAGCACAGAGTGGTATGTGAGACAATAGAAATTACAAGAGAGACATGGAAATCGTTTAAGATACTCCAAAGACTGAAAACTCTGACACAGGGGCCAGTGAGATGGATCAATATAAGTCCTCGTCACCAAGACCGGTAACACCTCAGCTGATGAGATCTGCCTCCTGCGGGCTGTTCTTCTACCCCATTCCTGTGCTGTGGCGCGCGCGTGTGTGTGTGTGTGTGTGTGTGTGTGTGTGTGTGCCCACACTATGCACAATAAATCAATGTGAAAAAACCTCAAGGAATTCTGATCCATATAAAATAAAGGAACCCCATATTTCTAAGGATGTTATTTTTAATTGTGTATGAAAAGATACAAATGATATAAACCAAGTAAGTAGAAGAAAATATAGAACGGCTTAACTTGAAATGCAAACAAACAAAAAAATGTCCAAGTTCTTTTTATGTCTCACCTGGCACAGGCCAACCTGTTACACATTGAGAAAGCCCCTGAGTTCTTCATCCTCTTGCCTCTACCTCCCACGTGCTGGAGTTACAGGTATGCACCCCCACACCAAGAGTGGGGGAACCAAATCCTTAAGAGAAGTAGTACATACAGAAGCTGATTTGGGAGCCAGGTAGATTGCTTATAGCTGTAATTCCAGTGCTTTGGAGGCAGAGGCAGGAGGGTTGCTATGAATTTGAAGCCAGCTTGGGCTACAGAGGAAGACTCTGCACCAACTCCCACAAAACAAAACAAACTGTTTGGGCCTGAATGATTCAAGTAGGAGACCCCAAATAGTAATTATCCTACCTGAATGGGAGCAATGTTACAGTGACACCAGTGTGGAACTGGATTCACTCTATTACTGTATGGGAGAGGACACTTGCTTGGTTCATTCCACAAAGTGTTTTAGCACAGGCACAACACGTGGATAAATGGAAAAGTTCTTCAAGTATATTTCTAGATCAAATACTGATTTTCCCCCCTCTCTATAGTACATAGGTTCTAGGGCTTGTATCTGAGAATGATCTGTAGATAATACTGGTAAACCTGGTAGGAGGATAAAGGCTGAGGAACTTTTATGAATATATTTCTGTACCTTTGTAATTGTTGTTATACAGACCCCAGGAATTGTCTCATTTTATTTGAAAGCGATATAATACATTTTAGAACTCCAGGAAAATAGCTTAAAAAGTCCATCAAGCTACTAGATCTAAAATTCCTCCTGGCATACCATAGGATATCATAGGCAGGTTATTTTCAACCTCCTCTCTTGCTTTCTAACTCTTTCCCCTCTTGGTCTCACAGAACTTAGTTCCATGGAAGTCAAGACAGATGGCAGATAGGTGCTTTTCACAGGGTGCTGGGCCTGAACAGACAGACAGACAGAAAATGTTCTCTACAGTGCTTTGTGAGCTTGCCTGCTGGAAAATGAACTGATGGAGGGCAGGGAATGAACCTTTGGCTCCAATAGACAAACTGCTATGGCATAGCTCCTAGTAGTTGCCGTTGGCATTTCGATGCTATTCTTTTTGAATGTGAAAGACTCTCTGCACAAAGTGCACAGTTCATAGCGCTCTAGTTCACCCACATTCCTGTGCCTAATATCTCTCTCAGCATTAGGAATAAAAGCTACATTTGTAGATCCTGATCATATAACAGATATTCTGGGTTTAAATTTGGGATTTACTCTTCATTAACTTTGTAGATATGGTTGTTTGAAAGGAAATGGTTCCCAAAGGCCATGGTACTCTTACAAGGTATAGCCTTGTTGGAGGAAGTGCGTCATTGTGGAGGCAGACTTTGAGTTCTCATACATGCTCAAGCCACACCTGATGTCTCAGTTCACTTCCTGTTGCCAGCAAGATGCAGGATTCTTAGCTACTGCTCCAGCATCATGGTTTCCTGCATGTTACCATGTCCCACCATGATGATAATGGACCCAATTAAATGTTTTCTTTTATAAGAGTGGCCAAGGTCATGATATAGAAACCCTAACTAAGACAGCAGGCTTGGGCAAAGTTATCAAGGTTCTCAGTGCCTCAGTTTCTTTCACTGTGTATTGCTATGATACAATAGTAATTTTAGCATTATTCATTTATTGTGAGGATTAAAGCACTTACAGGAATGCTTTGTATAAATGAGCACTAAAGACAACTGCTGCTATAGTTCTTCTATTGTTTCTGTCATTGTTACTATGGGAGATAGATACTTGTTTGTACATTGAATAATCCACAATGCCCAGATGGGTCCCTAGCACAGAGGAAACATCTCGGCAATGTCTGTATAAATTACTCAGTGGTTTATATGCCTCATTATAACCTCACCACGTCAACACTAGTAATGTTTTACTGACAGGAAATGCAGGCTTATATCAGGGGATTTTCTGAGGACACACAGACTTTCGCCTTCAGGTCTACTGGGTATACATTTCTGCTCTGTTACTTTTCTAATACATATTGAGTTTCAGAGTTGTTATCTTTCAAAGAGTATTTTCACTTAGATCCTGTAAAGCATTCTAGAAAGTTAAGAAAAATTCAGTGATAGTATTCAACTTGCTGTCCAGGAAGAAAGTCACCTGTTTTTAAGCCCTGTGAAAGTAAATGTGTTATACCGTTGGCTTTGGTGATCTTGGGTGCTGAGATGGCAGATCTTGATGAATTAGGCACCACTGGAAAACCGTCTCTGTAGAGCACACAAAGAAAGAACAATTACGAAGGTTTCAAGAAGTTTAAACACCCTTTGGACCACTTTTTAGTCATTTCAGAAGCTTCACTTTAGGGGCTTAGTCTAGACACCCTGCAAAGTATGGACAGGATTTAATGAAATTCCCCATGTTTGTCTATAACTCCAGTGTTCCCACAGTGAGATGGAAGATGGATACAGGACAATCCAAATGTCCTGGAAACTTGCAGGTCAGTCTGATGTATGTAATAGTGAACAAGAAGCCCCCTCTAAACAAAGTGAAAAGCGAGGAGGTCTACATCTTGTAGGTATCAGGAAGTGGTCTGTCTCACTAGGAGTAGCTTGAGCATAGGAGACCTCAAAGCTCACACCACAGTGACACATTTCTTCCAACAAGATGGCCCCAAAGGGAGGGAGTGGCACTATTAGGAGATGTGGTAGAACTCTCAGCTACCTTTCCAGTACCATGCCGTCCCACTACAATGTTAATAGACCAAAACTCTAAAACTGTAAGCCAGCCCTAATTAGATGTTTTCTTTGTAAGAGTTTCCAAGGTCATGGTGTCTCTTCACAGCAATAGAAACCCTAGGAAACATGGTGTAGACCTCCTCGCTTTTCACTTTGTTCTTCACTCTAAGAATCACACAAAGAACAGTACCACCCGGGGTCAAGAGCAGCCCCAAGGTGATCAAGCATACCAGGGACAGGGGCTAACACATCAGTTTGTGACACTCAAGGATGCCTACACCACACACCTGTATGCTCCTGCTGGGCTGCTTGAGAAGGCAAAGTCTTTACCTCTTTAGCACAGGCTATTTCTCAAGGTTATGTTTACTAGGAGCAACCTAGAGATATGCAGCATCCCCTTCAACAAAGCAGCCAAGCCCTGCTCTCTTCAGAGGCTACAATGAAATGAGGGTTCCTCAGATAACTTCAGTAATAATCCTCTCCTGTGATATAAGACCCACACATGCCTTCTCTAGGGCCTCTGGACAAACATGGAATCCATAAAGCTCATGCTGCTTGCTGTGCCATTAGCAATAAAAGTCCTTTTATTCTTCTGGAATCCACTAAATAGTAACAGGCTAGAGTCGCTAGCTTGCAATTAATTGTGGTAAATTCTACCCCCTTTATAGTTTCTGACATACAGAGTCACCTTGAATGTCCATCCTTCCATTATTGCTTCTATTATTTATCATGGGTGGTGAGGGTAGAGAGAGCTGAAGGAAGAACATGGAGGACATTACTATGACATTTGTAGAGAAAGCAGCTACAGAATGTCACTCCAGGACCGAGCAAAGAATGTTCCCCTGATTTTGAGGTAAAGCATTCAGCCTACACCTAAGCTTGACAGGGATGTGAATTTCCATACAATAGTTTCTCTTTCCCGTTTATTCCCCTTCATTGATGAAAACAACTGTGTATCAATCCAAAGTTTAGACACATAAGAGAGTCAGGTCAGGAATTAGGAAAAAGTACACAATCTAAAAAGAACAAACAAGTTTATCAATGGTTTTCCTTACACTTGTATTTTCGAAGAAATTATTCATAGACACACTGTCAATTTTCCCTTCACATAGCTTGGCTTAGTCTACAACCAAGAAAGCCTGGGTTCTTGGGTACTGTGCATGGTGCCGTGCATGTTTCTCAAAGATGTCTGTGCTCTGATGATTATTTCATCGTACAGAGAACATGTGAGATGCCACTTTGCAGAGCAGAAGAAATAGGACTTTTACTTGGATTATTAGGAACCTGTCAAGTCATTGCTGGATCCCTAACAAGTCAAGGATGAGGCAGGATAATCAAATCAATGCCAGAAAGAGACTGGGTAATAGATGCAGGGAGCATGCATGGCAGGTGCTGCCTTTGACCACAGAGGGGCTGAGAAACCAAGGAAAGTGGTGAGGGCAAGGCAGCGTGATTCTTGTTGTAACCTACACTTGGACTTTATCCACGAGATCCATTTGTATTCCCGACCTAAAAAACAAACTGCAGAGTTGATAATGTTGTGTTGTTTACAGTACTATGTTAGAGAAACCATAGGAAATCAATACCCATGTTTTCTTAACATTTTCCTCTGCAAGTAGAAGAAGCTGCTGCTTGCATTTAATGCTGTGGGCATGGCTCTTCCATGCCTCAACAGCTGACATGAGTTCCAGGAGGGTTGATGCCACCCATGTTCTATGAATAAGGCCTAGTTGCCCAAAGCCACCTGATTTCTTTCCATCTTCTACTGCAGTTTGGAGACTGATCCTCTCAAAGTCCTAGGCACTCACTCTTTATCAATGGTGACTGCAGAGATGTCTGCTGGAAGATGGCTCTAGATGGTATGTATGATGTGGAGGTTTAAGATACATAACGACACAATCATCTGACCACTATAGAGAAAACTGATACAAACAGGGGATAATGGCAAACAGCAAAAAGGAACCGGCTGACTATCTTTTATTACTTTGAAAGTAAGCAAAACAAATTCCAGAACTGTATTTCTGTTACTTGCAACTGAAGACATTCTGATACATGCTAATTACCTATTAACTGGAATTAGACTGCAACACTTGCTTGCTTGGTTTCTTAGACTCTGCCAGGAAACCCTGTCTAATGTTACTCTTTCGATGGCTGAGAATTAGTGGTTCTACAATGCCCATTACCTTGTTGCTTTCAGCACCACTGAAGGAAGTGACAGGCCCAATGCTCTGTTTGCTTCTTCTAAGGTCATTCCTTGTGTGCTGACTCCGTTCACATAATGGATGATATCCAATAGCTGCAGGTTGCCTTCAACAGCTGCAACCGACCTTGGGTTAATGTCACTAATATACACTACTTCATGTGGACTGCCATGACCTCCAGAGAGAGAAAATCCTTCAAAGAATAGAAAACAGTTGTATGTCAGTCACAGGAGTATCAATTTAAATATGTTGAGAAAGTCATACCTAAAAAAGCCTGCCCTTTTCTTACCTAACTCTCCTTCATGGCGTGTTACTGTAATGTCAGGCAGCAAATGGGGAAACACTGGCATCCTGGGTAACTCTAGGATCCGCCCAAGAACTAATCTGACGACCTTGGGTGCAGCTCGCAGCAGATTCACAGCATCGGTGTGGGTCATATTTGTAACGTCTGTATCATTAACCTACAAAAGGAGGGAGGGGGCAGGGAGGGAGGGAAGGAGGCAATCAGATTATAACAAGTACAAGATTTACAGTGATATCATCTCTAATTTATTAGAAACATGTTCCCTGCAGAAAACATAGGGACAATGATCAAGCCATTATAAGCAATATAAAGTTGCTAATAAATAAACACTTTACTGCTCCACTAAAATGTGAATTTTATCCTTCACAATTTAAGAAACTTGCAGTCTAAGGCACTTGAGAGACCCTGAAAAGATTAAAAGGACTTGGAGTTGAAGCAATTCCCAAATAGCTATGTATGAAGGTTGTATTGGAGAATGACCTAATCTTCCTGCCTTCACATCCCAAGTGTTGGGATTACAGGTTTGTGTTACTGAGCTATGTTTATGTAGTGCTGGGGTTTGAACCCCAGAGCTTCATGTAAACTATACATGCAATGCACACTAACAAGTGGGCTCCATTCCTTGTGTGCCCCCTTTGAGTTTCATGGTGAACTTATTATACAGTCATGAATGCTATTGAATTCCTGATCCTAACACTTCTACCTCCCAAGTGCTGGGATTACAGACACGTGACACTCTGTCTTGATGAAGCCTTCATTTGTAAAGTGGTGGGAAATGAAAACATAAAGCAGAGAAATTGTCAAATTAACTCAGCGTCTTTCCTTCTCCAATGCTGACTTGCCTTTGGTCACTGATAAGGTCTGGATGTGGCTCTTTTGTTCCCCAGAGACTTGTGTGTTAGAAGTTACATCTTCAGTGGTGTGACCTTTAAGTGATGAAGTCTAGTCAGGGGATGTGCCTGTAGAAAGAGCAGTGGAACCCCAGACTCTCTGGCATCTTTTTGCGATGTGATTTTTTTTCCTTTCACACAGGTAGTGTGGTAGTTTGAATGTAATTGGCCCCCATAAGCTCATGGGGAGTGCCACTATTAGTAGATGTGGCCTTGTTGAAATAGGTGTGGTCTATGTTGGAAGAAGTATGCTACCGTGAGGATGGATTTTGAGGTCTCCTATGCTCAAGCTATGCCTAGTTCAGTTCACTTCCTGTTGTCTTTGGTTCAAGATGTAGAATTCTCAGCTCCTTCTCCATTACCATATCTACCTGCATGTCACCATGTTCCACCATGATGACAATGGACTAAACCTCTGAACTGTAAACCACCCAATTGCATTTTTTTCCTTTGTAAGAGTCATGGTCATGGTGTCTCTTCACAACAATAGAAACCCTAATTAAGACAGATATGATGCCTTCTCTAGGGCTGAGCTCCTACACTGTGGGCTAAATAAACTTCTTTTGTTTTTAAAGTTGGCTTATGTAAGGAATTTCACAATAGTCACAAAAATGGATTAAGACAGTCCCATTTGTACAAATATCTCCATCCCCCTTAAATGTTTAATTAAAATAATTTTTTTCTTATGCATCTATGTCTATACCGCGTGTGTGTGCCTGAGACCTGCAGAGTCCTGAAGAGGGAACTGAGTTCCCTGGAACTGGAGTAACAGAAAGTTGTAAGCCAACGTGCTGGTGCTGGGAATCAAACCCAGATCCTCTAGAAGCGTAGCTGATTTTCCACCACCGAGCGTCCTCCAGCCCCCAAATGTCTCACCTTTATAAGGCGATCTCCAGGCTTCAGCCTTCCATCCCCCTTGGCTGGATCCTGTATGACATCGTGGACATAACAGCCAATACTGTGGCTGCCTTTGGTCACTGTAAAACCCAGACTTCCTTTTTCTGATTTAATTAGGGTGATGGGAAGTTCTACTTCCTAGAGAAAGAGCAAATTGATTTATGGTTGTCTACTTTGTCCTATAGACAAACACACATGAATATTGTTGCTCTTGGTTAAGAGAGGAAAAACCTAAATCCTAAGCTGACTTAACTTGGCCACAAGAAGTCTTCTCAATTGTAGACAGATGTTCCTTACTTTCCAAGTATGTGACATTTTGAAGTATGAAGTTATGTGTTTGTCTCAAGACTCTTTCCTCCCTCCTCTTTGTTCTTCGTCTTTTTTTCCCCTATCTGAAAGAGCTAGGATTGAACCCAGAGCCTCACATATGCCAGACAAGGGTCTTCCCAGTGAGCTGTACCTCAGCTCACCTTTGGTCTTCATATACAGTATAAAAAAGGAGACTGTGTGAGGTTGTCCTTCTGTACATATGTTTCTCTTATTGGTTGATGAGTAAAACACTGTGTGGCTAGTGGCCAGGCAGAAAGGATAGGTAGGGCTACCAGGCAGGGGGCAGACTCCATGTGAGACCAGGAAGGTAGGATGCGTCAAACCCTTCTCTGGTAAGATAAGACCATGTGGAAATACTTGAATTAATAGAAATGGGTTAAGAATTAAGACAGAGCTAGTGATTAGAAGCCGTAGTCATTGGCCAAGAGTTTCATAATTAATATAGTGCCTGTGTGTTTATCTGGGGTGAGATGGCTGCAGGAACCTCACATTATAACTGTGGTCATGGTGTCTTTTCACAGCATAAAAACCCTAACTAAGATACATGTCCAGTACTGTAAATCACACCAAGAACACACAGTTGGAGTGTTCACAGGCTCCAGGAACCAACGTACTACTATTTTATTGGTAAATAGATAATTTCCCCTATAAATTTGGTAACTCTATACCTAAATATCAGTGACCTTTAGGTCTCACCAGAGACGTTTCCTTGTAGAGTAAAAAACAGTTAATGTAGGTACTCACAACTGGCCAAAATACAGACACCATTGCATGGAGAGCTGAGACATAAATGGGACACCTGCATTAGACACCCTTCCCCAAGGTCCAGGGGTCACTGTAGAAGAGGTGGGTGGGAAGAGAGTAAGAGCCAGAGGTCAGGAAGAACTGGTATGAAACTGTGTCCTCTGTGGTAGCCTGCCCAAGACTAAGTCAGTCAACTCTGCAGCACAGAGGGAGGGAGGGACACATGAGTCCCTGCCCCCAGCTGAGGAGCCACTGACAAGTTGATGAGAAAGGGAGAGTCGGTTTTCTTAGAGAGTGTGGCCACTGGTAGGTCAACCATGCTGCAGTCAATGGCCCCACGTCCATGAGTATATAGGTGGCACAAACTGGACTTGGTGGGCTACTTAGAAAAAAAAAGAGGGGAACTTGAGCTTGGGTAGAGATGGGGCATGGGAATGGATCTGGGAGGAGTGGGGGGGTGAATGAGATCAAAATATGTTTTATGCATTATGAAATTCTCCGTTATCTCTCATATATATAGTTTTAACTATATATACTTAAAGGCTATTACATATATACATATATATTATTTAAATATATATTAAATACTATATTCCAGTTATATACACAAAAATGTACAGAAAATTATATTCAAGTATTAGAAACCCCCTAACTCATGATTGGGAGAGAGTTTAGTTAGGAAAGTGCTTGCTACACAGGCATGAGGGTCTGAGCTGAATCCCTGTCACCCACTTAAACGCTGGCTGTGGTGGCATGCATTTGTAGTCTCAGAGCTGAGAAGAGGCGACAGGAGGATCCCTGGGGCTTGCTGGCACAGTCTATCCCAATTCGTGAGTTCTGGGACAGTGAGGGGCCCTGTTTCAAACAAAGTGGACAGCACTTATGGGTAATAAATAGCACTTAAGACCATCTTCTAGTCTTCACAAGTGTCTACACACATGGGAACCCGCCTACACATGAATGTGTATGTAGGTGCACACCTACAAGCACATGCATACACTCTCTCTGTAGTAATAAGTCAGGTATGATGGTGTTTGCTTATTAATTCCAGCACTGAAGAAGCAGTGGCAAGCATATCTCTGGAGCATACTGGCCAACTAGCTTAGCCCATTTGGTGAGCGGCAGACAAATGAGAGACTCTGTATCAAAAAATCAAAATGGATAGTTCCAGAAAAACAATGTCTGAGGTTGACAGACATACACAAATACACCCACGTGAACACATATGCATATGTGTGATTCACAGAGATCCAAGATATGGAAACAATGACAACAAGCACCTGTGTGTAGCAGGGTCTAAGCATCGCACTAGCAGTTTTATATATGGAATTCAATGTAACTGTTTCCAGTCTTCTGAAGCCAGCAGCCCAGTGCACAGCCAAAGCTACTAGGACTCCTGAGAATTAGGGGATTTGTCTGCAGGTGTCTGCCAAAATGGCAGGAAGGAGGAGAAAGTCAGGGCAACATACAGTTCTTTTCACCTTCCCACAGTTTCTCACCAGGGAAACATCAGAGAGGGCTGTTACTCATTTATAAATATAATATGAGCTTTTCTCCAGCTAACAGAAAATGCATACATCTATACCTTCATTGAGAAAAAAGACAATCATTGTAATAGGGAAAGAAGCTCACCAGCTCAGAGTCCTCAAGGTGGTTTCCCAAGTCATTTTTCAAAGTTGTCACGTTTTCTGGTTTGTTCAGTTCCGAAGCAAGATGTGTATAATATTTCCCCACTGAGTCAGAAGAAGCAAATTGTGACTGGGGCTGACACATCTGTCCAGGATTCACTTCTGGCGGTGGCGGTGGATGGCTACTGAGGTAAAAGAAGAAGCACTATTTGTGGACACACTTCAGTGTCAATATTCAGTTCCATGTTTCTGTCTGATTTTGAGTAAGAGCCTCACCAGCCTTTATCTGCTTTTAAACTATATTACATAAGGACAGTAAGACAAGTTAGACTTGATTATACTTTCTATTCCTAGCTGATATTCAAGATGGAAGCTAATGTTACTGGGGCTCTAATTTTGATTTCAGCCCAGTAAGAAAAGGGAGATAAGAACAACACCTTACTCTTGTGGTCCTTTACCTGTTTACTTATATATTTAGTTTTCAAAAGTGGGGATTGAATTTAGGGTTTTATTCATGCTAAACAAGTGTTCTGTTCTTATCTCCTGCTCTTAGAAAATTGTTTTATTGTTTTGTTTTTTTAAATTTGAGAGAGGGTCTTGCAGGTTGTCGAGGCTGGCCTTTAACTCTTTCCTTCCTCAGTCTTCTAAGTACCTGGAATGACAGGCCTGGCTGCTGTGGTCACTTCGGATCAAAGAACAGGAAGGAGGGAGGGAAAAATGTAGGCAAGTGTGGCTGGACATAAACGCACACAGAGACCAGCAGTTATGGTACCCAATATGCGCACTGAGAACTAAGCCGTCTCCAGCCCACCAGATAGGGCATTCTTAGAACAATACCTATTGCTGCTGCTGTTGCTGCTCTGGACACTCTATGCAACACTGATAATACCTGTTCTCAAATTCCAGTTTGCTGGGCATTTTCCGAGGGAAGTAAAACATGGTACATGTGGGTTCTTCTTGGCCTCTGGGTGCTTCATGTTGACTGTGCTCCTGTGACACCATGTTGTTCAGAGCTTGAGTCAAAGCTGAAGTCACCGTTACATTTGGTTTCTCGGGTGCAGCTCTTGCAGAGTCATCCTCTCCACTCACACTGCTGTCACTGGAGCTCTCTCTCCTGGATGGACACTTGCGCTGTTCCTTGTTTCCACTGGATGTCTCAGTTTCATTCGAGCTGGTACCCTGCTCCGTTGAGTATGGTGGCCGAGAAGGCTCTTTGCTGCTGTTTAGAAACACTTGTGCTGGAGAGTGGAGTGGAGTCTGGAAGGAACACAGTGAAGGATATCAGGGGGTTACAATGGGTATTACCTTTAGAAAGTCAACTACTTATGAACCTACTACACCAACCCATAAGGAAACAACAGCAGCAGCTAGTAACTGCTGTTTAGCACACACAAGACTGATAATCAACCACAACAGAAATTAGTGTTCAGGAACCTTACTGAGAATGCAGTATCAATTTCTGGTAGCACACCGGGAGGGGGTCTGCAGAGGAGCAAGGACACTTCAGAAGCTGTTCCCCTGAGAGCAGATATGACTTCCTGGATGCACATGAGGAAGATGGATATGAGCCAGCAGGAAGTAAGGACGGTTCCACCCACTGGCCCATCCTCAGATCCTGGCTCACCTGCTGAGACAGTCCCTTCAAGGAGGCCCCATTCACTTTCAATATGACATCTCCAACATCAATTTTCCCACTTTCTGCAGCTGGTTGTCCAGGGAAGAGCTTTTTAACCCTTACGATGCTGGCATTAGTTTGTTCTGGCACAAGATTATCTTCTCGAGAAAAACTGAATCCTAGGCCCGAGCTATTCTTAAGCAGCTTGACCTCAAATGTATTATCTAGGGAAAAAGTTAAATATTATTGAGTATGCAAGCATGAGCACACACGCACACGCACACACACACACACTCTTTCTCGCATGCTTTTAAAGAAGTTTGTTCTGGCACACTTTTTTCAGAACTCACTGGACTATCACATACTCTCTTCCTAATGCAGGAAAGCTTTCTTATTTTTTCATGTGTGGTTGGTGTGTGTGTGTGTGTGTGTGTGTGTGTGTGTGTGTGTGTGTGTGTGTGTGTTTGTATGACAGGCAGAGGTTGATGTCAAGTACTTTTCTGTCACCCTCCACCCGTTGTTTTATTTTTTGAGACAGGGTCTTTCACTGACCCTGGAGCTCACTGATTCATCACTGGCCACCAGTTAATATTACAGATATATCCATCATGCACAGTTTTCCCATGGGTGCTGGAGGTCCAATCTCAGAAACTTCATGCTTGCTCGGCAGACAGTGATGGACTCAGCTATCTTCCCAACTCCATTCATAAAACCTGAGTTAACTGTCTGAATGGGAATCATTTGTAAAGTGGAGTCATGTTTCAATGTTTTAAAAGGAGTACACTAAAAAAAGGGGAGTGGAGGATTACAAGGAAATTCAGGTATACAGTGTAGACACATCAAGAATACCAAAACAAATGCTAGCTTTGGGTGAGGGAAAAATAAGTTGATACTGTAATGTTCTGGTAAAGCCTACTTTAATCCAGATTAAGTTATAATGCCATTCTAACAAAATTCTCATAAATAAAATACATTAATAGAATTTAAAAAATGAAAAAAAACTGCACAAAGAGGTAAAGAGGAAAATGATTAAGTAGGTACATTCCCTTCAAGTTCACAGTCAAGACAGTAGTATATGCTGGCCTATGTTCTGGACTGATTCAGGGTTACTAAGATTTGTGAAATGAATAGAAATTTAAATAAGAGAGAAAACAATTACTGTATTTACCATCCCCAATTTTAAAGTGAGAGCATGTGAGCCGCTTACGGCATCTCAGAATGCAGGGCACCCCAGCCTTGTGAGGACTCATGCAGCAGCCGTCTTTTCTGGGCTTATTACCAATTATTGTTATGGCTGTATAGGCTGGCACATTGTGAAGAAGACCAGCCTTTGGGAAATACTAAAGAGATTACTGTGCAGGAATAGAAAATAGAAAAATAAAAACTTTAGAGCTAGGGGTGATGGCACATGCCTGTAATCCCAGCACTTTGGAAACTGAGGCCAGTGGGTTATATAGTGAGTAACAAGGCCAACTTAGCTATGGAGTGAAATCCTTTCTTAAAATCAAGACCCAAAACAATCAAACAAAAACTTAACATGTAGATGGGTTTGAAGCCATTCTAAGAAATTATATATACTTAATTTCTCCTTACCAAATTTCATTTAAAATTTAACAGTTGCATACTGTAGCTGCTGTATATTCTGTTAATTGAGGTGAGAGGGATGCTCTTTTATGAATGAGACATAATCATGTCTCAAGAAACTAAATGAACACTACAGGATAAATTACTGCTATGTGTAGAAAAACTGACAGTTATTTACAGCACTATTAAATGATCACATTCAGACATGATTTCATTGTCCCAGATCTTTAAGTATGTTTGGTCAGGTTGGTGCTGCCTGAGTTTTATAACTGACAAGAACAGAGATACTGAAGTCTGAACTTGAACAGGTGAAGGAGTTTAGTGGCATGACCTGAACTGTAGGCCTGACCTCCAGTAACAAAGCTGTAGTCTTTGACATGAGCTGTTTTCTTCACCATCTTCTCGGCGGCATCACTTTGGGCATCCTGGTCTGGAGGGGTGCATCGTGTGCTTCCAGGATCAGGTTCTTTGGGTGTCAGTGAGCGCCCCTTTTCTATCAGTAGATGAACCACCTGAGGAAACACAACAGTGCATTGTCAACTGAGAAGACCAGAGAACTAGATCCAGTTATAGGACTCTGTGTAGCTGGAGGTATAATAAAGTAACTAATTGCTTGGTACACTAAAATATAGGCACAGAGAAAGAACAACATAGGAACAGAAGAAAGGAACTCAAAGTCTTAAGTTTTTATTATCAGCATGACAGGAAGAGAAAATGCTTTTATAAAACATGCCAAATAGACACATATATGTTATATGTATACACACACAAACATACATAAAATATACATGTGTATGTGTGTTATAGATAATTTGGGTACTGGGGAAAAGTCATCGAATAGTAACTATAAAGACTATTATAAATGATTTGTTCAACTCCTGCATGAAAAGATATTTGAACACAATAAATTTAGCTCTTGGGTTGAAAGACGACAGGAGTAGAAAATCATTAGACGTTTGTAGATGTTCATGAAACATTTAAAAATACAATCTCCACCACTTCCCATCAGCTATTCGCTGAACAGCACTAAACACTGCACAGACCCAGCCTTGCCAGTGGAGAATCTCATCAGAGCATGTGCTTCCCGACTTGGAGGAAAACAATGTCACAAGCAAAACAGTGCCGAGTGCCACGTGCCTGCCTTGGCTTCCCGGCCGACAGGTCTGGGTGAGACTGACATTATCTCCACACCGCTGTTCTAAGTTACATGACAGACTGGTCTCTTACCTGCCCTGTGCTTCTTAGTGTTTCCACAGCTTGCTTGTGGGTAGCTCCTTCCAGACTGACCCCATTAACAGCGAGCACACGATCACCTGTAAGTAAGGAAGTTACTTTCAAAGAAGTGAATCATTAAAAAAATTCTATAGGGTTTTTAATACCCGGTGGCTTATTTCACATTTATGTTTAGGAGAGACTCAAGACAAATTTTGGAGATAACTGAATACTGTTGAAGTATTCCTGATAATTGAAAACAATGCGTGAAGGAAATGCTATTAACCTCAGTGGTTTTAACACTGAGGCCTTGCCCCACCCAGGCTGGCCATAATGTGTGACTCATGCCCCAGCTTGCCAAGTGCAGGACTGTACAGGTATGCACCTCCTGTCTGGCTAGAATAATATGAATTTGTAGCAATGCCCTTAAATCATGAAGAAAGAGAAGCTGAACTATAACCGCACAGACTGGAAGAAAGCACCTTTCTAGCAAGCTCTTAGGGACAGTCAGTGACTGCTGCTGAGCAGGGAAGAAGCCACTTTCTGCTGCTACGGAATCAGTGGGAAGATGAGTTGTTGCCGTGTCACCAAGTAGTTTTCTAAAATGCAGCCTCAAAGCTGAGCATGTTCTTACATGACTCTCTGGCTCTTATCAACTCTGTGGTGCCTTCTTTCTTCCTTCTTGTTTTTTTTTTTTGGAGACAGGGTCTCTCTATGCAGCCCTGGATGACCTGAAACTCACTATGCAGAGGCATGAAAACTTAGAGATCTTCCCGGTCCTGCCTCCCAAGTGCTGGGGTTAAAAATGAGCATCACCACACTTGGCCTTAATTTTTATTTATTGTGACATTTGTGCTGTCATTCCTGCATCCACGTAGACATCATACCTTTGTGAATTCTGCCATCTGACTCTGCTGCTCCTTTGGGGATAATGGCTTTCACGTAAATACCACCATGTCGGACGCTGGTATTCACACCTCCCTAAATAGAAAAGACAAAGAACCACATGTTAACATGAAAATATTACTTTCACAACCGAGCACTAGGAAGGGTTTGAGTCATCAGAGAAAGCTGTGACACTGCATCAGCATTTTCAGTTACTTTAACACCCAGCAACACTGTTCAGCTAAGCTCTCCAAACAGCAAAGTGCATTTGTCCACTGAACTCAGAAGGTGTCAGTCTGCTGCATCTTGACTAGATGAGAACCTGTCCTTCCTTTCTGTGTCACGCATTATGAGCAAGCAGATAGAAAGTCCATTTATGCAAGATCAGTGTAAGAACATAATTCCAAGAAACACCCAGTGTATGCACGTTAGACCATATCTGCCAATCTGAGAGCAAGTCCCTTGAGTTAAGGAAAAAGCAGCTTCTCTTTTATCTTAGAAGAGGCTGGGAATGGTGGCACACACTTTCAATCACAGCACTTTGAAGAGAGAGAGAAGCAGGTATATTTCTGTGAGTTCCAGGCCAGGCAAGGACACATGGATAGATTGTCTCCAAAATAAAAAAAAAATCCCGAAGCAAACAAACAAGAAAGACTGGTAGGAGAGATTGTGTGTACACATGCAAGTGTGTGTACATGTGTGCAAGTGCACATTCATATGTGTGTGTGTGCATGTTAGACTAGAGGTCAATGCTGGATGTCTTTTTTTAACTGCTTCTCTAATTTTGAGGTAGGGTTTCTTTTTGCACATGGAGCCTCTCTGACTGGGCTGGACTGATCAGTAAGCGCTGGGATTCCTCTTCTTCTCCAGTGCTGGGCTACAGGTGCTGGCTGTGTATCCAGTTTTTATTGTTTTTTTGTTTGTTTTGTTTCTTGAGACAGGGTTTCTCTGTGTAATTGGAACTCATTCTGTAGACCAGGCTGGCCTCGAACTCACAGAGATCCACCTGTCTGTCTCCCAAGTGCAGGCATTAAAGGTGTGTACACCACCACTTGGCTAAATAATATTTTTGTTGTTGTCATTCTACTTTATGTGTATATGTGTTTTGGCTCAAGTACAGTGCCCAAGGAGGTCAGAAGGGGTGTTGGATCTTCTGGAACTGGAGTTAGACATGGTTGTGAGCTACCATGTGGGTGCTGGGGATCAACTTGTGTCCTCTGGAGGAACAATCGGTCATCTTAGCCACTGAGCCATCTCTCCTGATCCTCTGAGCAGCTTTTCAAAAATGCTAAAGGTCTAGTAGATCTGTTTTCTACCGTTCTTTTATCATAAAACGATGATGTAATTATAAAGGAAGTAGGGGAGAGAAGAAAGCTCTACATTCTAAGTGTAGGAACGAGGCTTTTGATCAAAGTTTGTTACAGAGCTGATTTCACTGGCTTTAGTCGTCTGCCTTATGTAATGATCAGTCACTCTTAGAATGTGATAAATGATACAGCTACAATTCAGGAATAACATATCATAGATTCTAAAATAATTTCATCAAATATTTTATGTACATATCTCCATTATCTTAAAGATGTATGCACAGTTTTAAAATTTCTATTTAAAGGTTTTAAATGTGTTAATGAAGGTTTTAAACAAGGTAATATGTATCTTGCAGAGTTGGCACATTAAGTATTGTGGTCATTATTCACAGAATAGTTAAAGCAGCTCTTGATTTCACACTCATACAGAAACTGTCAGGTGCACATGAAACATATACATCAATTTCATATTCTGCACATGGTATATTTAAATTTTGCAAATATTTAATGTATGAAGAACAAGCAATTGCCAACTGTTTTAAACCACAAGAAAAAAGAGTAGTGTACAAATTTAAAAAAGTTTTAAGACAGTCAATTTTTAGATTTTGGATATATTTGGCAAATGTCTCCTCTAAAGCAAAATAATTCAACTATTCAGTTGGGCTACAACAGACTTCTGGAAGTGAAGAAGAGAAAAGGCGAAAACCTTGGCAAACAGTACCGTGACACTTATTCCCAAGCTGTTATCATTTTTAGCCAGTTCAACCTCAAAGATTTCTCCAGGCTTAGGTGATGCAGAGAAAGCTCTAAAGCTCATTTTGTTGCTTATATTCATCGAGGAGGAAGGTTCCTTAACAAAGAAATACAAACAAAAGAAGATTCTAATTAGAGCAGAAATGAACTGCTAGTGGAAACAGTTATTTTCGGGGGTGTGTGTTTCTTTTAAAGCAAGGTATTGGGGAATAGAATATATCAAAAACACAGAGGCCAGGAGACTTTCCAGACACTATCAATTCAGGGCACCCTTATTTTATTGTTTAGGAAGCTCACACCAGAAAGTGAAGCTAGATAAGACAGGAAAACCTAGAATCCAATGGAAGAACCTGTGCCCCTCGCTTCTTCTGTTCCTGAGTTTGGTAAGTACCCACGCTCTTTAAAAGTTATGCTGGAGGGGATGTGGAGAGAGAGGAACATTCCTCCACTGCTGGTGGGAATGCCAACTCATACAGCCTCTTTGGAAATCAGTATGGAGATTCCTCAGGAAAATGGGAATTAATTTACCACTAGACCCAGCAATTCCACTCTTAGGCATTTATCCAAATGAGGCAGGTTCATACAACAAGGGCATCTGCTCCACTATGTTCATAGCAGCATTGTTTGTAATAGCCAGAACCTGGAAGCAACCTAGATGCCCCTCAACTGAAGAGTGGATAGAGAAAATGTGGTACATTTACACAATGGAGTATTACTCAGCAGAAAAAAAACAATGGAATCTTGAAATTCGCAGGGAAATGGATAGCACTGGAAGAAACCATCCTGAGTGAGGTAACCCAGTCGCAAAAAGACAAACATGGTATGTACTCACTCATATATGGATTTTAGATATGGATCAGGATAGGGCCAGTCTGCACTTCCACAGATAGAGAGTCTGGGAAACAGGAAAGAACCTAAAAGATATGCATATATACATAGTACCCAAGAGAAGAGGATGGAGACAAGATCCTCTGAATGGATGGGGAACAGGGCGAGGGGGGGTAGTGGGACCTGGGAAGAATAGAGGGGGTAAAGAGGAAGGGAGTTGGTCATGGGGGAACAGGAAGTTGAGGGGGTGGGGGTAGAATAGGGGGAAGAGGGAATCATAGGATCGAAGACAGATCAGGCACCAGAGTGACCTCGAGTGATCTAAAGGTATAACATCAATTGGCAAGCTAAGCAATAGTGGAAGGACCACCTCGAATGCCCATTCCTGATAATGAACTTGATGTCTATAACTATCCGGGAGCCTTCATCCTGGGACTGATGGAAGCAGAGGCAAACACACATCTAAGCACTGAACTGAACCCAAGGAACCCAGTGACAGAGAGAGAGGAATGATGAGCAAATTGGCAAAGAATGGGCTGGCAAAACCAGCAGAGACAGCTGATCTGAACAGGGGAGTGCTCTTGGACCCCAGACCGACAGTGGGGAGGCCAGAATGGGACTGATCTGGACCCCCCAAATGTGAGTGTCAGTGAGAAGGCCTGGACAACCTATGGGGCTCTGAGCTGTGGATCAGTGTCTATTCCTGGTATACAATCTGTCTTCATGTGCCTATAGCACAAAGAGAGATGCTCTCTCAGCCTGGACTCTTAGGGGAGTGCCTTGACCCTACCAAGAGTAAAATGATAGACTCTAGACATCCCCTATGTGGAAGTATGTGGCAATAGGGTGGGAGGGAGGGTGGAAGGGGAGTGCGGGAGGAGGGGAGGGAGAGGGAACTGGGATTGACATGTAAAACAAGCTATTTAAAATTAAAAAAAAACTAAAAAAAAAAAAAGTTAACACATACCAGCAGACTAACCTGACTTAGTTTGCTTGTGTCTGCAAATTCAGTCTAAACAGGGAGCAATGGCTAAGCCTCATGTCTGAGGACAGAAGGCTCTTGTGAGGAATACTGCCTCTTTCGTGAACAAGAACTATGATTTCCCCTCTACATCTCTTGGAAACGTGAACTTCCTTCAATTCCTGTCATTTCTAGAATGAGCGGTTTCCACTGCTGTCACCATCATCTTAGGACTCCAACTGCCCGTGCCATGAACGATTCACAAGCAGTTTTTCAGGGTTCTCTTATTGACACGTGTCCTAATCTGAGCACAGCTATCTCAGGGTTCGTTTTCAAAGCCTCCACTCGGTAGGTCAGCATCGAAAGCGGCAGCAGTGGTCAGGAGCTGAAGACTCACACTGCTCTTCCTTAGCAGAGACATGCAGACATATAGCAGGTTATGTTACTCTCTAATAGATTTACCATCTTCCCGGGTTGCTAAATGAAGTGTGTGTGTGTGTGTGTGTGTGTGTGTGTGTGTGTGTCCCGCCCAAGCATTAAAATTAAACCATGCCTTTTTTGGTGTTTGATGATCCTGGTTGCTGGCATAAGCAGTGTCATCTGTGTCAGAATCACCGTGGTCAGAGAGCTCAGCTGTGTCAGAGATGCCTGGCCTTTTAGCTTTGTTTCGGTTACCATCAGAGAACAACTTCTCTGCAACCTTGGATGTTAAAGACGAGGATGGGCTGCCATGCTGTGACTCCTGCCAGCCTCGGTCTCCTAAGTGGCCGGCAAAGAAGCCATTGACGTGGCTCTGGGACAAGCTGGCACTTTCAGTCCTGGAGTCCTGGGAGCTGAGGCTTCCTTCCCGCAAGCCCCCGGAAAGCCCAAAAGGACTCTCTGTGATGTGCCTTAGAGTGCCACGTGGCCAGGACTGGTCCTCTGAAGGGTCTGTAGCACTGTCCTGCATGTAACAAGGTTTCTTCATGTAGTTTTTCACTCCACTGGCAAAATGCACAGGAGTAGAAGGCACTAAAAGTTAAGGTTCAACAATGAAAACAGTAAGTCAAGTGACAAACATGCCTACATACACACTGATATACACATAAGTACACATATTCACACATATATATACATGCACATACGTATGCATAGACACATACACATGTGGTTCATGGACATACACACACACACACACACACACACACACACACACACACACACACACACACACACACACTTTTTTGAGGCAGGGCCTTACTATGTCTACCAGGCCTGGAATTGCTATGTTGGCCAGGCTGGTGCCAAACTCAAAAGATCTTCCTGCTTCTGCTGAGTATTGGGATTAAAGATATGTGCCCAATGCCTAGAAAATTATATGAATTATTATATTTCTCAAAATATAAAATATGGTGCCACATTTGAAGATGGATACATTTATGAAGTTCAAAATTGATAAGCTTTCTGAAAGGCAAATTGGCAGCATATGTCAAAACCTGAATGCACATATGAATACGTGAGACAGAATCATAAACTATCGTAAATTTCTCTCTCTTTCTCTTTTTTTGTTTGTTTGTTTTTCTTTTTTTTTTTGAGACAGGGTATTTTTTTGTGTAATAGCCCTGCTGTTCTAGAACTCACTCTATAGACCAGGCTGGCTCTGAACTCACAAACATCTGCCTGCCGCAGCCTCCTGAGTGCTGGGATTAAAGGTGTGCATCACCACTACCCAGCCTGTAAATTTTTTTCTCTTTTAATAAAAAACACATTAGTGTGTTTTCTACATTCATCACACATACATAAACCACACAAGTATCAACAACATAGAAGACAACACATATATCAGTTTCCTCTGGGAAATGGAGTGAATTTTTAGTATACTACCATGTCACTTTAAGGAAGTTGGCAGAGAGAGGGAGAGAAAACTGCTTGCACTGTGAACGCACCCTTGAAGTGTATGTGCTGGAGACAGGCAGCTTACGATGGAGGTGTTAAGACCATGTGACTCCACCCCCACAAGTGGGCTTCTGCCAGTGTTAAGCATGGCTTCATTGCCTCTCCAACATCCCTTGTGCACAGCTCTGCCAGGAGATGACTCAGCAAGAAGTACTCTCCCCCTGCTCCCATAGCTATTTTTGAAAAATATAATTAATAATGACAGTCAAAATGGATATTTAAGTTCTTACTATGCACCTGAAATGTACTAGTGAGGTAACTTAATTGTCACCATTTGCTCTCTGTTCAGGGCGTTTGGTCAGGGTGGTGGTCTGGGTAGTGGAGACTGTGGACGGTGCCTGTGGACTGGCACTGTTTACCACACAGGGGCTGAGAGCTTCAGGATGTGCTGTCCTCACCAATACTCTTAGTAATTTGTGTAATGAAGGCAGGAAGAGGGGGGTGGGTGGGATGAGGGGGGCAGGTGGGATAAGTGGGGGTGGGGGGTGGGAGGGGATGGAGACTATGGTCTATTCTTTAAGTGGCAGCAAAAATAGTCTTTATTATTTTCCTTTTCATAAAAGTTGACGTTTGGACAGGACTTTACAGACAGGAATTACATAAACACATCAATCACATAACAACAACAAGGTTGAATTCTCTCACAGGACTGAGAAGAGAGGAAACACACCACAATATGGGAATACAAGTGACAACATTTTACAAGACTGAATTCAGTTTTCATATTACTGAAGATGAGTGATACAGGAAAAAAATCTCAAAATGGAAGTTATACTGATGCATAAATTACAACAATTAGACCAGCATGTGTCAAGACTGTCAGATGGGAAATAAGCGCCTGCATCCAATTCACTGGGTCAAGGAGTTGAGGTACTTACACTGGGACTATCACACATTACCTTTGTGTGGTTTTTCTTTTGGCTGGGAGATGACAAGTGTCACATCTTCAGGGGCATTCTGCAGAATGTCAACTGCAGCATGGTGACTGACCCCTTCTAGACTCACACTGTTCACAGATATCAAGCGGTCTCCTGAAAAATGCACAAGCCAGTATTTTCAACAACAAAGCAAGACTCATAGCAAACCTTAGACATTCTGCCCTTTCTCGGGGTGGGAGTGGGAGTGAGAGTGGGGGTGGGGGAGTGGGGTTCTCTGTGTGTGTGTGTGTGTGTGTGTGTGTGTTTGTGAAGGTCATGATAGAAAACCAACAGAGACAGCTGACCTGAGCATGTGGGAGCTCACAGACTTTGGACAGACAGCTAGGGATTGACCTCGACCCTCTGCATCTAGGTGACAGTTGTGTAGCTTGGTCTTTTGGGGGGCCCCTAGCAGTGGGACCAGGACACATGAGCTGGCCCTTTGGAACCTATTCTCTGTGGTGGGATGTCTTGTCCAGCCTTGATGCAAGGGGGAGGAGCTTGGTCCTGCCCCAACTTTATATGCCATGCTGTGTTGACTCCCATGGGAGGCCTTACCCCTTCTGAATGGAGATGAAGGAGTGCAATGATTGGTATGTAAAATAAATCCATTAAAAAATTCCACCCTTTCTCATCATTTTTGCTGTTCCTAAATTTACTTTTGCCCTCTGTCCAAATTCATGTATTAGAAAGTACACAGGAAATCATCAAGATGTAAAGTACCAGGCTTTAAGCACCCGTCCAAGTCAGCTGGTCCTCCAGGAGTAACTGAACTGATGAACACACCCAGGTCCAGCCTGCCCATCTTCTCCCCACCAATAATTTGAAATCCTGTAAAACAGAACATCAAGGAAAGGTTTTTATGATCTCCATTCTTTTAATGTCTCATGATTTGTCTGCTTGAAACAAGTGTAGATAATTAGATAAAATAATTAAGTCTTCGAGAAGTATTTGCTGCACATTATCTTTGGCATTTGATGACTGGGGTGGAGGATGGTGGACTGAGTGGGAAGTCAGCATCTTGGCCAGAGGTGATACCCAGAAGACAGGGAATAGGTTAAGGGCAGGGAAGGAGCAAGAAGCAACACATCATAATGCCACAATGAAGTCCACTTGTTTGCAGGCTAACCAAGAAGTAAATAAACAAAAGTAAGACAAGAGGCCAGAGCTGCTTCGCTCTCTCCTGGGGATGCTCATGGTGACTCACTCACCTAAGCCCAGCTTTGAGTCCCTCTTCAGATTCACCAGTGTGATCTCCCTCTCTGGGGAAGACACTACGCTCCATCTTTTGTGTAGTATATCTGTTAAGAGTTTGCAATTAAAAAAATAAACATAATAAAGTGAGGCATTAAGATTATTAGCTTCCTCTAATTTAGACAGTAACAAAATATTAATAGATTTGCTTGGTCACTTAAAAATAAAACTTCAGGCCACTGCACTTACAGCATTTTATAGTGATTTATCATTGATAAGTATACTGCATCACATTTGTTCCTTCCAAACTGCCCTCTTGGAACAGCATGTTTCAGTGACAATGAGTCTATGGATTTCAGGGGTTATGTGCTTTGAGCAGAGCTGTGGTCAGCCGCCACTGCAGAGGCCCTGAAACATCACACTCAGGCTTTCTGATTGCTTCAATTAGACAATTATCACATTAAAAATTTCTCTCAGGGCCTGAAGAATTGGAACAGTAAAAAGCATGTGTTGTTCTTGAAGAGAACCAGGGTTTGGTTCCTGGCACCTATGTGTTGGCTATTGGGGGCACTGCATACATGTACTGTACTGACATATATGCAGGTAAAATACTCATATACATGAAAGAAAAACAAAATCTGTAAAAAATAAAAAATTCAGGAGGCAGAGGCAGGCGAGTCTCTGTGAGTTTGAGGCCACCCTGCTCTACAGAGGGAGTTCCAGGACAGCTAGTGCTGTTATGCAGAGAAACCCTGTCTCTTTAAAAAACAAAAAATATTCCCTCCAATATGTTGACATACTATATAAATTAGTAAAATAGTATTGATGAGTACCTGAGTGAAACAGTAATAAAAATAAACTGGATTTAGTTTCTAAATCCACTTCATGTGGGGATTTTATGTAAAATAACAACTAGTCTATCAAATCTACACATCACCATTGGAGGGTGAGGAGCAAAAAGTTTTTTTTTTTGAGGAGTAAAAAGTTTAACTTTCTTCATCTTCACCATCCAGAGTAATGACTTAATATTTAGGATCAATTGTCTACACGAATTTCAACATCTGAACTGCAATTTGCTTTTCCTAATTTCTTCTTACTTTTTTCTTATCATTCACAAACATCTTAATTAAACTGGTAAACATGACACTTAATTGGCACACTACACAAGTATATTAAAAATGCAAGCACATAGACAAACATACACACATACATGCAAACATATAAAGGCATGCACACAAATGAGTTGTTAATACCGACTGCAGAGTCAATTGGTCTACATGAAGGTGTTCATGCTAGTAAGTTTTTAAAATCCAGAAAGATAAGATTTTATAAATTGGACTTTCAAGTTTAAGTCTATATTGTTCTTAGGCATATTGATGCTTTTTTAAAAAACAAAGACAAAATCAAAACCCAGAGATTATGTCTCCCCTGAAGCATAAACCAGAAATTCCTTAAACCTCTACATACATTTTCTAATAACTGAAACCACTCTCAGCACAGACCACTTTTGTGTTCCAACATTTAAGGCCAGCCATGGATTTAAACTAGTGCTAGTATGGTATAGGAATCGAAACACAAAATGTATTGATGCCCAAGTAATTAAAAATCGACACTTCAAAATCTAGAGATAAAATTCTTTTACTCTGAGGGAACCAGAAGCATTATTTCCTGTCAGGAGAGACTATAGGCTTGAGTTTAAAGGCTATCTTAACACATCTGATCTGTCTGTGGCTCACACAGTCCCCTTCCTGTCAGCAGTGACTTTAGCCTTGTGTCTTGACGGCCCTCTGAACACATCTGATCTGTCTGTGACTCATATGTCCCTTAGAACTAAAACTTATTATAGGTAAACAGTAATAGTGGTAGCAATGTGGAATCTCTGACGGCTTTCGGATGAAATTACACAGAACATCACTGGATAACGATGCGAGGAGCCATCTGTACCAGACAACACTAAGAACATTGCACCAACTCTCATGAGCAGCTTTTACAACATTGTCTAAGCATCTCAACTCTTTCTTCCTGAAGTAGCCAGTAAGCTTTAGTTTTCAGGTAGAACGATCATAATATAAAGTAAGACCCCAAAACAAAGCAAACATGAGTAAGGTCATAATAATAACTGAAATAAAAAGTACTTAATTGAGGTGTTAAGAAAAAAAACCCTCAGATATAATCAAAGTATACTGCAAAACAATTAAATGGCAACAGTCACTTTGAACTTTCCACCCTCCCTCCTCTCCAATTTCTCAGATTTAGATTCTTGGTGCATAGAGATTAGGAGGTTTCGAAACTGGTGAGATTCAATGTTCCATGGTACTTAGTAAGTCCAAATGCATGCAGCTAGTAGAAAAGCAAATTCCCTGGCAGTATGGACAGGGTAAAATGACAGTGAGACCGAGGGAAATGATGACTCCCAGGTCACTCTCTTGTTTACTGTAGCTTAGGAATAGAAAGGCATGTAACCCTACAAGGGCTTAAATGGAAACTTTACTCACAGCTGTGAAGAAAAGATCCACCCGGTTTATACAGAGCCCTCCAGCCTCTTGTCAGTTTTATGGATGGTCTCATGAAGTATGTGTGACCGATCACTAAGTGGTCTTTCAAAGAAGATGGGCAGTTTCTTCACTTCCACCTCTAACAGGTAGTTAGCAGGATTAATTACTCATCTGGCTAATAGGGAGTGTGTATGTGTGTATGTGTGTATGTGTGTATGTGTGTGTATGTGTGTATGTATGTGTGTGTGTACACATGCATGTGTATATACACACATACACATGTACACATATCTCCCTAATTAGAAGCAACAGAGTTTGCTTATGCAAAAACTCTTGACTGTGACTTCAGCACTTACTATTTATTTCGGTTATTCTACTATCCTTCAAATACTCAATGAGCAACTTCCCTATCAGTGTCTATCACTAGGCATTTGGGGGAATACAAAGCAAGGCAATGAATATGAAACCTGCTAGCTAGTATAGCAAGTGTGAGGAGGCCAACCTCTAGCTTTAGCACAAAACAGACTGCTAGTAATAATGTCAGAAAAAACCCCACATTTATAATAAAAGGGAAAACAATGTCAATCAAATGGCTGCATTCCAAAAGCAGTGTCAGGCCTACAGAGTCATCCTATGAAGTGCTGCAACAGTGACATGCCTGACAGCTTCTCCCCGGGGTATAAAGGAGGTGACAAGTCAAGGAAGCGGGTAAGGAGCTCGTGAGTAGGAGCACATGACTCCTCTGGCCTAAGTGGGTTTATTCACAGAGGCTGGGAACAGAGTTAAGACTGGTCAGCAGTTGAATGGATATTTGAGTGGGAAAGGAAGGGAGCTCTGCTACCTGCCCCTCCTTCCGAACATTCTTCGCTCAGCCGTGGCATTGTCTACAGTGACAGATGAGTGAGGAGAGCAGGTCACCTGTGCAGGTGCTAACACTTCAGCACACAGACGAGCCAAGTGTGGCTTCCTTCTGTTCTCTGTGCACATCAGATGTTGAAAATACCTTTTCTTTCTCTTTTTCCTGAACTAGGAGGAGTTTCTGAGGGTGTATCAATGCAAACAGTTGTCTGCCTGCAGTTCTATTCAACCAATAGGGCTGGCGAGTCTGTGAGGCAGACTTCAGAAGAGATTTCTGAGTCATTTTAACTACATGAAAACACGCATGAATGAATGCATGAATATAAGGAGAACTTATTAAATATTCAAAATAATTTTTGTTTCCTACTAATATGCATTACAAATGCAGCATTTCCCCCCCAACTACTTCAAAGTAAAGAATCTTAACTTGAAATTTCTGGTTCTTAAGTAAAACATGCCTGTGCTATATACACCCAGTCACCTGGGAAACAGTGACAGGACTGTGTGTAAACCCTTGCACCAGGGCCTGCTTGCCTCTCGGAAGTTCCTGTGGAAGCTACGCAGTCTTCAGTCTTCAGTTAGAACACTCATAATGATGACTTCAATTATCTTGAAACAGCATGACTCTCTTCTAACAAGGCTAAACACTATGCTGGAGATGCACTCTTGAAGAAATGGTAGGATTTTAGTAAGTGGAGCAACTGCTTTCTAAGCAAGGAAAACATTTTTTTTGAGTTGTAGACTCCCCCTAACCCATATCAGACAGCCTCAGCTGACTGATTGGAAGAGTCGAGAGGATGCTTTGGGTAATGTTACCCCAGGGAAGAGACCTAATTCAAATCTTGGGGCTAATGAGAAGACAGGGTCTTACTATGCAGCCCCACTTAGACTGGACACCCAGCTCTGTGATACTATTTAATCTGCTATCCATTATGATGGAAAAGTACACTCTTTAATTTCTGCATAGGTACATATTAGTTAAAACAGTTGGTTATGTTCTATCTATCTGGTCTCTGGAAATAAAGCTGTCTGCATTCATATCATGACTCACTGCTCTCCAGTTTTACAGACTGCAGAGCCGATCTCTGGTTTCTCATTTGTGGAAAGGAAATAGCATTAGCACCCACTGGGTAGGGGTATTGTGGGGTCTAAATGAGAAGTAATATAAAGTCTTAGCAACTGTTAATCTACATTATTACCACCTCGGACACAGTGGAAGTGAAATTCTGTGAGATATAAAACTCTGTCCATGTAAGCACTGACCCTATGTATGTGTGCAGATAATAATGTAGTATTGTTTCCTACCCACAAAGATGTTAGAAAGATCCAGTAAGATATAAATACTTTCAGTCTAAACTATAAACAGTTTGAATATAGACTCAAGTCACTGTCCACAGCAGCCATCCTCCTACATCTTTTTCCTTGGTGTCTAAGTAGAGAAGATTCACATTCAGTCTTCAGTTCTGCTTCCAATATTCAGGAAAAGGCTCAAAACTTGTCCCACTGTGTGCTCCAACTTCATGCTGACCCACATGCTTCTGCCCCATCACCCCTGCTGTTGTTTTTGTAGGTTTCCATTTTCAATCAGAGCGTGTCCTTCATCTGAAATGCTTGGTCTCTACTGCTTTCTCTGAGAAAACCTCCTGTGATGTCCTGAGTACAACTCCTCAGTATTAAAAAAACAACAGCACAACGATTTAGCTCAAGCATCCCCTTCAAATGACCTCGACATTACCTCTGTCCCACACCACTGTCTTAGCCTTCCAAGCAATGTCCTTTCCCAGCCTCTCATTTCCTTTATCAGCAGTAGCCAAAACCACAGGTCCCATCATTCTGTCACGATGATGGGAACACCGCACTTCTCTAACTGTGACAAAGGCCTAAATTCTTGGCATGGAAAAAAAGAGTCTCCACACTTATGCCCAGATCATTATGTAAGGTACAAGAAAAGAGAAAGGATATGATGGAATTAGGGATAACATTTTGTAAACCTACCATTGTCTTTAAAGGGTACTTGGGATGAAGATTTTCCAGAACTAGGCAAAGTCATTCCTGTGATATAAATTAAATTATTAGACATTTTATAAAATGGACAGAAACTATAGAAGTAAATTTTTTTCCTGAAAGCTCCACAAAAATCAATGAAACACTAAGGCAGCGGTATTTTCTGAGAGAAATGTCTTATCACATAGGGGGTACTTTCTATTTCTAAATAACAATTAAGCATATTTACTTGTTTTGGGCCACATAGTTAAGCTCAATGTGATGTTTCTGACAATGACAGTTGGATATATCAAATGTGAAATACTTATAATGAAATGAGTTTCAAAAACACTTGTCCAAATGTTAAAAGAAAATGTAATAGTCAATTGAGACTAGATAAACATTTTTAAAAAATCAGAAAATAAAATGATCTTATAGGTTTGCTTTTTTTATTCCTGATCCTACATAGCCTACGCTAGCCTTACACATACTACATAGGAGAAGCTGGCCTTAAGCCCTTGACCCTTCTACTTCCTCCTTACAAGTGCTAGGACTACACGTCAAGTACCCCCACAGCAGGCTATCCAGGCTTTATGGTGGGACAGCCATGACTCTCTTGGTAGCACAGATTTTTCATGGAGAATAAAGCCTTCCAAAGGGGATACTCTTACAGATCATGAGATCTCATTATATGTAAACACACTTTGGAAATCATTTCCTAAAATGCTCCTTCATTTTCTCTTACTCCAATTTTTAATATAGGTTTACCCTATGGGATAAAATTTTGCCTCTTTTCTGCTTTAGTCTTTTCCACTGATTCATTTTCTAGTGATGATAGTATAACCTCTGAAAGATGTGAATGCCTCCATTCATATATATCTATCAACTACAATGTGGGAATCTTCTATGACTCCATTTATTTCATATATCCCCAAACTACAAATGAAAAAATAAGTTTTAATATCAGGTAATTAGGGACAACTTTGGGTCTAAGGAGAGAAATAAGAAGAGTCTGATGACAATAGGAGGGGATTCTCTTTGTCTCTTCAATTGCTCACATTCTTAGCAGTAGTTTAGTTTTCTGGGCTCAAATATCTACTCTTCTTGATGAACAGTCTTCATCAAGAAGATTCTTTACCAGATTTCCCTTTCAAGATGCGCAAGGCAAAGAACTATTCAATGTATGGTGATGTTTAGGTATACACACACACAAAACATGTGCAGGTACACTTTCATAAACACCTTGTTAATGGGGAAAAGGTCTTGCTATGCTGGTCTTGAATTCACAATCTTATGACCTAAGTTTCCTTCCATGCTGGGATTATAGGAGTGCACTACAACACCCAGAGTCACACAATTTCAAGACCTAGGTAGCTAATAGGCCCCAAGTAACAATTTGTTAAAATCTGAAAAAAAAAAAAAACAAAAAAACCTTTCATAAAGTTATCTAAGGTTTTGGAGGCTATTCCAATCCTTTTAAATTCATCCTTCAAAAAGAAAACACAGTACCGTCAGAGCCCGCTACACAGGCTAGTAGGAAGAAGACAAAGGAATGCAATTCGAAGTTGTGTGCAAGGCCCAGGTACTCTCTAGGATGCCCATGGCCATGAGACCAAGAGGAAGCTAAGCAGTACTGTCATGAAGCAGTCCCAAGTTCAATCAGGTATTGACTTTTACTTGAGGCATTTTAAGCATTGAGAGTCTGAGCAATTAGAATCCCCAGCAACAGGCTGGCAGTTAACATGGTTCTGTTGACTTCACTAGGAGCACGAACTACAGGGAGAAGAAAGCAAAGCTTGGTAGTGCTGACCTACAACATAGGCTTGACCAGGGTCTTCAATGGATGAGTCTGATTCATGTTTCCTCCTTTCAGGGCTTCTATTTAAACTGGCAACAGACTTTGAACTAAAGGGGGAGAAGGAAGGCAGGAGGGGAAGTGTCAATGTAAAAGGAATATGGTGAAAATAGTAAAATGTCTAAACAAACACAAATGCATGAAATGGGGAATTTACAAGTATCTACTTTGGGTTAGTCAGTCATGTTCTTACTTATTAAGCTTTGTGAGTCCTGCCAATGACTCTGTGTCAGATCTCGCCATCGGGTACATTGGTTTTCCCACCAACTCTGCAAAGGCTGGTGGTAGGGACTCCATGTTAATGACCTGTTTCCGATGAGGATAGAGAGAGGCCTGACTGAGGTCATGATAGGATTTACTCATCCCTCTAGGCTTTTCCTCCCATGAAGCTTTGTCATTCTTCTCTTTTGAACTGTTTTGCAATGGCTGGCAAAGCGACAGCTCTGAGCAGGAGAGCCTCTTCAGAATCTCAGCTTGAACTGACAGGGGTCGGACGGCAAGCTTGTTGAGGGTGCTGCTGGCCAGACTGCCAGTGCTGATTGCGCGGCCCATATTAAATCCTCTAACAGACTCTGCTTGCAGGTTCAGGCTCCTAAACGAAGCTCTCTCTACAAGGAAATAGGATTGCTTTACACGATGGAGACACTGCAGAACCTTTACGAGAAGAGTCATTTTAATAGGCAAAACACAGCATGCAGGTTTTAATAATCCCAACTGCCAGCATTAGCTGGGAGCTTTCAAAGTTGGCAACTGAGGGTTTTGGAAAGGTGTTAGAGGGTCCTGGCTTGCATACATTACTCCATCCTTTTCCTAAGCATTTCTTACTTCACCTACCATCCTATGGTGTTTGTGACTTTGGCAGGGACACCCCAAAGTCCTTATGAGTTTCCACACTGACAACGAAAATTTTAACCTCTGTAGTGTTTCTGCTGAAATAGCAGCAAACTAATAATGGGGAGAAGGGTTGGTGAAACCAGGCTGGGTTGCCATGTCTGAAAAAGCAGCTTCGCAAAGGAGAACTTTGCCCAGAGAAGTTCTTGATTATTACTGTATTTTTAAAAAGCTTACTACAGATTCAGAAGATGGTATACCACTCTGTAGATACACAAAAAACAGTGAGATGAACACACCACGATTGTATGTTATATATGTTGTAGCTCAATAATACTGTTATAAGTCAAATGCCTTTAGGGCACATTTTCATGCATTTACACTACTATGCCAACCCCACCTTTCAATCTCCACTTTACGAATTAACGAGGCACTGGAGCCAGGAAGAGTCAAAGGGCCTCTGGTCTTCTTCCCTTTTTGTGTCTATTTTCTATGCTTACATCTTGTTTACTAATAAATGAAGACCAAAAGCCTGCTTTTAGAAGTTAAATTTAGAAATACTTGAAGTTAAACCCTTGGTTATTCTACATCATTACCACAGTATTTTGACATTTGAAGCTATTAGTAAAACCACTGTATCATATGCAAACAATACCATGGAACAGAGCTTCAAATAATTTTCTTGTTTGTGAATTAGGCAAACAATATAATAAATCATTTTCTGGATTCCACTGTAATTGGCTAAATAGGGGTATATCTATTTGTAGTAAGTGTGACAAGTATGTCAAATAGCTGGAAAACTTCCTTTTAATAAGAAAAGGTTGTGATTACTGACTTAGATTCCATTTCACTTATCTTCCATTTCCAAGAAGATTACTAATATTCATGCATCAGCATGAACCTTAAATTAACATGCCTCATTATTAACCAGGGAGCAGAGGTCCTTTTCCAGGACAGAAGCAAAATTCAAGATATTTGTCTGTACCCTAGAATTCCCAGAATCATCTTCAACTTAGATTAAGTTTCTAGTCTCCCTTACTATGACAGGACTCTTTTAATCTAAGAAGGAAACCATCAATTTAATGACAGCAAACACCTCAACACCACAAACTGGCAGCAATAAGGGCGATTAGTTAAATAGGTTTTGTGTCCTGGCCTATCAAGGACTGTCCCTTTCAAATCCACTCATAGCTCACTGCCTCATAGATCCATGGGGTATTAGTATAACCATTTGCTGATTTCATCCATCCCACTACCTATACACACCTGGAACACACTCCAGTATGTACCAACAGCTATGGAAAGACAGTGGAGCTGTAGTCCAACAACAGTGTTGTGTTTCCACCTAAACCTTACAGTCTCGCTGGCTTCACACACAGCCTGCGGCTGCTCCTTCTAATCCACCTTTGGTCCTGCTCAGTCTCTTCAGCATTCTGTACTTCCTCATATAGAATTCTGTACTTCCTCATATTGTTGACTTTCCCGTAGGCTCTTTTGAAGATAGACTCCATTTACTGTTATTTCCTAGTACTTGCTACTTAACAGTAAGTGCTAAATAAATGCTTTATTTCTTCATTCTATGTGTAAACTCTTGCTAGGAGTGAGGAGACCAACACTACACCCCACACAGGATTCAGGATTCTTACCATCATCTATTTAGGGAAGACACTTGTACTCTGAACCTATTTCCTTATTAGGCGAACCTGGACTTTAATGACCTCTAGGGTTCCTTATAGAATCAGCATTCTCCAGTACTAATATATATCATACATGTGGTAGTCTACCATCCTCCTATGGATTATACTGGTAATTTTCACTTGCTTAGTTCAGGCAGGTAAATAAGTACCTGGCTATTTCTAACCCAACTTGAAGAGGGACATAATTCCTTTGAAGGTTTTTATAAAATATGGGAAAGCATACAGACAATACTATCTTGGAGTGTTTTCTCCATGAGTTCAAGGATATCTTGCTATTTGAAGTCTGGAACTGATTTGTGAAATATACAAAGTACTCTCTTTTGTGGAGATAGAAAATAAGATTCTGAAAATTCTGTTTCTTTCCTAAGGCCACTCACACATGACCGGCTACTACTGCATAGTGTATGGTACAGAAACATACAGCAGAGTGGCAGTGGTATCGTCTCCTGCTGCTGATACGACCACTGTTACTGTGAGTACTAGCCATATCACTATTGCTGAGTCGTGGTAGACAGAAGTGATAAGGCAGTGGTGAAGACTGACCCCAGGACCTCATGTGTGCTAGACAAGTACATTCCCATTCACCTCTATGTCCTCACCCTGTCTTCTGGATATGCTTAAAGTGCTCTACAGCTATAGATTAATCTGTACTGTCCAACGGCCTTCTGAGATAGAGATTATCACTGTGACAATAGTTTCACAGATGCAGGAACTAAGACAGAGAGATTTTGTTGTGTCCCTGAGCCTTCCAAATCTGTAACGGTCTGGTTTGAACATCAGCAGTTTTACTAAGGTGAGAGTCATGCATGACTATAGGTCAAGCACTCCCTTAATGTGGAAATCCAAAATCCAAAATGCTCCAAGAGCTGAAACTTTGAGGGTTTCCAAGTGGAAATCAGTGCTTGGCTTCACATGCCAGGTCTCAGTCGGAACATTAAGAATAGCATAAAATCACCCTGTGGTGTCCAAGTGTGAGGTAAAGAGGAGACATAACAGGTTCTCTTTAAGTTAGGTCCCATCCCTCATGTGCATGTCCTCATGTGTTGGCAGATATTGCAAACTGTTAAAAATTCAAAATCAGAAACATGTCTGGTAAAACACTGAGGAGAGAGGACTGTCTTCACACTCTCATCTTCTGTCTTGAGTCTCAACACATGGTTGTGCAGAAGTGCCTTTCACTCCTTCAGCTCTGATGGAGAGATTTCTGTCCAGAGCTGGATTGTTTTTGCAGCTGAAAACCCACTTTCTGGTTGCTATGGTTACTTATCAACACCTCAAGACAGGGATGACCAAACAAGACTAGAAGGTGGTAATAAATGTGCCATTCAAATGCCTGACTTCACTGCAGGGGTACTGGTTACTTATCAACACCTCAAGACAGGGATGACCAAACAAGACTAGCAGGTGGTAATAAATGTGCCATTCAAATGCCTGACTTCACTGCAGGGGTACTGGTCCCCTTGCCTGTGTCCTACTTGCCCTGCTCTTTCCCACACTGACCTCCAAACTATTTAGCATTTGTCCTTCAAACCTAAGTCAATTATCACCTACCTTTCCAGAGCTCAGCACTTCCTCTCGTAAGCTATGTGAATCCTAGAACCCACATGATATAATCTGTTAAGATCTTAGGGATGGCTCAACAGTTAGGAAAGTTAGCTGTGGTTCCATAAGACCCCGGTTTGATTCCCAGCACACAGGGTGGTTTAAAACCATCTGAAACTACAGTTCCAGAGGAAGCCCTCTTCTGGCTTCTTTGGGCCCTGCACACATGTGGTATACATATACACATTCAGGCAAAACACCCATTCATATGAAATAAGATAGTTAAAAAAACTTGTATCTACCATTTCATAGTTATAAGCTAAAACACGGTTAAACCTTTGAAACACCTTTGAAGAGTCCATGCTTGTCTGCAGTGCTGCTTTCTAAGAGAATCATGTGACACAGCCCACTTCTACTTACCAATGTCTTGGGCATCTTGGTTGCTCTGCCGAGCCCTCATCTGCAGCTGGAACTTGTGCTGGGAAGAGCAGAGGTGCAGCAGGTACTGGCATACCTTACCGCTGTCAGTCTGGAAGGCATGCTTGATTCCATCCGATGTGTTCTGTAATGTGATTTTCTTTTTCTATAACAGTAATGAGAGATATCTGTAACTAGGAAGTTTTTCCTGGGACTTTTAGTTTCATAGGAACAAATACTCTAACCTATAATCAGTAAGTAGAGATACTTATATTTTCAATTATTAGGTATGTGTCCTTTAACACATATACACATAAATATAAATACAGATGGTTGTGAGCCATCATATGGTTGCTGGGAATTGAACTCAGGACCTCTGGAAGAGCAGCCAGTGCTCTTAACCTCTGAGCCATCTCTCCAACTGAAACTATACTTCTATACCCAAACAAATTTGACAAATAAATTGGTATTAACTGCCACTTTCAACAATTGTAGCTTCTATGTACTCCATTCATCATCAAAAGAAATTTAAAGTTATTGAGAGGGAGCTGGAGAGATGGCTCAGGGGTTAAAAGCACTGGCTGCTCTTCTAGAGGACTCAGGTTTTAACACTTAATACTTAGGTATAATCTAGTTTAGCCTCCTCTTCTGGCCTCCACAGGCACAGTGCATAGCAAGTACAGATGTTCATGTAGGCATTAACACACATAAAATATCCAGGGATACATTAAGACAGTATTCAGGGAAGTATATATTTGAACATGCTCCTCTCAGATTGAAACAATTTTTAAAAGTAATAATATTTATATTTGACTTGATGGGACTATTTACAAATGTTAATAAAAATGATTAGAAGTGTGCATTCTACTCCATGAGAAAAGAAGAGGTGAAAAGACATTTTAAAGATTAACAGTAATGGTAAGAGTTATGAATCAGTTAAGGAGAATCTGGGTGGTATGAAGGCTGGGATGGTAGATTTAGGAAGATGTAGGGAGCGGGGTGGGGGGGGCATCCCTGTATTCCCAAAGTGCGTGGCAGGATGAGGCAAGGGGATCACCTGAGTCTACGAACCCAAGACCAGTCTTGGCAGTGTGACCATATGACATTCCAGGCAAAAAGTCAGGGAAAGGATTAAAAGGAAAGTAGAAAATATGTGAATATACTGATACCAGATGACATAGCTCGAGGCACTAAATACTTCAGTATCTAGAGATGGCTATTTTTACCAAATTAAAAAAAAGCAGGAAAAGAATAAATCAATTTTATTTGGCTGCTGTTTCTTGAAAGCTATATCTTACAGAAGAGGGTTTTCCAGAACCTGTGGCCTGTTTTGAGGTTTGCAAATGGTCCCTGGTGCATCCAACAGGTCAAGGGCCATGGCTAATAATAGGCACTTACTTAAATGCATTTAGATTGTACTCCACCTATTGCCTGCTATGCAAATTAGTCTCTATTATCTTTATTTCAAAGCACAGAAATAGGCACAGAAAAGTCTAATTTAATAGGAGCCCAAAGTTATAATGAGTGTTTCCTAAGCCTTTTGTGCTCACAAAAGCTGGCCTTGTTGATTTATAAATAGGTATTTTTTTACATAAATTTACCTTAAAGATCTTTATAATGAGAAAACAATGTGCAACAATAGAAATAAATTATAATAAATGTGATAAAATAGAAAAATGTTCTTAAATTCTAGGGCAGATATTGTTGTTGATAAATCTCTGGGACTGAACCTGATTTCTCTTTATTAAGAAGGAAACCCATCAAGTTTTAGAATAAGTTAAAAATATAATAACATCAAACCAGAATCTTGTCTAGGGGCATGCCTAGTAACTCTTCACGTAGTTAAGTAACTAACTGTAATGTAGTTTGCAAAGACTCTAAAATGCACAGCTGTAATCTAGTGATCAAGTCTTAACACAAAAGGAAGAATCCACTCAGACAACCATCAAAAAAGCTGCAGGCCTAGGATCACAAAAGCCCTCCAGCAATGAGTCATACATAGGTTCAGAGTAATTATGGCAAGGGATATTATAGACAATGTGCTGATTTGAGACAGATTAGGAGAAGGTGTGATTCTGTTGGCAGATTGCAGGGACAGGAAATGCTTGAGACAGATTAGAAGAAGGTGTGATTCTGTTGGTGGGTTGAAGGGACAGGAAATGAACCCAGGGAACTGGTGAGAGCAAAGATGGGTAGGGGGCCATTCACCTAAATTTCCTTCAAATATTTGCTCTACTTAAATTTCTACTTGAAGAAATTTAAATTAAGACCGGGTAATTTCCTGGTTTCAACGCTTTGGGGAAGATGAGGGTAGGCTGAGCTTTCCTGAAAGGATGAATTATTATCTGATAATCTCAGTGGACCTGAGATTTCACAGGAGACGATTAACCACTAGGGCTAGGGCTGACTCGGAGGTGCCTGGGTTGAACGTTGTTCAGAATGCAGCATAACCTTTACATACTTATGTGCATTGTTTTGTTGAGAACATATATCAGTCCAAAAATCAGTGATCCTCACAGGCTACTAGAAAAGAAATAAACATACTTCTGTTCATCTCTGAGGCTTGCCAGAGTATGCGTCAGTGTACAGATACAATACATTCAAAATCAGGATATGCTTTTAGAGATCTTTTTGAACATGTCATTTTCATAAAAGTCACTTTTCTAAGGCAGGTGGTGGTGGTGCCTTTAATCCCGGGACTTGGGAGGCAAAGGTAGGCAGATCTGTCAGTTTGAGGCCAGCCTGGTCTACAAAGTGAGTTCCAGGGCAGTGAGGATTACATACACAAAGAAACCTTGGATTGAAAAGCAACAGCAATAACAAAAGCAAAACAAAAATTACTTTTCTATTGTCTAGGGTAGACATTCAAATCTAAAACTAGAGCTAGTTTATAAAATTCAGTGGTGCCTGGATGTCTGCAACTCACATAACATGTGCTATGAGAGGTCCTCTCCTGAGCATGACAGGGTAGATGAGAAGGGAGATCATCATCTTAAAAATATTAGGGAAATTTGAGGAAGTTTTCATAGAACAGCAAGTTCAACTTGGTTGTAATTTAACTCAAGTTAACTGAGCATATAACTAGTCCGGAATGCATCCTGTGCTTAAAAAAAAAAAAACTCTAGAAACAAATCTCAGTAAGACCATCTATAGCTAAAAAGGAAAAAAGTCAGTAAATGTTACAATTAAAACTGATTACACCAATTAAAATATGATGAAAGAAGTTAAAATGGACATACTGAAAAGGAAATCTTTTTGGTTTCTCTCCATGGAAAGCGTAGGACCAAGGTGCGCACTCCGTTGTGAACTTCAAACACAAGCACGCCTTTGGAACAGACACCAAGCAATATTCCTGTTTGTGACTTTTTTTCAGGGTGCACCCGGTGGAAATGAACTCCATATTCTGTCAGCCTTTGGCAGACCTGTTGGAACACACAGAGTGGTACTTCCATTAGCTGTGGTGTACGGGGAGGGATTGGGCCGGGGTCAATGTACTCAGTGTCACAGTCTGGTTTCTCAGCAATGCTGCTACAAACATTCGGGATCCACATTCAAAAGAATATTCCCAATGCTCACTTTATGTGATATGTGAAAACAACCCAAAAATGTATCACAGACCTAAACACAGAGTACCTCCCACTAAAAAACTTTGGAAGCTTTGTCAGGCTGAGAGTACTTAGACGGGACACGAGAAACATCAAAGGAATCAGCAAGTTTACTCCAAAGAAGGAACAAGAAATCATGGCAGTAACAATTAAAAACTTGGTCATGAGAAGCCAGTGACAAGATATAAAGACAAACACAAACTGAGAAGCGAGTATATGTAAGGCATGCCTCTGACAAAGGATCAGTATCTGCAATACATAATGAAAATGTACTTTACTAAGAGACAGTCAGATGTGAATGAGGTAGAAAAAGGTTTACACATACATCAAAAAAGGAGTGATATGAATGGAAAATAAAATGGTCAGTAGAACCTGGGGTAAACTTGAACTTGTGCCTCACATCTACTCAATCATCAAATTCACTTTTTCTTCTTTATGATACAGCTTGGTTTTTGAGAGTGTGGAATAGGATAAAGACACAGAATTAATAGGCAGACAGATACGGGTTCAAGGGAGAGGTTTGTCCCTCACAGTGCTGCTCATCTTGGAATATCATTTTTCCTTGAGTCTCATTTTTTCTTTCACAAACGAGAATTACCTGCTGCAGTTTTAGGCAGGGATCAGCCAGAGGCTGCAAAGGGTCAGCTATTCATTGCCCTCTAACTTTTAGATGCGTCCTCCAACTCTTGCTCATTTTGAACACGTGACACTGCTTATCACTTGCATGCTTACCTTTAAGAACTCAAGCTCTGTCTCCTTCTCAGAGGCTCCTGCATACGTGTTATGCAACTTGGGTAACTCCTCTTTAATGTAGGACAGGTCAAGTTTCTCCATCACTCTGGCAGGCAGATAATGCTCCAGGCGAAAGTAGGACACGCCATGGACCTAGGAGGAAGGATGCTGTTGTAAGCAGTTCCACTTGCCTATCTTGGTGTGAAGCCTGCTCCTTCTGCCTTAAAGTTCTTGCCTCTGCCAAGAGATGGGATGCTTCTACTTGTCTCTTCAGAATGAACCTCTCTCTTCCTCAATGAGGCACAAAGGCTGAGCTGATTGGCAAGTTTCAGGAGACATTTGAGGGTCTTTTGTCACCACAGCTAAGGGGTAATGCAGTAACGACGGGTGCAGCTAAGGTGGTGGTCTCTCGTCACTTGCTTTCTCTTAGGCCTCTTTCATTTGGCAACACAAAGCTTTGAACACAGTTTTCCATACAGTGACCTCTGCCAGGTTCCCAGCCTGTCGCTGTGTGGATCTGTGTGGAAGACAAGAGTCCTCCAGCCCATGCTTGACCAATACCTTCTCTACTAAGTCTCTTTCTTTATTGCTCCAAACACAAGAGGAGGGTTTGGAGCTAGATCACCCTAAACTTAACACAAGACAATTTTAAACAGAAAATAAACCTCACACTATGTGACTGTATAGAGTTAAGGTATGGGATGGGGACAGTGTGTGGTAAACTAGGGCACTTTGAGGAACCAAAGGAGTTTTAAAAAACATCATGACGTAACCCTGATTTTGCTAAGGTTGAGAAGAACAGTGCCAAAGCTGTGAATGTAACTCAGTGGGAAATACTTGTCTAGTATGCCCTGATTTTGATCCCCAGCAACAAAGCAAAGCAAAATTAAAACATATATAGAAAAGAAACAAATCTACCAATACAAAATCGGTGTCAGAAGAGAAAGCTAATCCCACCTCTGGCTGGTAATCTCCATACTCTGCCTGGAGAGCTAAGGATGCAAGCAGTAGGGATGCCTCATCGTCACAGTGCAGCCTCTCCTCCAGAATGTCTTTCCGCAGCTGAAGATAATACTGATGGCAGGTTAGGCTGTGTCTGTTAAAACACAGATGCAAACAGACACCTTGACTTTTGATGTTGAGCTGTGGGATGACTTTGATTATAGGCATAGTTTCCAACATTTCAAATTCAGACTGGCATTAAGCTTTTCTAAGCCATTCATGGAACTGGGCACTAGACCAGGGCCTTGCCTGTTCATCATCGGAGAAGCTTCTTCTTGAAGTAGATGGGAACTGACATGGAGACCCACAGACAGACAATGTGCAGAGAGACAGACTTTGGAGCACTCAATTCTAAATGGGGTCTTTTCATCAAATGCTGCCCTCCAGACTCAGGGAGCTATGTGGAAAGGAGGTGGAAAGATGGATGACTCCATGGAAACAGTGTCGTATAGACACAACAGGACTGGTGCACATATGAACTCACAGACACTGGCGGCATGTACAGGGCCTGCACATGGCCAAACCCTGAGAATTGAGAGGGGGGAGACACAGGCTCCCACCACTAACTAAGGAGCTACCTGCAACTGATACCCTCTTACAAAGGAAAAAGTGCTTTCTGCAACAGAGTCTCACTGGGTATAATAACCATACTTCAGAGTAGGCCCTTGCCCCAGAGTAGACAACTGACACAAAACCAACTCAGTGGCATTTTTGTACATTTTTTGGCTCATTTTTCCTTTGTTTGGGCTTTTTTTTTCTTATTTGTCACTTACTTGTATATTTTGTTTTCTGTTTTCAAATGTGTGTGTGTTTCTTTTGTTTGTGTTCTTTTTTTTGAATAGAGGAAGGGTGTGGAGTTGAGCTGATGGGAGGATCTGGGATGAGCTAGGGGAGGGGAAAATGTGGCTGGAATTTATTGTATCTTTTTTCAAAAAGAAAGAAAGGAAGGAAGGAAGGAAGGAAGGAAGGTAGGAAGGAAGGAAGGAAGAGATCATTTAAGGGTAATACTGACATCGCCCTTCATTTGTAGGGGATACATTCTATGAGCTGTATGGAAGCCAGAAGCCATGAAAAGTACCAGACCCTGCACATTGTATTTTCCTAAGTGTACATATACAGGATAAAAGCTACTTAGGCGTAGGAAGAGATTAAGCATACATGACAGGGACCTTAGCAATCTCACAGTGTCCTGTTTCCTTATGAAGTCAAGAACTTTTAGCTGCTCACTTAAAAACAGCACAGTCCAGCCCCTCGGCCTGCCAGGCTGCCAGTCCCCACTCCTCAGGCCCCTGGCCTGCCAGGCTGCCAGTCCCCACTCCTCAGGCCCCTGGCCTGCCAGGCTGCCAGTCCCCACTCCTCAGGCCCCTGGCCTGCCAGGCTGCCAGTCCCCACTCCTCAGGCCCCTGGCCTGCCAGGCTGCCAGTCCCCACTCCTCAGGCCCCTGGCCTGCCAGGCTGCCAGTCCCCACTCCTCAGGCCCCTGGCCTGCCAGGCTGCCAGTCCCCACTCCTCAGGCCCCTGGCCTGCCAGGCTGCCAGTCCCCACTCCTCAGGCCCCTGGCCTGCCAGGCTGCCAGTCCCCACTCCTCAGGCCCCTGGCCTGCCAGGCTGCCAGTCCCCACTCCTCAGGCCCCTGGCCTGCCAGGCTGCCAGTCCCCACTCCTCAGGCCCCTGGCCTGCCAGGCTGCCAGTCCCCACTCCTCAGGCTTTAGAACCATCTGTAAGTAGTGGTTACATGAACACAAGCACTGATCTGATAACAAGACACTGTTGAGCAACTAATAGGAAGAAAGTGTTCATGGCTCGGATACACAGGATGAAGGAATAGCTCATGCCCTACCCAGGGTGTAAAAGGGTGACACAGATTTCATCAAAACACTCAGAACACTACACATAACTTACGATGAATGAAAACTGTCTGATGATGAAATTCCCCAGAGTATTTTCTCATCATGAATGAGCACTAGGAACTGAAATGTTGGCAGCAAAAACATGGACAGAGAGGGACCAGTGCATGTCTTTTAAATGAAGAAGCGGTCGTGGATCCATATCAAGGGATTCAGGGCCAGCAGGTTAAAGAGGTCAACAGAGTGGGGCCAGAAAGCGAAAAAGAAACCCTTGTGCACTCACTGTATCAAGCTAACATCATCCATGAAAAATTTAATTCGGAAAAACAAAGTAAAATCAACAGCAGCTTTGCCCTTTTTCTTTGGTTCTTCTTTCCATCCCTCTGGGGCCACTTTGGTTAACTTTAAGTCAGGATCAACAAAGAAATATTCATTCTCTGAAACAGAATGAGAAAGGCATTCAGAAGGCACCAAGTTTTCATCCTCTTTGATGTCTTCACTTCTATTTAACTGACTGTCAAGGCACAGTGGGGCTCTGAGCTCTGCATATGGTTGGGTTCAGTGTGCGTCAGTCTTTTCAAAACCACGGTGAAATCAGACAGACGTGGACTCAGTTCCTGGTCAAATCATTTGCTGCCTGTGTGAATAAATTACTGTTCCATTCTAGACATCGATCTCCCTGTCTGAAAGATCAGGATAATGGTGCCTCCTGCATTATAGTGTTGTTGTAAAAAATCAAATGATAGAATCAACACGAAACATGCTGGAAGGCAAGTATTAAAGCTGTTATTTACTAACTGAGTGAGTATTCCACAAATCTGATTTGAACAGAATGTTTAGGAAATAAATACAAATTCTGTCTCGAAAATATCTTTCAGTACACAATATTGCCTAGTTAGTCCAGAGGGAGGGCAAGGAAGTCCTAGGGCTAGGTAGTGGGACTTCCTACCCTCTGGGACCACTTTGCTTAATTGTAAACCAGGACCAAAAAAAGTACTAGCTGCACACCTAATGGTGACTCTAGCATTCAAAAAATCTCCAAGGATACAGAAGGAGCCTCACAAACACACGAGTGAAACTGGGGAAAGTTCCTAACTCCCTTCTGTTCTCAACATCGATCTACCTATTTAATTTCTTTTCCCAAATGAGGCTCAGCATGGTAAGGTATGGGAGGTCATCTTGATGCAGGCTTCCCATTCTGAACTGTGAAATAAAACATGTAGTTACCTTTGAGGGTAGCTAGAGCAAACAAATGATGCTCCACTAGGCCGATGTGAGCCACGACCATATCAAAGACATCCTTGCATATGGTCTTGGTGTCACAGGTGAGCTCCAGTCTCTGCCCACTGAGGAGCATTATGTTGACTTTTCTCCGGTGGTCCTCATTCTTCCCCTTCTTGTTCTACCATTGGGGAAAAAAGACGGTGTTTATTTTTATTTTTTTTTCTCACAAATAGTATTTATTTTGCTTGTCCAGTTAGTAATATCATAAGATTACAAGTGAACCTGATTTGTACATTTTAATTAAAGAAATACCACAAATTGATTTTGTTACTTTTCAATTGCACAGAGTTTAAACTACCTTGATAAATTAAAGACGGTGTTTATTAAGAAGCATTTATAACATTTAGACTTGCTTTTTGTGAACAATTTAACTGATCTAAGCAGCTTTACTACTTACAAGGATAGACCGTGGCAAATCCAAGGAAATAAATGGCTCAATTGTCATCTTCACAAACTCGGGGCCAAAGAAATTCTGCAAGTCACATAAACAGAATAAATCATTTTTACTATTTATCCTAGGTCTTTCTTTAAAAGGAAAATAGTGCAAGAATAAAAAAAAATCACACATCAGAAGAAGGCACTACCTAAGATACGTAGAAAGTTTCAGTGAAGAACATTGGATTTGCTTAGAACAGAAATGCAGCATGCTTTATACCAAGCTTTTATGGTGGGTGCACTAATGTGTGTGTACATATTCATGTGACTACATGAAACTAAGGCTTATGAGAAAGGTCTGTACATGTGTGTCCATCATGGTTGTACAGAATTATCACATTTGAGGTCCAAAGTATATTGTATGACACCCAGCTTATCAATACATTTGACACTTGTTTAGTTAGAATAATTAACTGGTAAAATTTCATCCATTTAACTTACAATACATTTAGTTATATTTTACCGTCACTCTAAAAACTTTGGGACTGTACAATACTTCTTGAGAAGGAAGCCTAAATTCAATGTATGTTGACAAAAATATATTAAAGGTCTAGTGTTGGGATGGAGAGATGGCTCAGTGGTTAAGACCACTGGCTGCTCTTCTAGATGTTCTGAGTTTAATTCCCAGCAACCACATGGTGGCTCACAACCACTTGTAATGATATTTGGTGACTTCTGGCCTGCAGGCATACATGCAGACAGAACACTGTATACATTTTTTTTAAAGTCTAGTGATTTAAAAAAATGCAAATTGCAGAAAAAAAAGCCATCCTTGCTCCCTTCAAAATGTGAGTTGCAGAGTTGCTCCTTTCCTGCTTTGAATATTGCAGTAAGAGGACCCAAGGCTTGGAGTTAATGCAGTCTTCTAGGATCCTAATAGGGCTGGAGAGATGGCTTAGCAAGAAGGAGCTCAGGCTGCTCTCTGGGAGGACTGTAGCTCAGTTCCCTGTATCCACATAGCAGATCTTAACCTATATAACTCTAGTTCTAGGGGTTTGATGTGTTATTTTATCTTCTACAGGCACCAGACTTGCATGCAGCGCATAGACATATATGCAAGCAAAACACCCATACATACAATGATGATGGTGACAAAATTTTACAAAAAAGACAATCATAACCAAAATTCTGAGAATGGCTGAGTAGAAAGATGGAATGCAATTTAACATTCCTGCACTTTTGAATAACCTTGAACTCTGTAGTGGTTCATTTCTTGATTTATGGTCTAATGAATTTCTTACTATTAAAAGTAACTCCCTATTAGTCTGAGTAAAGGATCATGCATATGTTACTCTTGTTTTTAAAAAATATTTCCCTTGAGATGGGTTTGCTATGCTTCCCAGACTGTTTTCAAACTGCTAGACAATGACCTTGCTCCAACCTCCTCAGTAGCTGAGACTACAAGGACATTACACCTGGCAATACATCTTTTTTTTTTTTTTTTTTTTTGTTTGTTTGTTTTACGAGACAGGGTTTCTCTGTATTGTTTCGGAGGCTGTCAGTCCAGCCTAGCCTCAAACTCACAGAGATCCGCCTGTCTATGCCTCCCGAGTGCTGGGATTAAAGGCGTGCGCCACCACCGCCCGGCTTACACCTGGCAATACATCTTATATGATCTTGCTATGTAGCCCAGGTTGGCTATGGAATTCAATGTCATCCAGGCAAATCTCAAAGTCATGATCCTTCTGCCTCAGTCCCTTGAGTGTAGAGATTATAGCCATGCACCACCATTCTTATATATAGTTAAGGCACTCAAAATCTACCTAGTGCTGTTTTAAAACTGAAATAATATAAGCAACTAATATTGATTCTAATATCAAATAAGATGCTTGGTCCCAATGAGAACTATTGTGGAATCTCAATTTTACCTAGTTATCTTTAAGAGATATATAGCAACTTTCTATTAGCATATGTTAATTATAAACAACAATGGTTTCTTCATGACATCTCCGTACATGTACATAATGTAGTCTGGTCATAAGCAGACCCCATCATCCTCTTTCGTCCCCTTCCCCACCCCCCTTCCACTGTCAGATCTCTTTAATCCCAGTACTTAGGAGGCAGAGGTAGGCAGGCAGATCTCTATGAGTTCAAGACCAGCCTGGTCTGTGGAGCAAATTCCAGGACAGCTAGGGCTGTTACACAGAGAAACCCTGTCTCAAAAACCAAAACAAAACAAAAACATTCTGTATTTTGTGATCCACTGAATCTAGTTAGGATTCCACACAGGAGCACCCACTATTTACATCATGGACAGCTTATCTGTGGCTACACCACTGAAGAAAACCTAACATGCATTTTCAAAATGTTCTGGCTAACAGCCCTCAGAAAGCAAGTCTGGACGCTGGCCTGAGAACAGCCTCACCCTCAGTTTTCTCTGGGTCATGGCTGTCTCCAGGGCAATTTCTCTTAGTGGATCTCTGGATATATCAAGCATGGAAACTTTGATTGTGTCCCCCGGAGATAGGCTCAACCGAGACTGGCGGAGAGCCATCCTAGCTTGTAGCTGCATCATTTCTTCTTCCTGTCGCTTTAGCATCATCTCCTGATTGATTAAGTTGCCTTCGAGGGATGTTTCATACTGTCTAATGTAGAGAAAAGAGAAGAAAAATAAAGGTTGTCAAAAAAAAAAAAAGAACATGTGGGAAACTTCGTGTCAAGATATCAGGAATGCACACATTTACTTATTTCTAAAGGCGTACTATTTTTAATTACTGTATATATTTGTGTGCTTGTGTGAGCTTATGTATACCACATGTGTTCAAGTGTCTGCAGAGACCAAGAGTGCTAGGTCTCCTGTTAACTGGCATTACAGGTATTTGTGAACTGCCTAATATAAGCAATAGGTACTGCACCTGAGATGGTATTGCATGGCGTGACACAGTGAAATGATATATAAAAACTCTTACAGTTATACGTCCAGCTCCAGATAAAATTATTTTAATCTTTTGTAACTTCCTGAGAGAAAGGGTGATCAGAAAATCTTTGTCCTAATATTTGGTCTTTGAATCTGGTTCTTGTCACATCTCCTGTTGTAGAATATTCCTTTACACTGTGTGAAGATGTGTCACTGTGATTGGTTTAATAAAAGAGCTAAATAGCCAATATCTAGGCAGGAGGTATAGATGAGACTTCTGGACAGAGAGCCCTCTGGGAAGAAGAAAGGCGGAGTTTCTAGAGGGCACAGAGCAAGCAGCATGGTAATTACAAAGTAAAGGCAACCAAACCACATAAAAGGACATAGCTTAAAAGAAATGGGTTAATTTAAAAGAGCTAGTTAGAAACAAGCCTAAGCTATTGGCCAAGCTTTCATAATTAAAAATAAGCCCCTAATCCACTTTAACAGAGGAGAATTCTGGGGAGAGGACACAGAGAGAGGCCTCGAGAAAGATTCCATGTAGTTGATGAAGGAGTAACAGGTCTAGACAGTCTCCAGTAAGATAAGACCAGGTGGAAATACTTAGATGAATAGAAATGGTTTAATAATTAAGAGAGAGCTAGCTAATATGAAGCCTGAGACACTGGCCAAACAGTTTGTAATTATTATAAGTCTCTGTGTGTTTATTTGGGGCTAAACCGCTGTGGAACCAGTCAGGAAAGAAACTCCATCAACAAAATGGCACCCACACGTGGGTCAAGAATTTCCATGTAAAAAAACCTGACAAAAGTTTAAAAGGGGTTCTAAATTTGAAACAAAACAAAACAACAAACAAACAAACAAACAAAAACGGAGCTATACTGGGCTTCCTAGCCTCAAAGTCTCATGCAGGTCATGGTGCAGAGACTCTGTGACATTTAGGCTTGAACACGGCATGGTGGATTCTTGCCTTCTTATTCTCCACAGTCTGCTGCCTAGTTTGCATTTCTAGATGACGTCTTGGGGGAGTTATTTCTTTGTGCTGCTTTTGACAGCTGTCTCTGGTACATGAAAGTATCTAACATGTGGTGGGTGCCCAGCAGGCACTGAATGAATATGGCCCTATGGTTTACCTTCACCTGGAGTTAAAGAAGTAAAAACTCGAGTCCATGCATTTTAACTCATCTTCATTAACTAGAACTAATCTTAGCAGCAGAAGACTTATCACTTTATCTTTTCCAATATAGATTAAAACGTTTCATTAAGAACTAAAACATGTAAAAAAATAAAAACAAGTTTCAAATCTAGAAAAGCACTGCACTGCTAGAGAGTGAGTGTGTACATTGTCAGCTAATGTACTCAGGGGAAAACTGTTAACACACTCAGAAAGAGAGTCACACCCGCAGCAGAGAGGCACAGGCTCTGTGGGAAGACACAGTGTGTAACGTCACTTCAAAAGCTAGAACACAAAAAGGCTAGGAGACACTCTTTGGAAGCTGCTTTGAATATCTTTTTTAGTCATTAGAAGACACTTTTGATAGCTCAGAATCCACAAATTGCTCACTCTGCTACATCTGACTCACTGTTTCCTGTTAATGCCTTCCCCACCCCATAACAGAGCTCAACAGCACCTCCGTCTGTTTTGACATTTCATTCTAGCTACAAGGAATGGAAATTTTCTTGTAAGGAAGCATACAACATGGACAAACATAGTGCTGCCTGAAGAACAAATCACAAGTGCCTGGCCATGTGCTGACACAGCAAGGGTGCCTTCAAAAACCTTGGTTCACATCCAGGAAAGCCTGCACCTCCAGAAGGAATTTTGACAGTATTTTACTCAATGTGTACTCCTATGGGCAGGAAGTGATGGGACTAGTTAAAAGAAGTGAAGTTTAGCAGTTTCCGTGCAATAGCACATATGCACATTGAGCAATTGATGTGTACGTCCCAGACTTCTCTCCCCATTTCTTATATCTAACTTAGTTGTATCCCAAAGATAGTTTACCCTTAAAACATGGATTAGCAAGTTAAGGTGGCCTTAATGTTAATGTTTCCCTACTAAAACCTGGAGGGTCAAAATTAAGTCTCTCATGACTCATGCTTTTGAGATTCTTTATTAAGAAAACAGATAAAGCTCCCAGGATGCCTTAATTCTTCTGAAGGAATGCATCCTTAAGTAACAGACTGAAATCAGTGTTAATACACAACCCCAATGAGTTTTCTAGTTGCTATCTCCATTTCTTCTTTCAGTGAAGCCCAAAGGGAATAATAACTAGTCATAATTTTTTCTCAATCAGACATATAAAGGATGAAATCCTAAAATAAAAATTCTCCCTCGGTTCAGCACTGAGCTTGATAGTATTTAACACCGACTTCTTATTGTTCATCCCCAGTGCTTTGGCTCACTGGAAAAGCATGCAATACTGAGTACAGACCTAGCTTTGCCTTTCACTTGATTCAAAATGACCAAAAAGTGCTCATCATAAGGAAGAACTAATTAAAATGCCATTGTGTAAGTAGAAAATTATTTTCATAAAAAATTACAGGTATTTATAAGAAATGAAAGAAAAAACACCTTGGGACATTATCTAAGGATTAATGTTTTTAGTACATGAGCTTAACTACCTGAGCTGTAAGCCATGAATACCTTTTAATCATACAGCTAGGATTACACGGTCTATTAATAGTTCACAGGTAAGGACATTGGCTGGCATATTCATTAGCTAAAGACAGACATTTGAAATTTCCCAGAAGATTCTCTTAGGTTCTGAAGTAAGCGAACAGTGAGGTTAAGGAGTTTTGATGATTTGGAAATATACTTTCAAGATAACTTTGAATCTCAAGTGTCACATTATAGATTTTAAACCAGCATTCCATGTTCATGCAAGGAAGTGTATACATGTGACAATGACATACAATACAGTGATTGCTTGTCCAAAAACTCTTTCAATTTAAACAAAGCAAAATACACATAGCTATGACACAATTACCCCAGATCTAGTACACACAAACACTAATAGCTCATAAGAAATTTACCAAGTATTTCATTCAGTGTGAAGCTGACACTACACAGCCTCAAATGGGCTGAGACATATGCCAGAGAACCTCTTGAAAACAACCAGTGTGTGAATAATTAACTTTTTACATAATAGCTTACATAGTGCGAATCGAATTAACTATTCAACCAATTCACGTTGAATACCTGAGCTGCCCCAGTTTTTCAAAGTACAGACAATTGCTATTTACATTTTAGAAATAAAGGTTTACTATGTTTTTCAGACTTTTAATGCTATGCCCTAACCTTCTTGAGTGTTACATCTATTTGTACTGGCAATTTAAAAAGGCAAGTGCCAACTGCAATTAAAGAGAACCAAACCAAACCAAATCAAACGAAACGAAACCAAACCAAACCAAAACCATCCTCCTGTGACTGGAAATTAGTGCTTCCCAAAACCATACCGTGGTCTCTGTGACTGGCCCTGACCAGCTTCTTCAACTCCAGGAAGACCGCTGCTAGATTCAAACCTCTTTGAAGCTTCACTTCGTCTCACTAATTGTGAATAAAAATAGAATAATGGTAGAAGTGATAAAAACATGAAAGCAGAAATAAGATAATTCGTATGAATCACCATCATGTGGTCAATGACATGCTGTAACATTCTTTTAAGGTTAGGTCACATCAGCTTCTTCGTTGTTGTTGTTCATTTTCTTGTTTCTTTTTGAGACGGGGTCTCTTTCTACAGCCCTTGGCTGCCCTGAAACCCGCTACTAGTTTGGCCTTGAACTCACGGAGATATGTTCTGCTTCTTCCCCCCAATGCTGGGGGTTAAAGGTATGTGCTACCATGTCTGGCTAGTCATGTTAAGTTTTAAAGACAATGACTTCCTTCCTATGTGATGAAATGATTGTATCACTGTTTTATTAAACTATTACTATTTTATATAACAATTTTAAAAGGAAACATTTTTATAACTTAACATTTTGACAAGTTTTGTTTCAATAATATTAAAAAATAATGATAGTTGCTTCTTTAAAAAGACACTTTGTTTGTTTTAGGGGGTGCTTACCTTGTCTGAAATCTGATTCCGAGGAGATAATAGATGGGCTTTCACTGGAGGTACTAAAGATATCACTGTGGTAAGTTTTGTATCTTCGAGCTGGTTCTAAAAGAATTAAAAAAAAATAGAAATGTATTAGCAATGCCCCACAAATTAAGAAAAAAGGACACATTCAATCTGATTAGTACATCTTATATTTTACTTTAGGTTTGAAAAATTAGGCTCTAGTATAGAGATACTTTGCACACTGGTTGAAAGCATGGATTCTGGAAACAGACTCCTAGATTCGTTTTTTGTTTTGTTATTTATTTATTTGTGGTTAAAAGGGGGGGGTGGTTCTAGTAACATCTGATAAGATTGCTGTGAGAATTAAATGAATAAACACCCAAAGCTCTCAGAATAGTATGGATGTTACAGGAGCAACACTCACGTCAGTTTTTAGGATGCTGTGTGTAGTTTTCTGTTAAGTACTTAGCTACAAGTGATCAAGAACCCAAGAGTACAATCCAAGAGACTTTACAACATAGAAGGTAAGTACACAAATACACATTGCAAGACAGGACATTCAATTCTACCAGAATGAGAAGGAAGGTGTCAGGAGGGGCTCCTGTAGAGAACATCTCAGAGTGTCTCCTGCAAGGAAATGAGGCTAAGAGACAAGCAAGGTCTAAAATAGGAATACTGCATAAAAGTATTTACTTTATGTCTTTTAATGCTTATTATATGTATATGAGTGTTTTGCAGAAATGTATGTCTTTGTACCATGTGCGTGCGTGCGTGTGTGCGTGGTGCCCTTGGAGGCTAGAAGTAGGTGTTAGTTGCCCTGAGGCTGGGGTTATAGACAATTTGTAAGCTGCCATGTGGGGGCTTTGAATTGAACCAGGATCCTCTGGAAGAGGAGTCAGTGTTCTTAATCATTGAGCTGTCTCTCCAGTCCCCAGATCCTGCTTTCTAAGTATTTTTGTCCCATCCCTTTTCCATCCCTACTACCCCTGTGAGGCACTGCTCATCCATGCTCTGCCCCTGTGGGACTGTCCTTGTGGGGCACTCTCCATCAATGTCTGGATTCTCTATTCTCTCTCATTTCCTTTCTTTCCACAGTCATGCTCTACATATAACCCAGCATATAGGAAGTGGGCTTGCCAGATTGGAAAATCTAGGCACTGCACTGTAGTTCTCTAAGTCCTTGAAACTAGAGTCCTTCAAAAGACATCTATAATCTCTTTAGGTTGCTGTTCAAGGACTGCCACCCTCTAGTGCACACTACAATTTATCACACTTTATGAAAACTGATTCAATGGTGAGCATCTGCTTGAAAGCACAAGACTTTGCCCACAGCCCCAAGCTTGTCATACAAAAACAAATCAAAATTCAAAAACTTAAATTCATGGAGAATACTCATCACCATTTCTTCCTCAAAGTCTTCACTTGTATCACTATACCTTCTGGTGACCAGCTCAGCAACCCATAGTCACCTCCTGGAAATGCATGCCGAGTCCTGACACAATTTCTCTATCTGAATGTCCTTTTTCCTTTGAGATGTTTCAGCTTTTCTTTGTAACTCCAAAAACTAAGCACTAAGACATCGCTCCTCCTCCTTCCCAGTTCCTTATGCTTAACTAACTGCTGTGCCTCCATCCGGGCCCCTCTCTCTTACGAAAGCAGATGAGTTGCTTCTTACATCCAGTACATGCCCAGGGTGCAGTAAGGACACAATGTTTTCTGAGCTGATGAATGAAAACAAGGGTTACTCCAAGGGGACCTTTAGGTGACCTTTGACAGAATCATTTTTCATCGTACAAGCAGAACAGAAAGGTCAAAGGAGGACAGATGGTAAGAACTGAGAAAGCAAGCATACGTTATTGTTTCTGTAAGCTTGCTGGTTTGGAGGAGAGTTTTTTGGCCCAGTGGACAGACTGTTCATCTTTTCAGGTGGTTGACAAAAAGCCTGTTTTTGAAGTTGCAGATAATAGTCAGAAAAGCAGATGGAAATGTGCTGAAGGAAATGGGAGATGGAAAAAACACAAGGGGAAGCCTCACCAACAGGAGAAAGAGCAGGAAAAGAAAATGGTAAAAATAAACAAATAAAGAGATTTGAAATCTCAAGATCCCAATGTCAGAAGGTCACTGGGTAATAAAGAGTGAGTCACATCATTGGAGCATCGTGGCTAGAGACCAGACACTAAGACAGATGTCATCCTGGGAGCACCATGGCTAGAGTCCTGACACCAGGACAGACGTCATCCTGGGAAACTGTTGTGAAGGTTAGCGAAACCCACAGGAATCTTTCATGTGGCCCTAGGGCTAAGGATACATGAATTTTAGTGAAATGTATCCAGACTGTCTTGTGGCTTCTTGTTGATTTTAGAGGGAGCATTCCATGGGAAATGCCCTGAAGTGAAGAGAAAGGGAGATGCCTGACTGTGGGTCACCAAAAGAAGTGAAGACGATTGTTTTTTTCCAAAGCAGTCTGCAAATTCGAGTATAGGAACATCACACGATGAACTGTTTCTGCTCCATGTTCAACAGAGATTCTAAGAGCAAATGATGTTAATGAATAATGAAGTCATTTAACGGCACCACAAGAGCCATGTTTGTGGAACCAGGAACAATGTGCTGGGAGAACCCAGGCAGAACAGGAGTCGTGTTGAGAAAGACACGTGAAGCAAATGAGAGAAAATAGATGTCTGGCCCTGAACTCATGAAAAGCAAGTTTCTAGGACAATGTTCATATGAAGAACAAGGCATACTATATCGCCCATGAGTATACTACCCAGCTTTGTGTATAGTCAACGAGTATTGAGTAATACTCTAGTCAATGGAAAAGGTTTCAGAATTGAGAAGTATTTCCTAGTCCTTTGTAAATGACTGCATTCTACTCCAGAGAAATCTCATGGTGAAATAAGGTTCAAAATCCACTCAGTGAATTTGAATGTGATTTGAAAGGGCAGAAGAAGAACAACAACAACAACAAAATTGAAAATCAGCCAGTAGTTTCAATGAAAAAAATAGTGTTACAAAATACCACTTTCTATTTACTAATATAATAAATTGTGCACACATTAAACAGTTACTTAGGAAGAACTTTTTCATTTAAAGGCACCAAAGCACTTTAACTTTCTTGTTACCAACCTCTCCAGCTAATATGATGTGGAATTTTCCAAGGAACCAGTACCAAATCACAAATCCAGAACTGCAAGTTTCAGGAGAGCTAAACTAGCAAGGCTCAGAAGAGGACTGGCTTTAGAAACCTCAGGCTCTGCTGTTTTACAAAACAGTGAAAACGTTCGATAAACCGACTAGAGGTTTCCTGCGCTGGGACGCTGGGCCTCCCGAACACCAGCTTCTCATGCTGTATAATACAGTGCTTATATTTACTTTCTTGGAACTGTTTCTGAAAACTGAATCCCATTTGCCAGGTCTTGTTTTGTATCTGTGTTTCCTTTAGCTTATAGTCTGTTCTTTGTCTTTTCTCTTCAGCCCGGGTTTCTTCCAGAAGACAAAAGCATCTCTGTTCAGCCCCCTGAAAGCTTCTTGAGAATACCTCCCTTGATCAGTCCTCTGTCTCTAGAAGCCATTCTCAGGACTACGCCTAGGTGGGGCACGGGGCGGGGCGGGCACCACCATGCTATGGAAGTGGCTGGAGGATTAGCTCTCTGCAAACACACTAGATGACTAGCTTTGTCTACTAAGGGTAGGAAGATGTTTTCCTTCTTTACAGTGGGGAAAGGGTAGGAGCAGTCATATGAATTAAAATGGAAGGGATTTAGTTTGTGAGCTTCTTAAAGTGCTGTTAGCCATGTTCTTTTCATGTAATAACATGGTAGATATAACTAGATTAAAAGTCACACAGTAGTTTCTTCTCAGTAATGCTTTAAAAAAAGGTTTATAATCAGATTAAAGGTCTAAGCCACAATTCAACACACAGTCATGCTTACTAAAATAAAATATTTAACCTTTGTAAGCTTGAAATTTTCCTCCCTCCCTCCCTCCCTTCCTTCCTCTCTCTCTCTGAACCACTCCCCCATGGTTTTTCCAGACAGGGTTTCTCTGTATAACAGCCCAGACTGTCCTGGAACTTGCTCTCTAGACCAGGCTGGCCTCAAACTCAGAGATTCTGTCTCCCGAGTGCTGGGATTAAAGATGTGGGCCATCATTATCCTATCCATTTCTAAATTAAATAATAAAATCAGCCATTTCAGAAATGTAAAACTGCATCCCTATGTCAAGGCCATGTGAGAAGCCCATGTTCCATGCTTACAGACCACATGGGTGGCGACATTTCTTGGCTCCGTGATCTACATGCTCAGAGGTTGAGGTTTTCTACCTCAGCTCTGGACTGTAGCAGGCAGTAGAGCCTACTCTTTAATGAAGTATTCTTGCATCATTGAATACCCTGCTCTTACAAGACCCAGATGCTACTGGTACCTATTTTTGTTATTTTTTGGATTTTTGAGACAGTCATGTAGGCCTGGATGTCCCTGGACTTGACCTCCAACTCACAGAGGTGCACCTGCCTCTGTTTCCCTAGTGCTGGAATTAAAGGCATGCACCACACAACTGGCAATGCTTTCTATCCACATCTCAATGTATAATTCTATCACTCTGGATTTGATTCTGATCCCAGGACTGTAGTATTAATTGTATAATTTTAAAAAGTCTGATTATTATGACATTGTTCAAATATTTAGAAAAATATATAACATGAATGTCATATATACAGTCCTCAGTACCAACCAGAATTTTAACTGGTATCAGACCATTTTGTGTTTATGTACATGCATGTGTACACATGTCCGTATGCTCCTGTGCATATGTGCCTGTGGAGGATGAAGGACAAACCTTGGACGTTGTTCCTGAGGTACCATTTACGTGTTTCTTGAGCCAGGGCCTCTCTTTGGTTTGGAGCTTGCTGATCTGGCTAGGCTGGAGGCTGTGAGAATGAGGTTCTGCCTGTCCCCATTTCCATGCACTGGGACTGTTGTGCACTGCCATGTCCTGATTCTCTTTGGGTTCTAAGGAATTGAACTCAAACTCTCACTCTTGCAACACAAGCATTTAATGACTGAGCTACATCCTTAGACCTCAACTACTGAAAACACAAA